AAACTGTGTATACTGGCAAAAATTCAACAAAATGTTCGAAATTTTATTTGATAGAGGTCAGGTCATTGTGAATCCTCGAGGCATCTAGCTAAGGCACGCTTTTAGCAAAACCATTTTGGACTTTGCCATTTTGTCGAAAGGAAAATCATTAGAGTTGAGCCTTTTCTTACTTCAGCACTTAACGGCTGAAGAAGGTTTCAGGTGATACAATATCATATTTAATTTAATGTTAGGAATGATTCTGTAGACAAACCTAGTTTTCAATGAAAAAATAAGAAATTTCTCGATAGTACCTCAAATCATACCGCCACGCAACTCTGAAATATCGTTTTGATTTTGCCTCTTACTAGTCATGATGCTATATTAAGTGTTCTGTAAACAACGTCTTTGTTAATGTGCAGATAACATATCATTTATTTACTAAACCCCCCTTGATTTTGGAGACCGTCTGTCTGACGTTACTTAGATATATGTGTATCAGGAAAGTCTATTTCGCTCAGTGGGTTATCCAAGGAAACCGAAATATTAACCTTTAGCCCGCAAATCATTTGTCAGATTATCATACAAAAATAGAAGCTAACATGTCAACTGATAAAATTAAAGATAGTAAGGATAATGATAATCGTAAATGAAGGACGTACAGCGTTAGAGATCTCCCAATCAAGTGTACTATATAGGTAACTATCTTCCGTTTGTGTTTGTTTTCTTTGTAGCTGAGTTATCAGCTGAAGTAAAAAGGTTCCAGTTCCAAAGTAAACAGGAAATATTTCACTGCTCTCCTTAAAACATAGAGTCTTTTATCATTTCTATCATCAGGTGGTGCTGTTGTCATCCTTCGTCATTTTGAAAAAGGAAGGCAACGAGATTTCCATGACAGCCATGTAATTTCATGCATTGAGGCTGATACTAAAACGATAGATTACTGTGAACTAGAATGGCGTAGTAAACCGGGAAAGAAGAATGGTTTGCCCACGCGAAGTAATATTCAATAAAACCCTCTTACTCAGACAGACTACCAAATCTCCTTTCTAGAATTTTCAAGGAATGGTGATGTTATGGTTCTTCTATCTTGTCAAATTCTAACTAACTAAATTTTCTTGAGATTATAATTTGCAATTCTTCTCCATTCTCGTTCCTCCTTGGTATATCATAACCTCTTTTGTAGTTTTCCATCTTATCGAAGTAATCTTTTGTATTCATTTACAATCCATGTCAGTCTTTTTTAACGTCAACTAACCTTTTTCCTTTTTGATATATCACTGCCTCTTTTGTGTTTTTCTGTCTCACCGAACTAATCTTTTGTAATCATTTCATTCCAATCAAGACAATCTTCTTCACCTTGAGAAATTCCTTTTTCTTCTTGCTCTACCATGTTCTATTTTGTGTTTCTTTCTCACCGAACCGATATTTTGTAACTTCCTTTAAGTCTCAGCGTTAAAAAATTTATGAAAATTATCGTGTTATACCTCGCAAGTAGGCAACGAATCGAAATTTCGCAATTTTAGTGAAAGCAACCCTTTCTTGAGATTTCCGTTAAAAATCGTCAATGTTATTTCCTATTAAATCATTTCCTGGGTCTGACAAAACACTCCATGGATTACTTTTTCCTGCTATACTATTAGCTTTTAAGGCTGTAGAATACTAAGACTATCAAAGAGAGATAAGCAGAGGGCCAAGATTTCTAAATTGGCAAATCCTTTACCTCAAGGACTTGTTTTATCTTAATTGTGTTGTGATTGGAAGGTCTGCCAACTCCTATCTTAATGAAGTGATATCTCTATCCTATATTGAATAAGAAGGAAACAGAGAATTATTCTATAATCTTATTTGGCCCGTGGCTAGATTGCCCCCATTGAAGACCTCGGATATGACATAAAGCTTGGCCTTGTTTTCTCATAATCTGGTATCTAGTTTTTTCCAGATGGAAAATTTCTAATTTCTAATTTCATTTGAAATTTCCTTGTAAACTTATAGGCACAGCTTTTTGTTATATCAAGGAAACACTCCGCTATGTTTATATTCTCCATTCTGTTTTCCATACAATTTCTATAGTGCTGACAAAGAGAATTATAAAATAATTCAAATAGTACGCGCGCTCTGATTGGCCATAAAACCATTTTGCATGAGCGTATGTAAACACGGTTTTCGTTCCTCTTTCATTAGTTATTTTATAAAAGAAACCATTGCTGCTTCGCGTCGTGGTTTCCTACGCTTATCTCGTGTTCTCCCAACCTCCCGCGTGTTTACATCAGGCTATGTAAACACGGAAACCATTTTACATTTCTTCATTTGTTTACGAATCAAGACCTCTCGTTGGTGATCATTTCCTTTATTATCATGACCGTTATGTTTGATTCAGCAGCGATACTGTAAGGAGAAATCAGATGCTAATCACTCGAAGGGCGTTGGTCTTTTTTGTACCACCCATATTAACGAATCCCATAATTGCTTTTAATATACCATTTTGAAACAAGCTAATTCAACCCACGAAGTGTGATAAAACAGGTTTTGAACTAAAGATCATCACTGCACAGTCAATGACGATGAATGCGAAGTTACACTGGAGTACGTGTTAGCGGGATCGGAACAGAAAATAAACGTTGAAGTGTCTGCACAGGCAAATGAACGGGCTTATCGCAAAGTTTCGGTGTAACTGGGTTGCCTTGTTATAAACAAAATTTAATCTTTATTTTTGGGCAAAATGAAGAAACGAAAAAACAACGGAAAACGACCTTTGGTAGGTTTCTACTTAAAGAACTCATTAACGTTTTTGGCATGGAAAATGTTAGACACATTAGAAAAGCTAAAACGATTTGAACTTCGCTCAGTTGAGATAGCGATGTTCGACTCGACAAGCTAAAATATTCAATTAACAAATAATTGGATAAACACTAGATTGGTTAACCAAACTGTCATATTCTTTAAGTACTATTGAGTAATTTCCTTCATGGATGGGTGAACGCGAAGAGAAAACGAAAGAATTTCTCAACTTACCCAGAAAGAGAGGTGATGACTCGCTTCGTAGCGTTCTTGTTTGCCTTTGGTGGTGAAACGGCTTAAGTAGCTTCTCTAGTGGGATTTTTCATCTCAAGGAGCTTTAATCGGCTGCTGTTCCGGCGCCGAGAGATCATCGTCGCGAGACACTTGTCGCCTCGCTCAGTACGCTTATGGGAACCTAGCCCATTAACACGACAGCGCGAATTGTCATCCAACGCCCTTAGCATAAAAACAGCAGGGCCCCACACCCATTGACACGGCAGCGCGATTGGTCAACCAATGCCTTTGGCATGAGAACAGCAATGATCAACTTAAATTTTTTGTCAAGCATGATGTTGAGAACGTCTTAAATTAATTGAAATTCAGCCTCCTGAATACCTTTTAGCCACTGGATAACATTTGGAAAGATTTTTCCTTTGTGAGATTCATGCGTTCATGTTTGCGCAGTATGATCCAACTGTGCTAATCTAAGCTTACATACTACGCCTTAGTAATCCGTTAAGTAAATGATACTGTTTACTTCTCTTTTGCCTAAAATTGTAATTCTTGAATTTACCTCCAGCAGAGAAGGCAAAACACCTTTCACCATCATTTTTTTCCACTTTTTACTCAACGAAGCCGGAAGTTCAGCGTAACCGGATTTACGCTGTTTTCAGTCATATAATTCAAGGATTATTACGCTTTCCGTTAATGGCCCCGCTGGTTGTGCGAAACCTCCTCTTGATGGAGGCAGACAACTGGTCTCCAGATTGCGAAGGAACTTTCCAAGCGACACATTTCTGTTGGCCAGGGTCGTTTAAGAGTTCAGTGTAGTTGGGGTGGAAATGCCCATGCCCCCATAGTCTCTGCATCGATTTTCCTCACCCATCCACCCCCATCCCCTGCGTCTCCGAAGTAAGGCTTTTTATAGCTTGAGTAGTCTTTTTCATCATTAGAAGTTTTTTTTTTTTGATGTCACGAAACGCTCCCCATGATATCCTGTAGAGTACCTACTAATGAGGCAAGCATATGAGAAGTCATTGACGATAAATTGTGACAGTGCTTAGTCTAGAATTGTAGTAGTAACATTTGTTACACAACACGAGTCCTTACTAGTTATTGGTCGTTTTTAAAATAAGCGACTGGTTTCTTGTGATGTTTCTCGGATTTATAGGAAATTTAGACTACATAAACACTAACGAGCCAAAATTTTTCGAAGTAACTTCCTAGATTAGTTTAAGAAATATTTTAGGTGAGTGACATGATATCCTGTTAGTGTATTTGACCTGATAATTTCGTTCCACTGGAACTCTAGATATGGTGCCAGAAACAGGACAATTAAATAGTTCCTAGTCTCATGCTTGTATTCACTCAAGAATCATAGATCACCAGTCGTGTAAGAAACTCGTTCCGACAAGTTAGGGAGAAAAACACCTATAAATTACTTTGTTTTTATGCTTTTTGCCCATTTTTGTCAGAAATTTTTAAATTGTTAACGATATTAACAATTTAGATTCAGGGATGATATATTACTTTGCTATTTTACTTTATGCCCATTTTTTATATAGATGTGTAAACTGTTGACAATATCAACACGGCTTGAAGTTGAAAATTATGTTGTTTGAAAATTTTGTTTAAATAATGCTGCTTTTGATCGGAGGTTTATTGCCGAGTAGGAAAATTTAAGTCCCTCATTTCACATTTTCCCAGTCCTTTCACGGTTAATTTACTTCGTTGCTTTGGGACTGGTACATAGTAAATTGATAATCTGCGCGTTAGTTTAACATGGCGCCGTTTTCGAATCTCAAGTGTCGTGTCACTGTTTCTTCATGTTTCCATGATAAGCTCTAACCGAGTTTTTAGACATTTAGAGCCATGGTAAGTTCCTATGGAGTTAGGTATGTAATTCATGAGTTCTAGAGCGATTTACATGGTGTTTGTCACCACATACCCTCGACGTTCGTGATTTAATCTCTGCGCAGCCTACTTCACTGACAAAAACTTCTATCTCCTTGCAGATTTAGTTTAAATTTATATTAAAATTTCCTCTTTACAATATTTTTCATTCACAGAGAAGATCTCTTGCTCCGAGCCAAATTCTCAAAAGGAAACAAGGGTTTTTAGATGACGAAGAAATTGGGAACAAACGTAAACAGGTGAGACGGAACGGAATCGTCTGTTTTGGTTTCCATGAAAGCAAGCCTAGTAACCATTGAAAATTATTAACGTTGCGACAGAGGCAGTAAAGAGTAAGGTCACCTGAGAGTTAGCTTGATGTCTAAGGTTACACTTTAAGTTTTCGTATTCCTAAACACGTATTGACTACATGCAGTGCGTTAACTTCATGATCAGATCAGCTTTGGGATCGATAAATTGTACAGGTGTATGCACAGATCAACCATAAAGTTGACCGAACAGTGAACAACAGTTGTAGTTACTGTGTTTCTTTTTGACTCAGAAGTTCAAGCCTGGATCATTCAAAGCAGATGATAACCCTGATGTTGACAGAAAAGTGCTTGCTCCACTTTCCACTCAAGCAAACCATTCCTCAAACAGTGTTTCAGCTCATGTATGTTATCTGTCTTCCTCTGTTTGTTTACATGTGTGTCATTATTTCATTTGAGTGTTCTCTTCAGTTACAAATGATTTAAAAATGTACCTTGTATATCTTACTTATTTATAGTTAAAAGGTTGTTGTATGCAAAGTTAAATTTGTCTAAAATGCTTATCAAGAGAATGCAATTTGAAGTGATTCCCATGTCCTTTTCACCCTAACATCAATATGCATATTCTCCATACTCTACTCTATACATTTCCTAAGGTGCTGATGGGGAGAATTTGTTTAACAATCAAGAGCTTCTTTAGTTGGTGATCATTTCCTTTATTCTCTTAACCTTAATGTGTTATTCAGGTGTGATATTGTAAGGAGAAATTTGATGCTGGTCACTCTTAAGGGTTAATAGTGTTACTGTAAATTGAATGTATCCACACAGGAAGATTTAATACGCAAGATTCTTGCTAAGCCTTTCAAGGTCCCAATACCAAACTACCAAGGTAAGGTTTGGTAACTAGAGTTTTGCTATATTATAATTCTATCTATATTAAAGCATTTTTATTTAGCCACAGTCCACATAAATAGACTTCTTTTGATTGAGTGTTGTAAATTTAAAACCAAATTAACCAGAACAGCTCATCAAATGGAATGAAAGAAACTCAAAGTACAAACAAGCTAATTTTGCCCACAGACAAATTGCTATCCAGCAGTTAAGTGTTAACAAAATTTACTTCTCTATTCATGGGAAAGAGATTAATCCAATACTGTGCTTTTTTATTGCAATTGAAAATTGCTGTTTCACAGGATGCACCTTCTCAAGAGGGCTTGGTATCAAAAGGAAAGGACCTCGTACAGCTCTTCATGATCCTTTTGAAGATGATGCTCTTGTACTCTACTCTCCTCCTCAACTTACAGCTCATGAAAAGCTCACAGCAGACCGGTAAGTATGGAATTATAGTTTGCATAACTTTTCAGTGTCTTCCTATAGTTATCAGCTATACCTGTATAAATGGCAATGATTCATTGACAAGGATCAAAAGCTAGTTGAACGTAACTATGTTAGCTGGCTTATGGTGGCTGCCTGTGAGATAAACTTTAATTTACACATTTTTGGAAGGCACTTAATTTTAATTATAAGGGGCTGCCTTCTTGTTGATTTTTTCTTCTCAAAAACAATACCTTGTCTTTAACAGAGCTTGATATTCTCCTTTTTTTGTTTCTTCCTTTGATCAATTTTGCCACTCAGAGAGCTCCAGGAAGTGCATGGTAAGATTTACATTTAATATTTTAACCCTTAACATCCTAATATCAGTATTCTCCATACTGTTCTCTATACACATTTTCTAAAGTGTTGGCAAGTAGGATTTGTTTAACAACCAAGAACTTCTTTAGTAGATGATCATTTCTTTTATTCTCGTGACCTTCATGTGTGATTCAGGGGTGATATTATAAGGAGAAAGTAGCAGCTAATCACTTCTAAGGAACAAAGGGTTGATGCAGGTTCATACTTTGGGGTTTAATTTTTTTTTTCTTGGTGATGTGATATTATCATACCCGAAATTGAAGTTTAGAAACATTACTGGGAATTAAGCTTTTTTTGTTCTGTTTTCTTTTTTAAACAGTTGTTGTTGATCCACTGCTGGGTAAAATTCTTCGTCCGCATCAGAGAGAGGTAATAGCAAGTACTAGTTTTAGAGAATTTGCATTGCATAGGAGCTTGCCTAAAATGGTAACTCCTGAATGGTTGACAGGCACCAAATCTCCACCTTGCAAGGAAGTGATTGATGATGTTGTCATTAGCTTTAACTATATTTTTTAGTCAGATATGAAATGTGTTCTCCTTAAAAAAAAATAAATGAAGATTATCCAATTTTTTTTTCAATTTTCTTTTCTATTACCCATACTAGTTTTAAAGAGTGCAAGATAAAATTACTCAAAGATGTTTCAATTTTTCTAAATAATTTTGAAAGCAACTGAAATTATAGTAATTATTTGTTTTAAAGGGTGTCAAGTTTTTGTATGACTGTGTAACTGGCCAAAGGATTCAAGGCAGCAATGGATGTATAATGGCAGATGAAATGGTAAGTTTAATAACATACAAGTCCAACCATCCCTATGTGTTTTGTTTTTATCATACTTTTGAGCTATCACTGTGTACTTGTGGTTTGGTCACCTCTAGGATTTATTTGGCTTTTTGTCACATCCAGTCTTTGATCCTTTGTTTGAGCAAGGAGCATGGGTTCATTTTCTGATTAGGAGCTAGGAACCTTAGACACACAAGAGTAAATAAGCTGAGAGTACACCTGAAAAGGGTATGAAGTACACAGTCAGCTTTATTTACCAACAGAACCCTTTTCATGAAGTTGTACAGTGTCAGTAGTTATCAGGATCAAGAAAAATATTTTTAGTGACTGGTTTTGTGATTACCAGTTGCTGGCTTATTTTGACAACCTTGAGACTATAAACTTTATTTTCTTTCATTTAAATGCACATGGTCTAGTTTTATATGGTTTCAGTTTAAATGATTTCAAACTGTTTTGATTTGTATTTTGCTTTATTTAATGTACATATATCAAGGACAGAGAACAAGTTTAAAATCATTTTGACTATACATGTACAATGGTGTAAATTCATTTTCATTTAAATTACAATGAAACTTTTTAACTTAAATGATAATAGTAGTGGTTGATTTTTTTTCCAGGGGTTAGGAAAAACATTACAATGTATCACTCTGATTTGGACTCTGGTGGTAAGTACATTGTCCATAACATAGGTTTATTTATAATTTATATCATAATTATTATAATTAACTCACTCTAGCTGCCACAATGCCACATGTTATGTTGTAACTTAATCCACTAATTTACTCTTTGCTCTTTTATCTTTAGAAACAAGGGCCGGAAGGTGAGGAAGTACTTAATTATTAGGCTTATGTTTAACCTACATTGCTTTGTCTGTCACTATTGTTATGTAAACAAGAATAAAAAATTTTTTGAGCTTCTCAAATTAGTTCTAGGTCCTTGATCTTTGATTCTTGGTACTTGATTCTCCGTCCTTGAGGATGGAGTTCTAAGGCAAGACTGTCAACTTTCCTTTTGAGTAGCACTGTGCCTCTGTGATCACTTCTTGTCTGTATGAATTCACTGGGTGAAGTACTAATGTTTTTGCATGATTGATGTTTAATGCTCTTGGGTTCTAACCTGTATCCAGGGGTTTTGACAGCAGTGGTGCAGCAGGTCGATCTAGCGGTACATGCTTGGGTACTGGCTTCTAGCCTTTACACAAACTTCATGGTATTCTAGACATAACTTTGATCCTCTGCAAATTTGTTCAATTTGATTGAATTCCAACAAAGTAACATGAATTGGAAAAGACCTCAAATGACAGGATAACACTACTGCAAGAGTCTCCAATTTTTGCAAGGAAGGTGGAACCTCTCGAGAAACAGGAAGCCATTGAGGCCCTACAAATCCACATCCCACCCACTATTCCAATATACTCATTTCTACCATATGTTTATGAAAGAACTATGTACAATACCAATTCCTCTTCCATCCCACATGTATGACATGTACCATGCCATGAAATCAGCTTGTACCTGTGTTTTCTGATCAGACACTTCAGTTTTCCATAAACTTGTTCATTTGTTTCCATGCAGGTCAGCCAATAGCCAGCAAAGTGGTAATTGTTGCACCATCAAGTCTTGTGAAGGTACAGTTTTATAATTTCACATTTATTTTGTTAATATGGTTTCATTCTGTCTCTAAGTTTCTTAAAGGAGCTCAAAATAGAAGTGAATACTTCAAAATGGTCACCTACATGTACATGTAAGTAGTAGCCTGCTGAGAAATGTATTTTTGGGGAGCAAACACTGATTACTTTGATTAACCTGTCAACTCCCAGAAGTGATTGACTTGTAACTTCTCCTTACAATATCCATACATTATTCAGTATACAGGTAATGAGAATACTGTATCAGCTGGAGGAGAGAATTAACAATCAGATTGTGGGAGTTAAAGGGTTAAGGGTAAAGATTCATCCACCATTTTTAGTTTGTAACTTTACTGAGGAGAGCTGGTCCACTGCAAATACTGAACATGGAATGGTAAGAAGTGATCAGGGCTTGAAGGGAAAAAAATTATCCTGTGGTTTGAGAAAGTACCTTTTTTCAAGTGTCTTTCCCTGTGTAGTGCTTTAATTAAACCCTTTCACCCCCAAAAACCCATTAGTAATTCTCCTTACTGTCTGCCATTCAATTCTTATGATGTTAGTGCAGAGAAGTTGGTATTGGATCAACTAATAATCCCCTTATGGATAATAGGGGGAGGGATTTGGTATTGATCACCCATGGGAGCTTAAGGGTCAATAAAACCCAATATATATTGGAGCTCTGTAAGATAATCTATTTTAATTGGGAAACTTTCTTTAAAATGTCTTTCCTTACCAGTACTTGAAAACAAAAAACTGCCGGGGGTTGGAAGGACTAAGCTTAGAGAACGACTTTGCTAAATCCCTTCAGAAATCCAAGTTTCAGACTTCTGATTTTCTGGTTTCAGAACTGGTATAATGAACTTCACAAGTGGCTTGGTGGTAGAATTTCTGCATTGGCTATAGACTCTGGAACCAAAGATCAAATTGATAAAAACCTTGGTAAGACTTTGAAAGAGTGAGGGGAAAAAAAAACCCCTATTGATTACTGATAGAATGTTAGATTCTCCTTACAAATTGTCTTACATTCCTTTTCGAAACGGTGGGAGAAGGTGTTACATTGGAGGTCAGTTTAGGCTTTTGCACAACCCTTTTTTTTTTTCAATTTAAAGATTTGTTATGTTACTTTGTATTTGTATGGTTTAAAAATTGAAGTCCTAGTTTTAGTTTAGAGAAGACATTTCAACTTTTAAGTTAAGTCTCATTGTTTTCTTAAAGCATTTGTTCTTTTCTGATATTTTTAGGAATGTTTATGTCTCAGCAAGGGAAGCGTACAGCAAACCCTGTGTTAATCATTTCATATGAAACTTTTCGACTTCATGCCTCTGTGTTACAGTCTGGACCTGTAGGATTAGTCATCTGTGATGAGGTGAAAAAAATTAATTAAATTTTAATTAAACTACTGATACAGCTGAGATAACATATCATGATCTGTTTGTGCATGAAAATCTCAATGTAGATGTATGTTTTACTTGATTTCTTGTGATGCACTTTACATCGTTAGACACACTGTAAGTTCAACTGGTATTTTTCTCTTCTCTTTAGGGACATAGACTAAAGAACTTAGAGAGCCAGACATATCAGGCTCTTGATAAATTAAAGACAACACGAAGGGTGCTTTTATCAGGTGGATAGAATACCTCATACTGTCATATCACAGTTAAATAATAACTGAACAGAAAAATCCTGTTCTGGTTTACAACTTGTATCAATAGTCTGAGCTCTCTCAACAGGTACCTGGAAGCACACTCAGTTCTTCCTATTTAACCACTTAACAAAATTGAAACCATTCTTGTATGAACTCTGTATTTTAGAGCATTCCTGTACATTGTTTGTTTGTTTTTTTCTAGGTACCCCAATTCAGAATGACTTATTGGAATATTTCAGTCTTGTTCATTTTGTAAATAGTGGAATTTTAGGTAGGTCATTTATTTAACTTGTATCAAATGAATATAAATTTGATGAATGCACTTGTGTATTAAACCTCTTTTAAGCAGATATCCTGAGAATATGAAAGGACAATAACAAAAAGTTTTTTACTGTAGCTTGTAGGCAGAGTGAGAAATTGTTGTTAATTTGCACTGCTCCATGATGTGAACACAAACATGGAGACATTGAAATGATGAAGTAATCCTCAGATTATTTTATTATTAATTATAATTAACAATTATCCACCACTATTAACAACACTGGGGGAAGTAATTGTTTTGGTGTAATACCACGCAAATACCCAAAAAATAGTTTGTTTCTTTCAATGTACCAAAAAATGGTCAGAATTGAAATTCTTGACAGGCACTTTTGTCTCATTGGCTGCAAGAGATGAATACTCTTGAACTTTCTCTGAATACTCTGAACTAGCCAATCAGCATGTGTGAAAAGCACTATTCACCTGTGTGGTATATACTAAGCAAGGTTTTTAACCCTTTACGCCCAAGTATCAGTAAGCACGGTCTCCTTTAGTACTGATCCTTACAAAAATTTATTACAGGCACAGTATCAGAATTTAAGAGAAAATTTGAGAATCCTATTCTGAGAGGGAGAGATGCTGATGCTTCTGATGCAGATCACAAGAAAGGAGCAGAAAAACTGGTGGAGGTAAAACCAAAAATAATCCTAATTATTAATTAATTAGATACTGTTCAAAGTGAGGATTTGATCTTGCATTTCTGTATTATTTTATATATATTCTTTGGTAAATTAGATCATCAGATTCAAATTGAGGAATTTTCAACTCTTTGCATTTCTTTGTTCTGATTTCATTTTTTATCAGCTCATATTCCAAGTCACCTTTTATGGAATTGCATTGAAATTGGAAACTGAAAATTTTTGGTTAAAGTATTTAAACATTCAGGCTTAATGAAATTTAATGAAACAATTATTCTATTCCTGCTTGTTGGGTATGAGATTGGTTATAGCCAACTTGGCACTACAATGCACACTTATGGAATAATTGTTGAATGCACTATTTGAAAGTTTACAATAACGTCTTAGTTATATGCAGATCTTGGTGGCTGTTGTCAAAATTTCACTATACAGTTCTCTTATTTCTCCCACTTTATACTAAGGGCTCTGTTTTCTCAATGATATCTTAAATTTTGTATATTCTTTATCTTACAGCTTCAATATTGTCCAAATACCTGCCAGTTAAAGGTTGGTCTTTTTCTGCATTTTGTTTTTTGTTTTTTGTTTTTTTGTTTTTTTTTGCTTACTTATGAAAGGTGCAAGTAGGAAAAGGAAAGATAAAACCTTTGATGCAACTTTTTTTTCTGAAAAGTGATTGCTGACATTTGATTCTGTTCCTCTAAAATTCTGGTCACTGTTAGTATCATTTTAAACCTTAATCTAACACCACCAAGAAATCTATGAAACATGTGGACACTTTGTTCCTTCGTTTAGCTTTGTGAAGACTTTTTTCTTCATTTCAATAACTAGATAACATTTTAGAGGTTTAGTGACATTTTCCTATTTCTCCTACAGTTGAACAGGTTGTGTGTTGCCACATGACTCCTTTGCAGACAGAACTTTACAAACATCTTATTCAGTCAAAAGTGTTGAGAATGGAGCTGACAAAAGCAAAGTCTGCATCTGGAATGTCTGCATCATCCCTAGCTTTTATTACACAACTAAAAAAATTGACCAATCGTAAGTATATACTGTTTAGAGCAATCTTCAGTTGAATACAATCACGTGATATAAGATTGATTCAACAAATCAATCTCAGTATTTTAACATCTGTGCGCCTGCCCCTCCCCTAACCCAACTGTAACCTTAACAAGTGATCAGTTATATGTTGTTGGGTTAGGGGAAGGGTAGGTGCTCAGGTACTGACATTGATTTCAGTTAGTAGTCATCATGTGCAGTGTTGAAATGTTAGTGACCTGCTCCATTTTTGTCTCAGATCCTGAATTAATCTATGACAAGGCACAAATGGGAGAAGATGGCTTTGAAGGAATACTGGACTTGTTTCCCAAAAGCTTCAGCCTCAAGCAGGTGCAGCCAGAACTCTCTGGTGAGTTGAAGTTGTTGGTATCCAAAAATCTGTTAGGCTTTTAGACATGTATGGGTAGGTTAAGATGACATGAAATGGCAGAAAGCAAAAATTGAATTTTGTGTCATCTTCTTGCTATCTACAGTACTCTGTTATTATTTTGCGTATTGCCCTTTGCACAATCAGGAGCTTCTTAAATTTGTGATTACTTCCTCAAATCTTTTTTGCTCAAGGATGATACTGTGCGGAGAAGTTAGAAGGCAGTAACTTCAAGGATTAAATAAACAAGAATGTTTAGATTAGCTTATTTAAATAAAAAAATTCCTTTGTATTATTTGTCTTTTTTTCTGGTAAGAGGGTTGTTTTTTCAGAATTTTATTATAACAGTGGTAAACATCCTACTTAAACTCCATTACATGCACATGTTTATTTACAGTCCCCTCTTTGGTCAAGCTGATTAAAAATGATTTATCATTTATTGATTTGTTGCCATGATCTTATTTTGTTTCAGGAAAAATGCAAGTATTAGATTACATTTTAGCCATGACAAAGTCTACCACTACAGACAAGGTAAGGAACTAGCTCAAACATGTTTTATGTCGACAGTAATACTTACTAATCTACAATGCTGTTCATACCATAATTTTCTGTTTTAAGAGCATTGATTGTTTCCTGGAAACTTGATTACTCTCATCAATATTTAAGTGCTCATGGATCAGTTGTAAGTGTTATTATGGAGATATGTAAATAAAGGATGTTAGTATAACATCTCTTATTTTGCATCCTACGATTTTGATTGCAATTTGGTGTTTTTAAGCACAAGTAAATTTTTCAAAGACAAAAAAATTGCATGAACCTGTGGGGCAAGTGCAGTTTGTAGTCTTTGAAAAATTTACAAGTGCTCATTACGCCAAATTACAAGAGAAATCATGTTATTACTTGTTAATAATGCACGTGAAAAAAATGATGAAGAGACAAGACAGACAAAATTTTATAAAGATGTATGTAATTTACACTTGTGTTTCAACTTTGCGCTGATGTTAGATGAGAATATACTCATTTTTAGCCAATCAGAAGTAATATATTATCTTTTATAGTGTTATTGATATGTGATGTACAATTGTTTTACAACAGGTTGTATTGGTTTCAAATTACACTCAAACCCTGGACTTGTTTGAGAAACTTTGTAGACTAAGAAGGTAGGTTTTGCATTCAAGTAAGTTGTCTAAATCCATTGACCATGTCACTCATTTTGTGAAGATATTTTAAGTTTTCATTTGCTAACAAACTGTTAGAAATTCAAAGTGATCACTAAAGATATGCAGGTTTAATATGTAACCCTAGATCATAAATGCATTGTACATTTTGTGTTAAGCTCGTAACCACCTGCTAGACAAGTTCAGTTTTAACAAACAGATTCCATGTTGCCATGCATCTGATCAGTAATAGATCACAGATGATATCAAAATGTGGTAAGTCAGGACAAAAAAGTGGCATATGAGGTACACCCAGAGATGATGTCTTCTCCCTTAACAAGATTAAATATAGTCCTGTTTTGGAATGATTTCTTCACCAATTCATGTCTTGCTACAGTTTAGATCATCACCTCCAAAAACAAAAATTATCACTAATGGTTATGGTAACTTTTTTCAGGTACCAGTATGTTCGTCTTGATGGTACCATGTCTATCAAAAAGCGGCAAAAGATTGTTGACCGCTTTAATGATCCTCATGTAAGTAGCATTAGTACTAATAAAAATGACTGAAGCATTTATGGTTCACTTGATCAGATAGTGATCTTTGGTACAATCAATCCAATATTATCCTGATTTTGGAATGCTTTAAGATTCAAAGCTTCAACTACATAATCTCAAGGAGATGTCAAGGTAATGTTACAGTGTTTCAGAAACCACTAACAGTGTCACCCAAAGGTTTTTCTTGCATTTAACATCATCAAAGTAGGTCACATATGACTGTCACTAGTTATACCTCGAGAAAGAAGTGTTACAGAATTGTTTCAATTAATGTGATTACAAATCAGCTTGTGTAGCATCACTTTCTTTTGAATATGAAATTCTGATTGGATTGGAAAGGGAAAAAGCTATTATGTTGAAATAAATTCTTGGATCACAACTGATCGCCACTTGGTTGATCAAAACTTTTGGATCTGTAGATATGTGGAACTGCTGATTTACATGTACAGTACATACTGTAGTTCTTATAGCAAGTTATGCTATTTGACTCTATGTGTATGTTTGCACTTCTCTATAAAATAATCAATGTGGACAAATTGGCAGTTACTGTTTTAAAAGTTATTTATTAAATGTGCTTCATTGTTTTTTGCTTTAGAGTGGTGACTTTGTATTCATGCTAAGTAGTAAAGCTGGTGGGTGTGGCTTGAATCTGATTGGTGCTAACAGACTTGTAATGTTTGATCCTGACTGGAATCCTGCTAATGATGATCAGGCAATGGCTCGTGTATGGAGAGATGGACAGAAGAAAAAGGTTTGTTACATAATTATTATTATTATTATTATTATTATTATTATTATTATTATTATTATTATTATTATAAGTATAGATTTTAAATTGAGCTCAGGTAGAACTTGCAGGGAAATAGATGGGCTAACTTCAATAAGAGAGTCAGGTTTTTAACTCCTAATTAACAATTTATGTGCTTGAACAAAAGTAAAATTTTAATGAGGCTTCTTTGGTGTCTAGCAGAGTGCTGTATAGTTATGGGAAGGTTGTGAATCAAATTTTAGGAAATTATGCAACATTTGTATTCTAATGGTATTCTAAATGATGTACTGCTCTTCTTTAGGTCTTCATATACAGACTGTTATCGGTAAGTTCCACCATAAAATATGACCCAAAGGTTCTTGATACAATAATTCAATCCCAAGCTTTAATAAGGTGTTTCTAAGTTACAAATACCCTATTAAATTAATGCTGGAGCATTATTAATTTCATAGAAGGAAAAATAATTTTTTTTTATACAAAAGACCTTACCCTTGCCCTTGATTTAAATCTGAGACTTTCAGCATCTTGGAAGTGGCCATTTAACCCTTTCACTCCCAATATCTTGTTTTATTTAGTAATTCTCCTTACTGTCTGCCAAACAATGCTTATGATGTTAGTTTGGAGAATATGGTATTGGGTCCATTAATAATAGTTTGATTGATATTTTCCTTTAATCTGTTCACTTGTCTGCTGATATTTTGTAACTAAGAAATTCTGTCTTGGTCACTCATGGAAGTTAAAAGAAAAATTAATTTCTAGTAGAAATTTTCTTTGCAAGTTCTCAAACATGAGTTTGGGCATGATTGGCTTTAGTTAATGAGAGGGATACAATCCTAACAATATTTTTTGTTTATGAACATAATATTTTTCAAATTAAAAAAGGGGTGAGTTTCAAAAGAAACTGTGCTGCTGGATCAGTGGGAGAGTATAACAAGGTAATTTAGTATTATTAAGTGAGTTGATAATGTAACTTGGCCACCAGCTTTGAAACTCTTTATGGTGGCCAATTTATGTCATCAACTCAGTTAATAATTCTTAATTACCCTGTTATGTTTGTTGCCAGATTTTGTCACACTTGTTAAGATCTTGTTGTGAGTATAATTATTTTCCTATTTTAGACAGGTACAATCGAGGAAAAGATTTTCCAGCGACAAGCCCACAAAAAGGCACTTAGCAGTTGTGTCGTGGATGAAGAGGAAGATGTAGAAAGGCACTTCTCAGTGGGGGAGTTGAAGGACTTATTTCGTTTGAATGAGGATACTCTTAGTGATACACATGACAAGTAAGTTGGAACATTTGAACCCAATGCACACAGTGGAAACTCTCTTTTGGGACTCTTGCACTCAAAGGAATCAAGCTTAGGTTCCAACAGAAACCATTTGCCACTTTGACCTTTTCATTTCTTGCAAGGCTCTAAGCTCAAATTTTGGCAAAAGTTACCTCTTGGCTTAAAATGGTTGCCAGAAATAAAATTGTGAACCCTCCTCCTGCCCCCTCTTCCCCCACACAAGAGAGGACAACAATGAAAAAGAGTATCTTGTGAAAAATTACATGATTTTCAAAACCACTGAGTGCACCACCTCTTTACATTCTTGTCACTTTAACTTTACCTGATTTAACACAATAATGCTCCCATCACCTAAATCATTTTGTCATGACTGACTTTTTTTTTCATGTTTTGCACAGATTCAAGTGTCGTAGATGTGTAAACAACATTCAGGTTACCTTACCCCCTGAGGGTACTGACTGCAGTGCAGATCTGTCACAGTGGAATCACTGTGCAGATCGCAAGGGACTGGATGATGTCATGTTGAAAGGAGCTTGGTCAAGTGGTGTAACATTTGTATTTCACCAGAAATCACATGAAAAACAACTTGGTCTTTAACTGGTGGATTAGCACAATTTTAATAATGAAATTGGATTTGAAAGTCACTGGACATGATCAGACCTCCATGGCAAAGTTCTAGTAACTTATCTGAAGCATTGTTTTATAATCAAAATTTGAAAAATTAGAGGAGCATGTTCTGGTGCCCTAACCAGTCTAATTTGTTCCTTCAGCTGATAGTTTTACTATAATTTAATTTCAAAACTTTTTAAACCCCCATCTTGAATTAAGATAGCACATCTTTACAGGCTTGTTTAGTTACTGAGACTTTATAGAAAAGGTCCTCTGGTACCCAACAGTATTTGCCATGATTCAACCAAAATCATCATTCAACCACATGTCTCAGTAAATTTTTCACAAGAGGCTGCCAAGGGTTGAAAAGGCAGCTGTGACCTTGAAAAAGTCCATACTCATAGCTCATATCCAAACCTCTTACACCACACCTAACACAATCAGTTTGCAGTGAATGTTTTTAATGTTTTCATGCAATGAGGAAACTCTACAGTAGACTTCTAAATATGGGCAAACCATTCTGAAATGTTGCACATGTTGATTGACAATAATGTATTATCTAAATGTTTGCCCTAATTATTCATTCAATTTTTATTCTCAGCAGAGAAAAATGGCAGTGAAAATATGTATAGTATATTTTTTAAATAATTAGATTTTAGAATTATGAATAAATGGATCTAGAACATAGCCATTTATAAAAGATGATTGATTAATGCTAGGGTTGACATCTGAGGACTAATGATATTCTTCTGTCTCTAGGCACAGTCTTTCCTCTCCAAACAGACTCTTCTTCTTTCAATATTTCATGGGTAAATTCATACCTTACAGCATCTCTAATTGAATGAAAGAAATATATTTTACTCATTTTCCATAAGTGTCTCTTACTTACAATGCTCCTAATAGAAAGTGTTTTCCAATAAGTCTATCTTGCCTAGACCTGTTGAGTAAATAGCAGTGTGGAGTAGAGGAAAAGCATTTCTGGTTGTAAGCTTCTAACCATTGGATTTTATGATCAACATATTACCTTAATGCTGAAACTCACATGAAGCATTACTTAACATATCCCTGGTGTAATGTAGTTATGCTAAAACAAACCAGCACCTCACAAAATTATTGGGATATTGTATCATTCATGTTTTATTTTTAACTATTATGCTTATGGCATTGCATGCATATACCTTATGATATAGAGTGATCTTGGCTGGAGAAGGGTATCAACTTTGACATTGCAAAGCTTTTCATGTTTAAATCTCATAACTGAAGGTGACAGTAGACTAAGGCCAGATATTATTGCTCCACAAAACTGAAAAGACAAAATTCATGATGTTTAGCTTCTTTGCCTCCTCAAATAAACTTCTTTTTAAAACCATTTACTTGACAGTTACACTCCACAAAACAAGGTTTTCATCCAAACTATAGTTCCTCATATAAAATTGTGTGTGTGTGTGCATGCATTTTTGCATACTTATTTTGGAGTACTAAGAGATGTCAGACTTAAAATGCAAAGGTTTAAAAGTAGTATTGTACTAAGTTTAATAGTAACTGGAACATTTACTAATTTTGATTGATTTTGTTTTCAAGCAAATATTTTAAGAAGCCATCTGTTACCTTAATGCTGTCAATGTGGGGTTTAATGTACCTGAAACAAAATAAGATATTAAAATACATGTAATTTTAGTAATTTAAACCTTGCTAAGAGACAGCTTGCAACCAAATGTTGCAAACAGAATGACTGAAATAAGGTTTAGTACTGGTACTTTTTTTCAAACAATGAGCAGTATTTTTATTTGAACAGTATAACTGTACAGGAGCCTAAAGCACTTAATACACTTTTAATCCTTTACATTCGTTACTATTCTTCATACAGTTCTTCATGCATTTCCTAAGATGCTGACAAGGAGAATGCATGTAAAAATGATCAACTTCTTCAGTTGGTGATCATTTCCTTGATTCCTAGGACCTTAGTATGTGATTCAGGAGTGATAATGTAAAGAGAAATTTGATGCTAGACACTCTAGTGATCAAAGGGTTTAGTGTTCAACAGCATTGGACATTGTAGAACTATTAACCATTGTTGACAACTACGCATATGAAAATAACACACATGGATCTTAATAGGAACTGTCATGTGCACAGCTCAATGTTCAACCAAAAACAATCCCTGTAAAACAATCCCTGTACAGTTTGTCTCCAGCCTGAAAAATTTTGTTATGGGTTTAGTTCATTCACATGTATAAGGAGTTATTTACCATTTAACCATCTAATTCACAGTATCTGATCATTAATTCTCTCCTCTGGCTGATACACATTTCCTTGTAAATTAGGTACAAGCATTTGGTGTTAGATCAAGATAACAACCTCTACCTGAAAATTTTGATTACAGTTTAAGGGAAAAGTTACATGTTAGTCAAGTCTGGGACATAAAGCTTAGCAGTTACAATCATGTAATTACCAAAGTGGCGGTAAAGATGCAGTGCCTTCATTTACACTTAGGAGGATAATTGTTTGAGATTATAGAGAATAAGCTAGGGGTCTGAAAAAGTACTTTATTTCTTATATTTTAATCACTTCTGGGAGTTAAAGAATTAATAATCAATTAGCTTGCTTTAACATACCCGTTTTTTGCTAGATCTAATGCATGAACATGGGGCAAGAGTTCCATGCCAGGCTTGAATGCAACATCTCGAATTCTCTGGAAAACTGACAAACACTCTTGACTCCATCTTGGCTTTTCTGTTTCTCTATACCCATGGATTGCCTGCAAGAATTAAAGATTCCGTGATGAAATAGTCCTCAATCATTGGGTTGCACTTGAATTATTTGCTTAAGCTACAGGTTGACACAAAGTTGAACTGGGTTAATGTAAGAATACTATGTAACTTTATCTTTGCCTATTAAAAAATTATGTGGGAAAATTTCAATATTTTTTTCTTCGCTAACCTGAGCTGAAGACCTCAGATCAGATCTCAATGTGATCCGATGAATATTTTATTAAAAAATAACTTAACCGAATTCTGACAGAAAGGGGACCCGAAAATATGTTACTAGAGTTCTGTAAAGTTGTAAACGATATCGTTACACGTAAATTAAACAGATCGCATTATCACTATTTATTCCATAATGTTACTAGCGGTAATGACACTTACATTGTCCCAGTGATCATATTGATACTTTTGTCTCTTCAAATATGGTTCGATTTCCTTCAACAGTAAAGTTTGCTCTTCTTCGGAAATAAAATTTCCACAAACTTCTAAATTACCGACAACTAAATCTTGCACTGTCTCCAACTCTTCGGTACTACACCCATCAGTAACAAAACAGATCCTGTTCTCTTCGTTCAGATTAGTAGCTGTACTCGAGAGATATCTCGTGAAATATCTGAAAAATTTTGCATTAATGGAAGAAGAACGGGATGAAAATAGTGACTTGCACAAATTCAATACCTTCTTGTCCGCCATATTGGTTTCTGAAGTAACCGCTGATATTTGAGACCGAAGTGCATCTGAATCAGTCACATGACTCTCTGTCATATAAAGTAGCCGTTTCGCGGGAAGAAAGACCGCGGGAGTTTTTAAATATGGAGACTGCATCGGCTGCCGAGAGGTAAGCGTGATTGTAAAATCAACTTAGCGTCATTAACTGCTGGTCTAGAATGTATCATTTGGTCGATTACCAACTTATCACTAACAACAGTTTTGTTAACGTTACAGTCATTAAAATCGATCGATGGCTCGCTGCAGAACGATTAATATGTTCGTTACGAAATCGCATCGATCGAGGACTTATAAACTTGGCTAATTAGTTCATAAATACAAGTCGGTATCCTTCGATTTCTCTCAGTTGGTGTTGCTATATTTTTAAGTTGGCTGGTTTAATTTAGATTTCGTGAAAACCCCGGAATTCTGACGGGTAGACGTCCATATTTTCGAGAAGATATTGAATTCATACAACTTACTTATCTGAAAAGTGTTTGATCACACTCACAGCCAGTCTCTTTATCTTGCAGGAAGGCTAATGGATTTTGCAGGTAATATTTATGGCTTTTTTTTTTGTAAATGCCAATGATTTCTCTCTCCTCTATGAGCTGTATTGAGTGTAACTCTAAACACTTTTACACCCCAGTATCAGTTTGCATATTCGCTGTAGTTTTTTTTATACATTTCTAAAGGTGCTGACAAGGAGGATTTGTTTAACGATCTGGAGCTTTTTTGTTGTTAATCATTTCCCTTCATTCTTGTGGCCTTAATGTGTGATTGGAAGGTGATTCTTTTAAGAGAAATATGATGCTAGTTACTCTTGGGAGTCGTGAAAATTTATTATTCTGTTGCTGTGAAATATAATTGATAGGTAAAAGTTCCTCACCCAGATTTTTGCTTAGTGGGAACGGCATTGAATTTAAGGTTTTAAAACATTCAAGTTTTTGATCATGGTTACAAATTGCTTAATTGTTCGGCTGAACTATCACAAGAAATGAAACAATGTTTACAAATGATTTTTAAACATCTTGATAACCCAATCTATCAGCCTTTTGATGCAATCTTCTTATCAGTTAATTCCCCTCCCTCCCCACCCCCTTGTGTATTCACTGACTGTTGTTAGTCCCACCTCCTAGTCCTTCCATAGTCTTTTCAATTTTGTTTCTTCAGATGTTGAATGGGAATGGTTGATTATATTGAACTATTCATATTTGCAAAATGTAGTCTTTGATTCAAATTACTGGCCTTACTCTCAGATCCTAATTTCTTGTCTTCCTACAAATTGTAGAATGAGCTTGGACACTTATATCTCTGGTTCCAAATTATTTGTCAGATATTACATACGTGGAGAATGCAGGGAGGGTGATAACTGCAGGTTTTCACATGACAGCAAAGATGTCCCTGTAAGTATTACATAGCTATTGGATCATTAATTATTATTCTGAATTTAATATCTGTTGTGCTTGATAAGTCAGATGCATAGAAAAATTTAAACTGCTTTATACACTCACAAGTGGAAGTTTGGTAGTGCCCCTTAGACAATAACCTTGCAGGAAAATTGTTGCTCTCATCTATGAAATCAAGATTTACTGTGCACTATTTCCTCCTGCATTTTTCCTTTTATTTTTTATATAACAGCTACTTTTCATATGTTAAGGAAAAATAGACACTTCACTTAGAAAAATTATCCACATTGACCAAACTTACCATAATGTTTTCAATGTTTGACAACAGGCTGAAAGACAGGCAGGCTTTCATATTAACCTTTCAACCCCTAAGAGTGATTAACACCTAATTTCTCCTTACAATTTCAACCCTGAATGTCAAAAGAATTGAGGAAATGATCACCAACTAAAGAAGCTGTGGATTGTTTAGCAAATTCTCCTTGTTAGCACCTTCTGAAATTTATGGAGAACAGTATGGAGAATATGAATACTGATGTTTGGGTATAAAGGGTTAGGTTATAATCTCCATAGAAAGTTGTTCCAATTTAAAGTCACACTTGGCTAATGGAATCATATGTGCTCCCAGGACCCTGCTGGAAAGTGAAGACAATCTTGGAAGCTTTTCCTAGAGTTCTAAGTTTTCTTCTTTGGAGCTTTTCTAGCTTTCCTAGGTTTCTTTATCCGGAAGAAAATTAGATGCTGGTCACCCTTAGAGGTAAAGGGCTTAAGATGACCAAGGACAATGTGTGCTTGTACCCTGATTGCTACCCAGGGATTTTTCTTGTCATTATAACTTCTGTCATCTTTGAGCCAAAAAAGGCCTCCTTCCCAGTTACTTTTACAATAAAAGATTCAAAATGCTTTCTCTCTTGCAAGGTTTGCCACTATTACCAAGAAGGACGCTGCTTATTTGGAAAAAATTGTTGGTACAATCACCCTGATGAGCAACTTTTCATGTAAGTCAGTTTAAACTAAATGTCTAGATTTGAATGCATTGTTATTATCTCCTTTGACAGTTGAGTTTCGCAAGGAGATGCAGAGGCCTAAAAATTGGCAAATTGAACTCTGGGTTGTCAAGGGGGGATTCTATGTTATACTCATTTTTTACTGTCACAGAGTTTTTCTCCACTCAGGAGTATAGGTAGCTACTGGCAGGGTAGTCTTCTGCTGCTGTTAAAATCAAAGATAGCAGCTATAGTTTTCACCATGAGAATTCTGTGCAATTGTTTGCAAAAGTTAAGCCTGCTCTATAGGCTAATTTAGTGTTCTGTAGACTCACTAATTGAGCCAAAATTTTTTCTGTCTCCAAAGAAATTCAGATAGTAACACCAAATTGGAGAAAGGTCAGGGAAGTCTAGTCGGGAGCATTGTTGATCATCATCTCATTAATGTATATTTAATTCTTTGTTTTAAGGCCTGCTGTTTATCCAGCCATAGCTGTTATTGGTGAGTGAAAGATAACATGTCTAGATTCACCCAAATTCAGAGATAGTTTACCCCTGAGAATTCAAATAACCCGATTTCAGTGATGTCTTCAACGACCTTTGGCAACCGCACAACTTATTCCAAGGCCCTCTCTTCTTTCCACCCCTGGGGTTCCCGGAGTTGGGACAAATATAGACCCCTGGGACGATCTGGGTAACCGCGTAGCTAAAGAAGCCTAGGAACGAGGAACCAAACTCTTAATTTTGTGCCAAAGAAATCGTTTCTCTTTTGCTCAGCTGTTCTTTGTACAGACCTGTAAGAAATTTCATCACCAACCTTTTACGTTTAAACCGACTTTCCAGAGCAAGTTGCATAAAAATTTCCTGCAACCGAAACTTGTTACACGCTATAAACAATGACAAGGAATAACTGAAATTTGTGAATCAATATGGAAGATGGAGAAAAACTGGAAATTTCGGAATGAAACACGTGGCAAGAAGTACTACTCACAACGCAACATATTGTTTCATGCAGGTTTCTTCACAGATTGCGTTGTATCATCTTGTATACAGCATTTTAATCATTACATAGTTGTTAGTTTAACTGAACGGTTCTCCCGTTAGAAATGGGTGCCGTTGAAGCAGGAGGCAACCTTAACTTGCTGTTAGCTGCTGCTGTCGCCGGGGTACAAACAGATGATGATGACAGCAGCAGTGATGGTGACCATGGGCGTGACCCTTTGACATTAGACGATGCTATGGAACTGTGGAACAGACTTAAAAAGAGACAAGGTCAGGAACGCGATGAATCCTTTTCAAGGCTCGATTGCCGGGGTCGGGATAAGCCTTTCAGAGTGTTTCCATACGATAAACTGTACTAAACTCCAATTTTGTGTGGTTCTAACTGATGATCTATTGGAAGAGAGACGCGTAGATAATGTCACCATTGATTTATTATGTTAAACCAGACCGATGTGCTGCACGTGATTCCTTTTTGTGGTTATTAAGAAGTTATTAAACGACTTAACATGTCAATGTGTTATTGTAGGTCCCACTCCCCTCTCTTGCAAGTAAACTCGACCACAACCAGTTCTTAGTCAGTATCTTTATAACTGTTTTCAGCTCGTGAGCAATCAAGTGAAGCCGAGCAAATAGAAGAAGACAGCGATGCATCAAGTAACGACTCCGACGCGTCTATCTGCTTAGAGAAACACATCCACGAGTTCTTTCACGAAATCCGAAACCACGACTTGAGTTTATGGGACATTGAAACGGTGTATAAGCTCATCTCTAATCTAGCTGAACTGTCTATCAAAGAATTTGATGAGTATAACATCGCATTGAGCTTAATCCTGGGAGAAACTGTCCGTCATTGGCGCCCGTCTGCCAGTAATACTGCAGAATTGTTCTTGAAGATATGTGAGAAGGACGGCGCAGATCTTTCCAGTTTAATTCTTACGCTGTGTAATGCGCCAGTTAGAGTCAAATTTCTGGAGACCCACATAGCATGTATTTTGACGGTCGCGCAAAGGACTTTCACCAAGGAGTGGTCCGCAGAGGCAGTCGGGAAACTTCTTCAAGTTGTCGAAGACAATGGGTTTAATATTGATGCTACAGAGGTTTTTCATCGCATGGGAAAAGAACTAGGGGACCCTGAGTCATTAGGGAAGCTCGTTCGGGAATATCTCCTGGCAACAGGCGATAAAGATTCTTTCAATTGTAGGTGTAAGACGGCTGAATGTGAATGTACAGTTACAGTGGACGAAGGACTTGCTTACATCGTTTTCGCAGGACTGGAGAGGAAGATGAATTGGGACGACGAAAAGAAATTAGCGTTCTTCAGGAGTGCCACAGATACGTTATGGGCGCCTGATGTTTTGAACGAATTAGGTAACTTTATTGACTTTGTATGTGACTTTGAGGCGGTTTTACTAACTTGTCAGCAGCTCTTGGTTATTAGCTCTCCAGGACGCGCTTACCATACCTCACTTCACTCTGCTGCTTGTTTCCTTTCGTTTCGCACTTTTGTTGGCGTTTGCTTTGGTTGGCGATCAAATGCTTTGGTTGGTGATCAAATGCTTTGGTTGGTGATCAAATGCTTTGGTTGGTGATCAAATGCTTTGGTTGGTGATCAAATGCTTTGGTTGGTGATCAAATGCTTTGGTTGGTGATCAAATGCTTTGGTTGGTGATCAAATGCTATGCTTTGACTTGCCCTTCGTCCGAAAACTGCTACTAAATATGGCCTCTTAAGGAGTGATGGAAATGTCTGATGTTTGCTGTGAATCGTTTGGAAGAATTTGCACATAGTGTTGTTTTCGAGTTGTTTCAATTCTTTGAAAGTCAGATATTTTGTCTTGAAGTAAAGAAATTCCCCACAAACATAAAAAAACCCAATTAAATTAAATTACATGCAGTTTTTCTAAAAATTTTAAATTCCATCTTCTATACAGTGAATTTTAAGGACCCCAATTTTAAATATTTTTAGATCTTCTAATTTTGATAGGCTACTTTAATTATTGTATTTTACTACATTTCATTTTATTCCATTTTACGCACGACCCCACAAGCGTGTAGTCGCTTTAACAATTATCGTGTTTAAATAAAGTCTTTGTATTGTATTGTATACAAGGTGAACTTTTCAGTATAAAGGATCCCATGAACGTTTGCCAACCTCGAGTAGACAAACGCCTCAACTGGAATGCGAAGGAGTTTGTGAAGGCTGAAGAGCGTGCTGCTGCAGAGAGACCGTACACGAAACCAAACAACCCAAGAAAATATCAGTGCAAAGGAGCAAGATGCTCAAACCAGCCCAAGAAAGGGTGCGAATTTGAAATGTGTGGACGGTGTTGTAAAAAGATCGCCGAGCCATGTTCTGTCCACGACGATGCGTTTAGTGTATTTGAGCCCCCAGTTTTTGAACGGAATTTAAGCTTCTACATGATTGAACCCAAAGTTTTCTTCAGGTTTGTATCCAAAGGAGTTGGTTGTTCATTTGAAAGCTCAAACCATATGCTGAACAATTCAGATAAAAACTTAAACCAATCACGATTTTCTCTGCATGTCACGTGGTGTATTTGTTTTCACGTTGTACTCTCATTGGTTCCCATTTTCTTCTTTGTTTTGATTGGCCATCGTGATTGTTACTTGGCTCTTGGTTTTACAACTTAGATCGAAATATTCTCCAACTTACAACACAAACATAGTAAGGGTAGCTCAAAAAAAAATTATGGATCGCGTAGAGGTCTTGAAAGATTGGCAAGCACAACTTTTTAACGCAATGATTTTCCTCTTCCGACCTCATCCAACTACCTATGAGGCTCACAAATGATCGGCAGTATTATTTAATTTGATAAGAATTTGTTTGCAATTGTTTGTCGAATGTGTTTAGTTCTAGGGATGACCTGGATGATATCAGCGGTATTCCTACACCATTCCGAAGTGTTACATTCGGTTCAGAGTTTTCTGTGCGGGATGATGACGTCATAAAAGCCGTGGACCTCTGCAAGGACAATTTAGTGGTACTAGAGCTTGGATCCTCAGACACAGGGACTGGCGTACGGTTGTCAGATGTGGCCGTGCACCACATTGCCAGCAACTGTCCCAATCTGCGCAAACTCCGTTTGGAGTCAGTCACTGGTGCTACCGATGCCGCGGTCATTGACGTTATGTACAGGTGCCCGTTAATGGAAGAACTAGAAGTCAGTGGTCATGACCGCAGTTCGGGTTCCCTGACGGATGAATGTATCAAGCGTTTGTTTGACATGAGTGTGTTACCAAACTTGAAGGGATTGATCATCACTGATCAAATGCGCGTGCGCCATGATGTGGTGTATCGACTGCGCAGGCGTCGACCCAAGCTGAAAATCATCGCTGGCGACACTGACAGCGACAGCATGGCGCATTCTATGGTGCTAGGAATGATGGGGATGTGTTATGGAGACGGGCTATATTAACAGCAGCGATGATATTCGTTTCCTCAGGGCGGGGGTGTTGATGCAATAACTGCGTCCACGGATAAACAGAACGAGATTTCCTAGTAAATCAAGTTTTTGTCAAGATCTTGAATCAGAGATCCGAAAAAGTGAAAGTTATCTCCAAATGCTTTGTTTGAGTTGAAAAGCCCTGGCTTAATGCAAGCCAATGAGATGCATCATTGTGTGACGTTTTTTTTTTTAGTGTAATCAGTGTTGTTTACCATGAATTATGATTTTGAGAATTATGTTGTTGGAGTGACAAAATGATATTAGTAATTGAATGGAAAGAAAACTTCAGAATTAGTGTTTATCATACTGAACCTGTAAATTATGATCAACAAATACTGGATATGTAGTAAGATTTCAAATAATTATAAATTTATTATTTAATTAGTATATTTGATATTGTATTAGAGTGGCTTAGATTAATACTAGGGCTCAATTTAATTACAATAAGTGTGATTTTGTCGTGGAGAACTTGAAAGGACATCCAATGGGTTAGGAATTTTCTCTCCAGAGTATTTCAATAGTGTTATATGTTTGTGTTCTGGCTGGCCCAGACAATAAAATGACCACTGTAACCCTTTCCTCATCAGTATGTATATTCTCCATACTGTTCTCTATACACTCCTAAGGTCTTGGCAAGGAGAATTTGCTTAATAATCAAGAGCTTCTTTTATTGGTGATCATTTCCTTTATTTTTGTGACCTTGATGTTTAATTCAGGGATGATATTGTAAGGAGAAATTGGATGCTAGTCACTCTTAGGTGTCAAAAGGTTTAAAGATACTTATGCCTATTGAGGAGTCCTGAGCATATAACGAAGCACCTTGTTACTTCCTGTGTGACCTATACCACAAATGCAAATGTCAAATGCACTCGTTCCCCTTTGTCATCCTTTAAACTTAGAAAATAAATCAATTGAAGGATTTACAACAAAGCTTTAAAAATTATGTTGAAAAGTTTAACGTAACCAGTTAGCCTATGTAGGGGCCAGCACATATTGTCTCAGATCTGAGGGAATTTACACCTTTGATTGTTAATGTTCGCAGATAAAAGGTCGTAACCATTTTTACCTGTTCCACATATTTTTCACAGTTTTTGTCAATGCTTGCATTATTATCATCAAAACGGTGCCCTGCAGGTATTATAGGCGTTAAGAATCTAGAGTCTCTTTCTTAGTTGGAAACTGGGATAGTTATGAAATATAGCCGGTACTTTTAGAAAAATTCCACGCAGGGAGGGGTAGCCGGAGGTCCTTTTTGCAGAAGGGTACTTCACAACGTTTTTTTGCGGTTCAGTTCTTTCGGTTTTCTACCCTTCTTCCGTTAATGGCACCTTGCAAGAAGTCTTTCAGAGGATGCAAATGTAATTATTTAAGGTGTCGTGCGACTTCTCCGCCATTACCGGATGGAGAATCACACCATTTGGCAAGTGCCTTTACTCTGTAAATTCCTTGCAATCCATGAGTTTTTCGTCAAGTGAAGCCTTATCTGCTAACAACTTAATCAATCGCTCGACAAAAAAGCCACATTTTTCAATAAACTGTACATTTAATGTAGGCACTTCAATTTAAGGGGGTACTTTCCTCAAGAAGATGACAACTTTCAAAGGTCATTACAAAGTGAAATCGAAATGGGTATTTTGAAAATAACTCTATGAATAAATTGCACTGCAAGTAATTCATTGCAATGAAGTATTCGTAGAAAATTTAAATTGAAACTTATAGAAGCCGAACGAGTATTCAAGTAAGATGATCCTAAACTTTAAACGAATTTTTACTTACAACCATTGTAGCGAAGTTGTGTACATTCAAATTAACCTAACTTTATCGGGTTTTAAATGATATAAACGCTCCTATTTTCTTTTGAATCGAACGATTCAATAAACAAAAAATAAAGTTTCTTGTCATTAAGTTAACGCTACCTTTTCCTTCGCTTTATTCTTGATAAATTCCATAGACTACCGCAACAGCGAATACTTCTGAATTTGTAAACACTGCATCTACCCACGAATCATGTTTTTCATCCCACAGAAAGCGGCTAGCAATTCTAACGTCTTGGCCCTTTATCTGCCCGATGCTCACACTGGAAATTATCTTGAAGCGCGTAAATCCCAGAAGCTTAACTCTCTCACAGATTGTGTGAGAAAGAGATTTGCTCAAAGCACGACATTTGATGGCATCGTACTTCACATCCTTCAACGAAGACGACAGCATTTCGTCCAGGATTTCTTTCACTTCGCCGATGTGAAATCGCTTGTCTGGCTCCATTTTGAAGGTGTTTTCAAAGGTGACTTTCTGATGAAGTGTGTGTAAATGGCTCGGTACAATGCTGGGGATGGAAACGATGCTGGATCCACGGTCTCGTTGAACTGGAAACCCAACCTCGAACAGACTTGAACGTCTGGCTCTTTGAGCCGAAACCGCGGGCTTCACCGGGACGCTTTCCGTTTCCAACGTGGAATCTCCTTTTTCAGACATCAATGCAGCACGTATCGTACAAACAGGCTTGAAAGTAAAGTGTATTGCCCCTTTGAGACCAGTCAAGTTGAGATCAAAGTGCTCTCCCTCCTTCTTGATAATTTCACGTTTCACTTCTCTTGCTGATGATTTAGTCACGTGACCTCAGAAACGCGTCATCGCTCGGGTAGTTTCCATGCTTCTGGCCGGGTCCTAGCAAGAAACTAGGAAATAATAATATTAAACTGTGGTAGTGTTTTCATCGGTGGATAAGACTTCATCTTAGGAATACGTTAGGGAGCACTTGATACCCAATGTCAGGAAGGGAACAGCTGCAAGTATTTCAGAGAAATAAAAACGAAAAATCTTGGTCAATTCGAGGGTGACACCGTGGAAACGGCTTGCCACCCTTAGGAGAGACGACCCTTGTAACAGCAATTCACTATCCCCTAATTGTGTACCAGGTGGGTTTTGAGCTAAATTGAATACTGAAAACCCATCGTTTAAGAATATGTCATTATTTATCGCCTGAGTGGGGTGGGGGTTTGTCGGAAGATTTTTTGAGGGATTGCATGGGAGAACGGAGGGGGATAAGTCGTTGCAAAACAGAGTATTATTAAACCTTTCACTCCAGAAGTGATTAACACGTAACTTCTCCTCATAACATCCATACACTATCCAACAAAAAGGTAATGAGAATACTCAGACTTATCAGGGAGAAGTTTTCATTTTGATCTTACACTAAATTCTCGTAACTAATTTCCAAGGAAATGTCTAGCAGCTCGAAGGGAGAATTAAAAAATCAGATCTTGGGAGTTAAAGGCTTTAAGGGGGACTAAAGAAAATTAACTCCACATAAGGGGGATGATTAAGAATACTACCTCCTCCCCCCCCCCCAATTAATTGCCCATTTCCTCGGAAATCGTTTCAGGGCCTGGTAAAGAGAGCAGCGATATAGGATCGTCTCGCGTGGCACTGGTGCCCAACATCAGTAGCTTTCAACTGAAATAATCCATTTAAGATCATGTTTTTTTTTAGTGGTAATCTTTTGCCAATGTTTCCGCCCTGTGACCGAAGGTACATCTCGGTGTCGTGTTATAGAAAATCGATGAATCATGATTAAATGTTTCTTTCTTCTCAAATTATATTCTCTCAGAGAGACTCATATTTGTGCCAACTAGTGGAACAGAGGTCTCGCCGAAGGCATTGGCACCAGCAACAAGAACTGATGGCAAAGTTTAGAAAATACTAGATGGATATTGCTGCTTTTGACAGCACTTCACTGTTGATAATGGCCACACATGCACGCGAAAAGAGGCAACGGAGAGAAATGCTCTTAAGAACGCACGTAAGATTGATATTAATTGAGAAAAAAGTGTTTGGGCAACGGCAGCGATTGCAATTTTTCAATTCTGACAAGAAACCTTTCCTCTGAACACCCACTTTGATACTCGAGCGACGGAACGGAAGAAGTGTATGTTGCTATTTATATTGTAAATACAGGATTTGAGCTTAATCCGTGCCACGAAACACTCAGCAATCGTGACAGCTGAGCTAAAGTATGCCTAAATGTCTATTATCCGCAGTAAATTTGTTTTGAGTAAACAGAGTTTAGACTGCCGTGCTGAAATATAGGTGAATTCGTGGTCAAAGAAAAATTATTTTGTCAGCCCCCAGGCTAAAGAGTGTTCAAAATTTAGTAAAATATTTCTCTTACAAGCACGCACCGTTCAGGTTGTCTTAATGTTGGCTGCTGAGATAAGGAAACTTTCGAAGTAATTAAGGTAATGATTTTTAAACAAATGCAAAGGAAAACTTGAAGAAATAGTTGAGACTTCATCGTCAAATGTTACTGAGTCGGTTTATCGTCGATACGCATCGGTCATACAATCGCGAGGAACGAACAGAAATTTGGCACAAAGCGTACCATCGCTATAGGTTGTTGTTTAGCGAGTCCGTAGCCACTAAGACAAAAAATATATCAGGACGTACTCTACAAAGTATAGCTAGTGAAATGATTTTTGCAGTATATGAATCTCCTGACGTATAGGAGAAGACACAAAGAATTTACGAATCTGTGTTCATGCACTGTTTATAAAGTGTTTACTGTGTGATCACAAATGGGGGTGTGTGCAATGTATAGCATGCTTCAAGCAGTTTGACTAACCTGCGACGGCAGTATATGAAAATCAGTTCACTGAGGTGACAAAGGAAGATAAAACATTCATTCTTCTCTTTGCTTTCAACGTGGAAGTGGTCACGAATTATCTCAGATGTTTTCTTCGTCGTTAATGGTCCAGCCTTTAGTTTGTGTTTTCGTTTCTGCTTTACGTGTGACCTCTGTCGTCAAGATAAGAAATCTGAGAAGCCTAGAGCTAATACTACAGTCGCCGTAACCCGTCGTAAACAGTTTGTCACGCAAATGTGAATAGTCCAAATGCTTCCTTGTAATAATGATTAGAGGGAGACATTAGGCCTATGCCCGATTATCTAGCGTTCCTTGAAGGTCTATACTGAAGCGAAATGAGATATCGCCATAATTTCACACCAGTGCAAAGGAAAAAATATTTAGAGTAATAACTTGACCCCTCCCCCAGTACCACCCACGACATTCCCAATTGGCTAAGGCTGACGGCGATAAACAAATAACAAATGTTATTGAACTGTATTATATTTCATTTATCAAAGATTGGGAATAATCCATACTGCTCTCGAGACATTTCCTGACAAGGAGAGTGATCATTTCCTTTATTCTCGTGGCCCTAATGTGTGATTTAAGGGAGATATTGTCGGGAGAAATTTGATGTTAGTCACTCTCCGGGGTTAAAGGTTAGAGAAGAAAATTATCTTAGAAAGGAAAGGCTTCCAAAGGTGAAGAAAACGATTGATCTGATGAGCTACTTAATTGAAGTTTTCAAAAATGGGATTGCTTTAAGCCATTCTCGTCCTGAAGTCAAACCTTGAGACTAAGCGATCTTTCAAAATGTGCTTACGCAAGTAGCATACATGTCATTCGTCGTTGGAAAGTCCCATCTATGTCCTTTGTAAACAAACTTGTATGGATCGACGTGGATCGCTTTATCTTTCTGATCCCGCCTAGTTAAAGATCATCTGTGGCTGGCTCAAAGATTGACAGTGGGCAAAGTATGTGTAAAGAGAAACTTTTTTGTCCTCCGCGGTCGTTGTTTGCGGTCGTTGTTTGCTCTACGCAACACGGAGAGAGAGAGAGAGAGAGAGAGAGAGAGAGAGCGTGTGTTATGAAACCAACAGGGAGGGGTGGGGGGGGTTATTGCGTGACGAGACCGAACAACGGCTGAGAGAGATTCTATAGTTTCCCTTGAATGCGTATTGGACGAATATACGAAGGTAACGAAATTTGAGCAAAATCAGTTTTATTACCTCTGATTTAAAGACTAATAAAAAACTATACAGGCTTTTGGAAAATAAGTGATGAAGCCTATCATAATTTCAGTTTATCTCAAAAGTTATGCATTTTATGATAATTTTTTTGTTTACGAAAAACTAAAAATGATTTTTTTTTACTCTTTCATGCATCTTAAACGTCCTTGTAATCACATTTTTATCAAATTTGATTAGAATCTTTAAAGATGGCTTGAAATGCATACTTCTGTAAACTAAATAACTGATTCCTGCTTATACCTATTCACTCGCTACTTTGCAGGCTGAAATATAAATCTGCCATCGCAGACAGATAAATCCAGTGCAGATCAACTATAGATAAAAACAGCTACATCATAAAAAGAACACTTTTCAAATATATACATATCAGCCATTGTCAAAAGAGGACTTGGGATCGTCCTTAATTTCCACTAAGGCAACACAGCGGTCAAACGCCTGCTCATGCGCTAACGTTCACGCGGCGCGTTATCGTGTTTTAACGCTATCAAGCCAAGGCACTTTATAGGACTTAAAGATAATCACTTAGGCTAGTAAGTCAAGGTGTCTGGAAAAGTTTTACATTTTTGATAAAGCTTAAAAAAAAAATGGCGAATCAACAGATAACACGAGATCTTGTGAAGAGGATCGCGGTTGCACCAAAATACCCACGGGAGAAAACTGGCCCAAAATCCCTTCTTGCTTGTTAAACTTTAGATACTGGTTCCGCTTCGCCATCTGGGATCTAGCGACAAACGAAAAATTAGAAAACACAGCCATATTAAACCTTATTTAAGTACTCACTGGTTACCAGAGATGTCGTTCCCCAATTCATTGCGAGCGGGAATAGAAAACTTTATTTCCTGCCCTCAGTGGCGTAAGGGAAAGTGTAACCCTCGCTTCCCACCGTAAGGGAATAGGGGATCGTCCTATCGAGATACGAATTTACTACATGCGCAAAGAACTCTCAAGAACTGCACCTGCAGCTCGTGCACATGGATTTTCGAAAAGGGTCTGGGTCGAGCCTCCTTCCGATGTCCCCCTTCTATCCCATTTACAGCATTCATCGGTTCATCTTACCTCCCAGTAATCACCGTCATCATACATTTGTTCCTGAGTTGGTGTGTCGCAGAACGACCCATTCACAATCATACCTAGAGAGATATGAAACGAAACTAATCACGAAACGCGCACTCCTTTATCGATTGATAACACTGTTATTGAACCAGGTCAGCGTAAAATGTCATTAATTGTCAGTATCTCGCCGCTGACGAATAGCGATATTCTGCTTAATCTTGTCCCACAGTTCATTTTTTGTTGTTGTTCAAAAATCATTATCCATAAGATATAAAGGTTTTTTTTCACTGTCGGCAGCTTTCTAAGATATGGGAATAAGTCAAAATTCTTATCACAAATAGGTCTATGCATTCTTATAAGCCCCTACTGTTTATTTTATATCTTCCTTGGGAAACTACGAAGTCGCCTGAAGATGTATATTGAAATCATGAGGTTTCAGAGAGATGGAGTATAAAAAAACGCGGGTGTTTCATTTCCTTTGTGTAACATAGCTAAAACTACATTCAATAATAATTCCTTGTTACGGTATAATAGTTTTATTACCAGTTACAATTCCGCCGATGATAGCAACACCAATTGTGGCCACGAGACCAGCGATCTGGTAACCAGCCTGAACAGAGGCTGTGCGTTGATCTCCCACGTTAAACTTTACACCCATATTCCTCATCTCCCAGTATTCAGTGGTGTTCATCTTTGGCGCACGCGCACTCCACACACTAAATAGACTTAAAATTGGAAAAAAACGAGTCAGTTGTTGGCAGCTAGCACGGATCATTTGCTGCTGAATCAGTTCTATAACAAAAAGTCGCATTTTCTCGGTTGGTTGTTTTGACCCTTTCTACCTCAACATTTGCAGTCATATTCCGCATACTGTTCTCTTTACATTCCTTATGATCCGGGCAAGGAGAATATGGCGACCATTTCATGAGCCTCTTAAATTGGTGATCATAGTCTTCATTCTCATGACCTTTACATTTGATTCAAGAGAGACACTATTGGGAGAAATTAGAAGCCAGACAATTCAATGACTATCACGACTTCTTATTATGCATTGGAAACTGGTCAAGAAACGCGAAGAAATTATATTTTTATTATGCCCCTTTAACTACGCGGAGAAAATAAGAAATTCCCTCCCTGGCGAGTTCTGGTAGAATGAAAAAAAAGCCACTTTTTCTTTCTTTTTTAAGGTACGCACGCTTTCTAGTTCCTGTCAGGATGCGCAGTAGACGTCTATGGATCACCTTAATATAATCAATGTCGACCACGAAGCTTTTCTCTATCGCGCACGACCGATAACGAGCAGGAGCACCCTTTAGGTCATGCGCATTAACGTTGAGATGTTCAAAATTCTAAGATAACGTACCCATCGTATCCGTATGTCTGAAAATCAGCACTAGCCGAGACGATAGCGCCCGCGATGCCACCAAAGATTCCCGGCATTCCATGCAAGTTGTTCACACCGCAGGTGTCATGGATTTTAGTAAAACTCGTCAACAATGGCTAGAGATTGAATAAAGACATTAGAAAATAACTATGTTTTGCCCTTAGCACTCAGAAGAATATAACCTGCAGTTTATTTATTAGCACTCATATCAATATGCATATTCTCCTTACTGCTAGCCGTACGTTTACTGTGGCACCGACTTGGAGACTGTTTTAAAAAATTGCAGGGATTTCTTAGTTGGCGATCATTTCTTTCATTTCATGACCTAAATGTTTGAATCAGCCGTGATACTGAAAGGGGAAATTAGGTCTCAGTTACTCTTAAGGGTTAATGGATTAATTTAACATTGTGCGTCGGTATCGGAAAATCTGTAGAATTCTCTGAAGGATTTTCCTCCACAATCAGCATGAAAATGAAATCTGATTTTAATCTTCGAGATTTTGAAATTTCATCTGGGGGAAATTCGAGTTAGTATGGAATAAAGCCAAATACATAACGTCACTAGCAGCAGAAACAAAAATAGAAACGTCGGTTAGCACGAGCACATTGTTTTCTTTGTAATTTCTGATTTGCGCGATTTTCTTTGTAATTCAGTTTCAGTGATTTGCGCGGTTATGTTTTGACCTTCCAAAAAAGCTTAGAGATAATCAAGATACAACACAAAACAACCTGTTTTTGCTCACACTAATGTATACGTATCCCACAGTGCTCAATGCTCCGGCACAAGAACCAATCAGAAGAGCTCCAAAAGGATTGATTGCCATGTTGGACACTGTTCCCACAGCAACGCCACCAGCAAGTGTTGCGTTTTGAACATGAACCTTAAACGTAGAGAAAGCTGTGATTAGATTCGGTGATAGCAATGAACAATTTTCAATTGAGTGTCGAAAGTAATCCGGGGTTGTTTTGGTTTTGCTTTACTTCGCTCTGTGGTTGGTCCAGAAAACTCGTACCACTCTCTCAGCCAATTAGATACCGGTTGCCAGCGTTTTCCCACGCTTTAGGCAGTTTGGTTGGTTTTTTATCTTCCATTGGCTGTTAAAACTGTTCTCTGTTCCTCTGAACGGCCACCGCGACTACTTTGATTTTGGTTTTAAGGGTTTTTAATTTCAATTCAACTGGCCTTTCACGCCAAAATCACGGTAATCAGGAATAACTTAAAACAGTGATGGCGCATTCTCTTGAAATATTCATCGACATCACCATATCGAAGAACTAGCGCTTGATTTGCGTCTTTTTAAAGTCCCCGTTTATCTCACTGAAATATTTTGCAATCATCTACAGTCAAAAGAAGAATCAAGAGGAAGACAAATTTTTCTCAGTTTGCATCAAAATCACAATAGTTTCTTCACCATGCTAAGCCTCCATTTTCCTCCACTTCTCTGAAACATGGGCGACAAAACGAATGTGGTGACGCAAGCAGCGGTCAGGGAGAAATATGTGTTGATAATAGAACGTTGCTGAGCAACGTAATCCGGAGGCAGCAGAGCAGCGTTGAAACTGGGCCAGAACAACCACAGGAATACAGTACCTGAAAATGATTTTAAAATGCATCAGAATGTATGATATAGTAATATAGAATACCTAAGTTTCAGAACCAAAGTGGGGGTTGTGGCACAAACTGAAATGTATCGAATGGCAGTTATGTCTCTCATAATAACAATAACAGTGATTTGAAGTCCTGATGTTACTCTTATTGATACTATCGATATTTTTGAAACAGCTTTCGTTTTCTCCACCAAATATCATAAGTCTCCTTCACAGCTGATCTTTGTAATGTGACGCAGCGCTTCTCTCAAACGTTTCGTTTCATCACACAACACGGCTGCGAAGAATACTGATCATACACAGCATGTCAGATTTGTAACTATGTATCTGTCGTGCGTGGTCGCGCAATTCGTTTCTTGAAACATTGCGTGACTTCTATAAGACCAACTAGATATTCATGCATCAAGCAATCTTTCACGCAATCTCGTGACTCAGGAATCATGTAATGTTGGGGATCTTTTGACACTGACTAGTATCGAGGCACATGCACGTAATTACACTAATACGCTAGTGAAAGTGCGGATGAAAACACTAGACAACCTCAAAATCTTACCAATCATGGCAAAAATATCTGATTGATAAACGGATGCTTCTTTTGGACTGTCCAACGAATCCTCATTGTATAACACTCGTGACAAAGCCAAGCCGAAATACGCGCCAAAGGTGTGAATGACTATTGACCCCCCTGCGTCTGCGTACTTCAGATATTTGACAGCAATCAAATTATTGATTCCGTAGAACACAACTTCCATGATACCGATGACCAGCAGTTGCAGGCGGCTCACTTTTCCTAGAACCGCTCCGAAAGTGATGAGAACTGCAGCGGCAGCAAACTCTGCGCCAATTAAACTACGTGGAATAAGAGAAAGAGGAGGCATGAGTCGAGTTAAATACACTTCCTTCGAGTCTAAATTAGAGTCTAAATACAGGAAGCAGTGAAGCAGAGAATGTTGTTCCTTCACAAAGCTTCATCTAAAGCGTGACTAGCCTTACAATATCACCACTGAACCAAGCATAAAGGAAATGTTCACCAGTTTAAGAAGCTCTTGATTGTTAAACAAATTCTCCTTGTCAGCGCCTCAGAAAATGTATAGAGCACGGTATGGAGAATATGCATGCTGATGTCGAGGTGTAAGGAGTTAATTCTTACTCCCTCTCACGATATCAGACCTGACATATTGCTTAATATTTTCTCTTAAAAGCTAGTTTTACCAATAGTTTGAAAGCGTTAAAGACGAAGATGTCTTAACTTACGTTTGCATGCTAACTTTGATGTTATCGTTTCCGTCCAAACAGATCTGGTTAAAGAAACCATTTATAATTGTACTCCACTGAGCGACGAGGGCAGCAATAAAGAAATTGTATCCCACAGAACCATATCCATACTTCTTCAGGAAGGTCATCAGAAAACCAAACCCGATGTAGATCATAACATGGACATCTTGAAATACTGTGAAAGAAAACAGAAGTTAAGTTACATTTCTGAACAGGATTCCATGTAATTAGCTTCTTACAGGGGTCAAGATTGTATGTCTAGAGATTTCAGCTAATTCATGTGAGATTGGTCATTATTTATAGCCGGAGGATGGGGGGGAGGGGGGGACGGAGTTAGAGGATTTTGATTATGTCATGAGAAAACTTTCCTGATCCTCCCATAGGGCTCTGTAATATTTATATCATCTTCTCTTCCCACCCCCGCCCCCCTTACTGATACTTAAAAGGTAGTCTATTTTCTATATTCCCCCATTAATCGAACCTCGGAATGAGGAATCGAACCTCGGAAAATAACACTTCAAATCGTGTTATTCTAAAATCAAGCGTAAAAAATTGTCTGGCTTCAGCTCCACTCCTAGATCAAATTAACATCAATAAAAAGAAAAGAAAAGCGAGAAAAATGTTTTCGTTATGAAAGCTCTACTTACATTATTACCCTGTTGGCGACGACTGATTTCCGTCCTTTCCCTCTGAAAACCAGGTACCCCCCCAAAAAAAATCCACCCCATTGCCCCCCCCCCAGCGATATATAATGAATGGTCCCTAAACGTACCCATCAATCACCCCCCCTCGGCAACTGCGATTTTTATAAATATCATGAATGGTCCCATTCAAACGTAAGAATCTTTATGTTAAACCGTTCCGGAAACATAACCTGTCACCCTTACCGGTTTCTCCCTCGCGTTTCCGTTGCAACAACATTTACGTAGACGTAAGACGTAAACATAACGAGCATGGAGTTTTACTAGTCCTACTATCAAACATCGTTTTCGTCCTTGTTTTTTTTTTGTTTTTTTTTTTCAGTCCAACCGGGTCAAATGAATGTTGTATATGACGACTTTTTATGTGAGTAACCGACCACCCAAGAGTATAGACTAAATACCCTGCAGAGTGCGTTTTCAATAAGTGCCGCAAATCCAAATTCAAAGTATTTACATCAGCCAATCAGATGACAGGTAAACATCACAAGTGAACTAAGAGTAAAGACACGTAACCTAGCGAAAGCGCGGTAAAACACGAGTAAGCAATCGTTTTGGAGCGCTTTTTGAATGATTATCGTAAAACTACACTTAGAGCGACAAATCAGAGAGAGAAATAGTCATGATGAGAAACTAAGAACTCATGTCGAAAAAAAGCAAACTGTTTCAGCGCGGAAAAACACGGTAGATTAAAGAGGTTTAAATTTTGCATCTGATTAGTTGATCGCATGAAGAGCTCGTTTCTTAGTCAATCATAGTTGATGAATGGGGAGTGTAAGACCAAAGTTCAAACGAAGAACATGTTGATTGAAGAATAAGATTGCATTTCTCACAAGCATTTCACGAGTAACTCGATTGTTTACCGACCCTAACAATGCCAGAACTCCCATTCAGTATTAAATATTAAAGCAACGTCGAAATAGGAAAGCGAAAACCCTTTACGTCGGGGTTTCTGCTCTCGGATTATGCAAAATTTTAGCGACATCACATTGTTGTTTTGCGTATGAAGGCTATGAAAAGTTCAAAGCTTTGAAACAAATTTAATGGTTTAGAAAAATAATCAAAGAGAATTTCTCCTTGGATATGATCCAAGTGATGAGAATTTAGAAAAATATCAAGAGAATTATTGGTTGATCCAGTGCTGAATTCTCCGAACTACGACCATAAGAATTGTATCGCAGACAGCAGGGGGAATTTCTAATGATATCTTGGGAGTGAAAAAGTGAAAAATTTCTCGATGCGTTTATTTGTTTTGGGGGTTTTCCCAAAATGAGCTTTACTAAATGATTTAATCTATTGAATATGTCATGAGATGAACGTGACCGGGCTGTTACGTAAATCGTGTTCCTGTGAAAATCTCATGACCAAGGAAAGTTAGATGGAACGAGATAACATTATTTTGGATTCCATCGTTTCCTTCCTACTAATATCCATTGGTAAGGCAGAAGTCTTCTCTGATTAAACAACGGTGAAGTTCATTTCTAGGTTATCGCTGATCCTCACGTGACGTGACGAAGCTTACAATCTGACCTGTGCCACACGCTCTGAGGGTTCCTGCCTTATTTGGAAAAAGTCACGTCGTCTTTTTTCATTCATATAGTGCTTACCCAAACGCAACCACTTTGATGCTCTAAATTTTTTCAAAATAGCTCCTTTTTTGCGCTCTCTTCTGTTTCTTTGTTCTTCTACGATTTCGTACTGATATTAAGCAACTTCACCAAACCTGATGACTTGTTTTAGTCTGTTTGTTTACGTGTCACGACTTAAGTGATTTTAGGAAACTCGTGACAGTGAAATGAAACGTCTCTACACCTCATTGCATGTAAATATAATTTTTTGGCGCGATTCCCAGAGATAAACTTTTGAACTGATTAACAAGAGACGTCACTTGTACTTTTGAGTGCTTTTTAATCAAGAATTGAAATCGTTCTAGGTCTAAACTTTTTGAAACCAACTTCAAAACGTTGAGAAAGATGTTTATTTTGTCTTGTCACGAATGTTGGGTAGAGAAAAACTCTGAGTACCCCGATGAGGAAATTGAACCTCAGAAATAACACTTCAAAACGTGTTTTCTAAAATGAAGCGTAAATAAAATTGTGTCTAGATTCAGCTGCACTCCTAAATCAAATTAACAACAACAACAAAAAGAAAACAACGAAAAATGTTTTCGTTATGAAAGCTATGTTTACATTGGATCGTCTACGTTCTACTTACTGATTCGTGATGTTTCAAGTCAAGAAATTGTTTTATCTTCATGTCAAGAGAAAAATAAGTGAAAATGGCACTTACATGGATAATATGTACGAACATCATTCTCCTTAGACCCTTCAGAAGTAAAGTTAGAGGTGCTGTGTTTAATAGACGGAGTAGCGTCGTCGCCATATCTCACCAGAACGGAGAACGACACCAGAAGTAGAGCTTGGAAGAGACCACTGACGAGAGAAAATTTGAAGCCCATGTTAGCTCCAGGCGTACAGCTCTGTTCTGTAGGACTACTACGAAGAGACTGATAGAGGGGTGAGACTTAAGGCAGGTCTAAATCTGTACAAAGTTCTACAGTGGAATGAAATATTTTTTGGCGACTAATTCCAGTTCCGATCTAGGGTTAAATAGTCTCCATTAGCCCCTCAGGTACAGAGCACGTGAAGATTGTTGCTCTTCAGAAGGGGTGTCGTCTCACTCCTCTCAGACAAAGAGGATTCAGAGCTAGGAATAGCTTTGGGCCTAAAGGTTAATTTCCACACAAACTTTACTCGTTTTTTCTTTCAAAAATTGTCAGTCATCGTTTAAGCTCTGAAAATTGGACTAAAAATCCTTGTTAATCTTTGAAATTAGATGAATTTATTTCTAAAGTGCGTGGAAAGCTTGTAATACGTACCCGAACAAACCTGTTTTTTTTTTTTTTTTATGTCCAGCACCTTACGATGGACCTTAGACCTTGGAACTTGAGTCCTCCTCTCTTGGGTACCTAAATAGATTCCTCGTCCTATGGGTACCCCCGTGAGCTCCTAACCAAACATGATCCGTGTGCGTGACAATGCTGTATATATCTTTACAATATCGTTATAAGAATATACAAGAATTGGATATTTTTGTCTATGTATGTTTCGCTCTTGTAACAAGTCTCTAAGAAATATTGATTATTTAACAATTGATGTCCCTTTTAGTCGTACAGAAACTTTAAAGAATTCTTTTTTTTACTCGGGTTTGTTGCGCATGGAACGAATTATCTCTCAGCATTAGGGAATCTAACGAACACCTTACCACTCTTTCGCAAGAAATTGTTTATTAATTTTTATGATAAGTTCAGTGCCACTTTTTTAATCGTAATTATTTTATTTCTATTATGAGTTTAGAGCATTTTTTAACACTGATTTTTTAACTTAGTAAATCAACAAGGCAGTTTATTTTAAGGGATCTTAAGCTGTCCTCAAATTGATTGAATTGACGTGCTCAATTTAATTAATTTGGAATTTGTATTAAAGATTAAAGATTTAAGTTTAAAGAGCAAATTGCTCTTTACCTCTCCTCTGTCATAAGATATTTCATGTGACTTTTCACCTTTTTATTTTATAGAAACGGAAGTCCGTCAATGGGTAATTATTGGAAAAACCGTTAATTAAATTGACCTTTTTCTCTGAGGTTGTCTTCTGTTTCCTAATGTCACAAATCCATTTTTTTGCGCTTTTTTGAAAAATAACAGTTATGATGAATCTCTAAAATGCCAGGAAGTATTGTAATATCCTGACAGTGCCCATTATATTTTTTCCTTTTCTGTAAGCGGCAAACAGAAAAGCAAACAAGTTTCGCTTTGCCTTACTTGTCCAGAAGCGCAGAGTACAAATTCTGTACCAGGCCTCTAGATTACTCGCACAAAAACTGGGCCATGTCTCTGATGCCCGTTGAGCCTTAGTACAGTTGAAGTCGCAAAGACCTGAAAATGGGTCTGAAATTTTCAGTAACCTGTGGGCTCTTCGAGCTGATGCTGTTGACCCTGTTTGCTGTTCTGGTTAAATATGGGGAGCGTGCTATGCCCCCATCGCGACGAATAAGCCAGGACGTAAACAAAAGCTCTGAAGTACACGTTCACACGGGTCCTGAGAATGATGTGCCGATTCTCTATCCTTGTAAGTGAAATGTGCATCGTTATCTCTCTAATACTTAGGATAAAGAGGAGCCACATTGTACTGTTTGGTCCTTACCCTACAAAGTGACACAAATTTTTTTCACGAAATAAGTCGAACACGTTTTGTCCTCATGTTCCGTCACCCTTCAGTAAGTCAGTGTTTTTGTTTTATGAAACAGTGAGGCCCAGCATAAAGTTCGCTATGGTTCAATGATAAAAAATAGGGGCGCGAAACGCGAAAGTCTGAAGTTCGATTCCTCATGGGGACTCTGAAATTTTTCTTGGACCTACGCTAAAGACAAGACGAAAAAACACCCTTCTTTAATGTTAAAGGGTTGATAAGAATGAAAATTATTTACTTGAAATGGAATAACAAAATCATTCAGCTGAGATGAATTTAAGCTATCGACACTTGCGTTCTATTAGTCGGGTTGGCTGACCTTAATTTTCAAAAAATTGCGCAAAGACCGTATAAACTTTAGCGTGAAAAGAGTTTTTGACGTTTTTAGATGAAACACACAGTTGGACAGTTTCTGTAGTAAACGATAGTCACTTGCTGGAACATGTAGTAAAATCACCGGTAGAAAGATTATTGTTACAATTTTCCTTTTGTCTTGTCATATAAATTTTTAAATTGTATTTAAGAGGACAAAAGAACCATGTCAGATTTTTCATTTTATTTTCAAAGCAAAATTGATCTATCATGATCTATCAGTAGCTTGAGTGCTTTCTTTTCTATTTACATGCCGGCTTTCACCGTCTCATTACTAATGTCCACTGCTTCGTGAGACCACGTTTTTCTGGTCGATCTGGGTCCAATGATCAACCCGCAAGAGTCTCATGATCACCAGTCAAAACCGCGAAACGACTCGTATTCGTTACCACGATACTTACTCTTTTCTTGTGATCGATGTAAGGCACAATTCCGTAACTTTGCGATATATTTTCCTTCCCAAGGGGACATAGAGGATATTACATCGCCGCGCGTGCACGTGGATACAAATTGTATCTTCGAGTATTCGTAACACCTATCAACAAATAAACATGTAAACACCCTCGCCTCGCGCTCACTTTTACGCGCGCGAAGGCTCTTGCTTCCACACACAGCTCTTGTTCGGTTTGCTCCTGTGCGCGTGTGTTTATAATGGATACATGCTCGCCTGGCGCAAAACCACACGCACGTCTTAGCCTTTGACCTTTATTACTTCTCAAAGAAAATTGGTTCAACTTTTTCCTTTTTTGATTCTTCTGCTTTAATCTGCTCCTTAATTTTAGTTTCGATTGAGGAGATAGATCAAACATTCGAGACAGCATTCAGTCATATTCGCAAACGTGTCGAAAGTCGTCAAAAATACACCGTTACACGTCATGTTTTCAACTGTTATCATGATTGTTTCGCTTTTCTTGCTGTCTCGCTTCATTTTTTTTCTTACGTGTCTTCTGTTTCCTTCTACAGTCTTTCAGGATGTTAACGTTATCGTCTTTTTTGGCGTTGGTTTATTGATGACCTTCCTAAAGAAGTATGGTTATAGTGGTGTGGGATACAACTTCTTCATTGCAGCCCTCCTTTCCCAATGGGGTGCAATTGTAAATGGCTGTTTTAATCAGATTTACATCGATGGAAAAGACCACATTGAAATTGGTCTGAGAAGGTATGTATAGGTAATCACATGATTTCGAGTGCAATTTGGAATAAATAAGCACGAGTAAATTTTTTCAAAGACTAACAAAATTGCACGAGCCCGTAAGGCGAGTGCAGTTTGTGGTCTTTGAAGAAAAATCATGTGATTACGAAATAATAATATACATGAAAAGATACGAGATAGCTTATCATAATTATACAGAAGCAAAGCGCGCGCATCAAGTGCAAAAATAATTTATTCAAACCCTGCAAGTGACATGGTACTTTCGGTCAAAACAACCGCGTACGATCTAAACAATAATATACAATGATATTTTCACATATTTAAGGCGTAAGAAGGTTCAAAGTCCAGCTAAACAGTTCAAGGAGTTGTTCAGTCTGGTTTGTTACTTCTTTGCACTGATTTAACCCTCTTCTGCATTGAATTACCTGAAAACTGCATTTATCTTAACCAATCAGAATTGAGTAATTTTTTCATGTATTTTGTTAGTGCCAAAAAGATCCAAAAGTCGTATTTCACCGTTTATTCTCTATAAAGACTTTATTAGCAGGCTAAGTACAAAATGAATATTTTTTTCTTTTTCTTTCTGTGCCCTATAGAAAGTATTGAAATTAAGTTTACTAATCTACCCACCATGTTGTCTGGCATAATTAAAGGTATAAATGTGTGAGAGTGGAACAAATAGGCTCGCAGCCCGTGCATAATTACGAATGCAACGATTTACTTCTTATGCTTTCGCTTCGTCTGATTTCAATGCAGTTTGATAAGCGCGGAGTATGCCGCCGTTACTGTCCTCATCAGCTTTGGAGTGGTCTTGGGAAAAGTGAGCCGCCTGCAACTACTTGTCATCGGTATCCTGGAAATATTATTCTATGCCGTCAATAATTTGTTGGCAGTCAAATATCTGAAGTACTCCGACGCAGGAGGGTCCATATTCTTGCATGCGTTTGCGGCGTATTTCGGTTTAGCCTTGTCGTGGATACTTTACAATGAAAATTCTTTGGACAATTATAATGAAGGATCCAGTTACCATTCAGATATTTCTGCTATGATTGGTAAGATATAAAGGTATTATCCTGAAACAATTCTCTAGGTATTTGCTTAAGTATGTCACAGCAGTCACACACACGACAAATTGAATCGTATTTGGCTCAGCTTACAGAGCAGCTGTTGTTTCTATGTGTTTTTTAAAAAGAAATAGTGCGGGAAATACGCGCGTAAGATGCACGGAGTGCGAGCAAATCAACCGCCTAATCCCTACTCGAGCCCCGTCCACATCCCCTCTTGTCTGAAACTGCAACAACTTACACTAGCACTTACCCCTGACTCGTCTCCAGTCATCTCCGAGGGAAGCGCTCAGGGGTGAATCAAGGAATAGCCACCTTACCTCCTCCTCCTTGTCGCCTGTCACAATGCCCCGTATCTATTTCTCTCGCGATTCTAAAGACCGAAAACAGGCTGGAGATGAATCAACATTCGCCATTGCTTGAGTCAACATTCGATCACTGACAGACATAAAAAGACCGCAAATGTCGTTTGCAATCCAATATCTGATCAAACCTCTAAGTTTTGTTGCTATCTATGTAGGGTAATTTTGTAGTATCAACTGAGTTGATAACGTAAATTGGCCACCGTAAAGAGTTACATAGCTGACGTTTCGAGCGCTAGCTCTTTGCCAGAGCAAATGACGAAGGGCTATGCTAGAAACGTCAACTTTGAAACTCTTAATGGTGGCCAATTTACGTTATCAACTCAGTTGATACTACTTAATTACCCTGTTATACTCTCCCACCGATGCAACACCACAGTTTCTTTAGAAACTTACCCCCTTTATCCATTCTACAACATGCGCTTCAACTGGAAGGAGATTTTAACAAATATATTCGTTGCTGGTAAACCCGAAATCGTAAACTATGTTATATCTCAGGTACACTATTCTTGTGGTTGCTCTGGCCCAGTTTCAACGCTGCGTTACTGCCTCCAGATTACGTCGCTCAACATCGCTCCATCATCAACACTTACTTCTCCTTAACTGCATCCTGTGTTGTGGTTTTTGTGCTGTCGCCTATCTTTCAGAGAAGTGGCGGTAAATGGAAAATAAGTATGGTGAGAAAAAAATTAGTCCTTTCGATTCTTAGAGCTCGCGACACGGTTGCGCCTAAAGCAGGAGGGAAGATTGGGTGATTAATATGACCTCCTGTCGGTCAATAAAAAGGGATAATTATATAAAAACTGAACGACAGCAAACCAGTATGCTCGACCACTACGATGTTAGTTCAAGATCTTCCCTCCCGGGTGAGGCCTCAAACTATTCACAATTCTTGCAATATGATAAACAAATGCACCCACAAGTCATTCAAACTTTGGCAAGAAAAAATACGTTTGGAGAACCCTGATAATTTTAACTAGAGACTCGTTTAGTAAAATATGAAAAAATGGAGAAGATTCACTAAATAAATGGTTACAAAATTTGTAGCAGTGTACATATTTTGAAGTTTTAAAAGCAGCTGCTTTCTTTTTTTTAGGTTCATGTTCAAAACGCTAGTCTGGCCGGCGGCGTTGCCGTGGGAACAACATCTAACATGTTTTTGACACCTTTCGGAGCTCTTTTAATTGGTTGTTGCGCCGGAGCACTGAGCACTGTGGGATTTTCCTATTTGACAGTAAGCAAAATGAATGTGTTTGATTTTAGATAACACGTCTACTTAGTAAGTGTAATCACAGCAGCCTATTTAAAACAACCTGAGATAAAACGCAATATCCCTTACTTTTTCTTTGTCATTTTAAGTTTTTTTCCTGAACATGTACAAGAAAGGTTACTTTCCGCAACCTCGAACCCAGGCTGCATCCAAAGGAATGGACTTGTGCTGACATAACACTGTGATTTTACCCTGGTTAATAATAATCTCCCTTTTCTTGAACCACACCTGGGGATCTCTAAGGGAAGGTCGAAACGATTATTTACCGGCCTGGAGGTCCGCACGGTGAAAAACTGTGAACAAAGTCTGAGAAATGCTCCCTGAGGCCACAGGTCGGGGGCAACATTTTTAAGTCCACGCTAAGTGTGCAGTATTTGTTACCATGACCTGTCAGAGAATGAATCAAAAGGCTGTACTCTATAAAGTTTCTTTCTTGTGAAACTAAAGCAATCAAGAGGTGTTTTAATGTAATGTTGAGTGCAAAATCTTGTCAACATATAAAAGCTAATCTTTCTATTTTCAACTCTTACCTCATCCGTAGTCATTCTTAACCAAGTCTCTCAAAATCCATGACACATGCGGTGTGCACAACTTGCATGGAATTCCGGGAATTTTCGGTGGCATTGCGGGCGCAATTATTACTGCGCTTGCACAAGTTGACTCATACGGATACGAAGGGTTTGTAGTTTCCTCTCTTTTGCAACAGATTTTGTATACATTGCCACTCAGAAAACCAAACCTAACGTGACAAAGCAGCCAATCTGAACGAAGAGAAATATCACACACGAGCCAATGAGAACTCGATATACAAACATATCCTGAGCGCGGGAAAACGCGGGTGACCATGTCGTGAATGGTTAAGTTTTCCATCTTCTTGGCTGAGTGGCTGACTACTCTCGACACGTTCTCTTTTATTTTCAGTCTATTCAGTGTGTGGGGTGCGCGAGCTCCGAAGATGAACTCAACTGATTACTGGGCGCTGAAGAATATGAGTGTGAAGTTTGATGTGGGAGATGAACGCTCAGCCTTTGTTCAGGCTGGTTACCAGGTCGCTGGTATTATGGTTACTTTAGTCATCTCTATCTTTGGAGGAATTGTGACTGGTAAAAATTTTTTAGTGATAACAGTTTTATCGAAAAACAGAAACGAAGCAATGCGGTGGGTGACTGAAAAGCTGTACCAACATGCTTCAACAAGTCTCAGTTACTGCGAAAGTTGCCATTAGAGATTAAAATTGATTTCCTAAAAGCGACCCTCATTATGAAATAGACTCGACATATTGAAACTGGTTTTCTCTATTTAGGTTTGATTGTTAAAAGAGAGATCTTTGATCCACCAACTGAAGAACAGCTGTTCGATGATGAGGATTTTTGGGTGGTGAGTGTGTATTGAGGCTTGATAACTGTTGAAATTCGGTACTAATCACTTATGTGTAACAAGGGTCTAAAATACACGAGAGGGAATGAGACCGATACTCGACCCAAGCCTCTTTTTTGTGCGCTTTGTGTTTTATACACATGGGCGAGAACTAGACACCACGAAATTTGCAAGGCTCTGTGTTATAACTAACACTCATTGACCGATGTGGAGGTGAATGATGGTGGGTATGTAGCAAGTTGCAATGCGGCGAGATAAATATCCACCACTTTCAACAACACTGAGGTGAATAATTGTGTTAGTAGATACCAGACAGAAACAAAAAAAAATAGTTTATATTGCCAATATACCAAAAAATGGATAGAAATTTAATTGTCGACGCGCGATTTTGTCTCTTTGGCTACTCGGAGGTGAATAGTTCTTATCAATCACTTCCGAACCGGCCAATCAGCGCGCACGAAAAGTACTATTCACCTTTGAGGTACAGTATATACTAATTATTCATTCTTAACATTAGCATTTGTTTCTTTTTCTGACAGCTCCCACAGAAACATATTGAGGGATACGAAAACATTGATTGAATCAAGATGAGCCGGCTGTAACTCTTACTCTGAGGCGCTTTGCCTATCAATATTCATTAGTTACATTGATTTAGTGTAACTAGACAATTACTATTTGAATTTTTATCTTGTGTATTACAATTTGATTTTTGTAGTTTTGACTTCCCTTATGTAAGACAATCAAGAACATGTTAATATGTCTAACTGTTAAGTTTTCCCTTTTTTTCTGAATCTTTCGAACGTCAATAAGAGTGTTTGCTATGGAGCTTTGTGAAATACAGTGCTATCTTTTCTGTTTCAGTGCTGTCTCTCTGCTGTTTAGCTGCAAAATCATGCATATATTTAGAAGGCCCATTTATGATACATTTAGATAGCGCATTCTCTATATTAGTAAATATACTCTGATGCACTTTAAAATATTTTGCGGAGGACTTTGGCCAGACTGCCTTAGGAGGTTTACAATTTTAGAAAGGAAATTTTGCAGGTGCCCCCAATTTAGGAATTTTTGGATACAAACCCAGGCCAAACACCAAAAGTTACGTTCCCTACTCTTTGCGAGAAGAGATTGGGTTCTTTTACGTTCTCACTTTGATCTTATCTTGCCAATCCTTTAGTTGGCCTTTTCCTGTAAAGGGACTAAGTCTAAGAATGAGAAATGGTTGGGGAGAAGAAGGGGATAAGTCATTGATAAAACTTGCATCGTGTGACATATGAATTGATGACAACAGTAGTGTACATTGTGTAGCAATTGTATTCCATCTGATCTCATGGCTAACACTAGTACACCGTATATGTCCGAGGCTAAAACATACATCGCCTTATAAGGAAAGGAATACGGTTGTGGACCCTAATTTATATATATTCACTGACTCTTTTCTGGACTTATTGTGTTCTGACCAAGCCAACCCAAACATCCTGTCAATACGTCAAATCCAGCTTGATGAGCCGATCAACTCGAACCTCAAACCCTTTATTTCCTAACATCAGTCTGCATATTCTCCATACTACTCCTTAGACTTTTTCTTAGGATTCTGACAAGGAGAATTTGTTTAACAATCAAGAACTTCTTTGGTTGGTGATCATTTCCTTTATTCTCATAACCTTAATGTTTGATTCAGGGGAGTTATTACAAGGAGAAATTAGATTTTAGTCACTCTTAGGGGTGAAAGGGTTAACTTCCCCCCCTGGGTAAACTCGGGCATTTGAACATTTGAAGGTTGGTTTGCTCAAATTCCCGGCCCCATGGGGTAAAAATTGTATTCAAATGCCTCACCCAATTTTTTCGTAAAGGCAAAAACAGCGACCGTGACTTTCATTGACCAAGCTTTAAACTAGGGCCTAGACCTTGTGGACATGTTCTTCTAAGCCATTCGTTTGCGAAAATGAACTCTTCACCTTTAAACACCTCCATATTTAACGATGTAACACTTGTATTCCGATACAAAATTCCCCACTTTATCCAGGCAAGGTTTAAATTCTCCACCCTTGGTGCACGGACGACAGTCTAATAGCCGTGGATTGCCTTGGGGGGGGGGTGGTGTTTAAGCTTCGAATTAATCAGCCCTTGATTTTCTTTAACCAAAAATTGCTTTTGTGGAATCAATGTTATGAAGTTTCCAAAAGTTAATCAAACTAAATCTACTGTTATTATAAGAAAAACCCAGAAATATCAATCGTAATATTTCCCTTGTCCACGCTTAATAGACCACGCTCTTTTTAAAATTTTTATTTTATAACGCGATCTAATATATCAACCAAAATGTTAAACGTGTGATAAAAAGTTCAACTACTGTAAAAAAAGGGAGGAAACGCGCCCACTGATACAAAGAGCTTTATTCAAAAACACTAGCTTATGTCGTTTTTCAAACAAATCATCGAAGACATTACCCCTTTACACCCTAGTATCAGTATCAATATTCTCCATACTGTTCTCTATACATTTCCTGAAGTGCTGACAAGGAGAATTCGATTAAAAATCAAAGCTTCCTAGGTTGGCGATTTTTTCCTTATTCTCATAATCTTAACGAATGATTCGAAAGCATTACTGTAAAGAAAAATTAGAAGCTGATCGCTCTTGAGTTTTAAAGGGTTAAAGGGAAAACTATACGAATTTACTATCAATAACACATTGTTGAAAAATTACTTTCTAACATCTGTTAATTTTTTCTATGAACATCAGCGTAAAAGCTACGTAAAATTAAAAAAAAGATGCCAGATCAGATTTCACCTATCAGATGACTGCCGAATTACTGCAGATTTTTTTCTGACCGTGTCAAAATCATAACAATTTTGTTTTCTCTTCCCAATTCCAGAGAGCTCTGGCATAAAAATGACGTTATAACATAACTAGTAAATCTGTCTAATCAAATTAAATTGCGTGAGTGTGCTTCATATTCCTGGTGTGCACGCTTATGAAGTCAGCAAACATATCCCTCGAGAAAAAAATTTTCCATCGGGTTGAAAATGTTATAAAACAATTGGTTCATACGTCAGCTGTGCGTTCATCGAGATATAAAGCACTTGGGAAGTTTGGAGAGCACTCAAGAAGCTAGGGTTGCATCTTTCGTGTTCTCCAAACTTCCCGCGTGCTTCATATCTCGATGAACGCACGCTGACGTATGAACCAATTGTTAATTGTTAACAAGACTTGTAAATCACTAGCATGTTTCCTAACAAAGTTTAAAACTTAGTTATCGATTTATCAGACGTAATATAAAAACCTATCAGTTATTTATGTCAAAGAAAATAATACAGCGACTGAAGGGGCTTTCCTTTCAGTAGTTAGAAGCCTACAGTTTATCCTCCTTCTCATGGGTGAAACCGTCCCCTGTCTCCACATCTTCGCTTGCCTCTTCAGTGGGGACCTAACACAGAAGGCAAGGAAAATATTTCAATGTTCAGTTAATGAAAATGTACATTATGGGTACACTGTCCGCGGAACAAGGGCGAGATGTAAACCTCGTCAGGAGAGAGAGTAGCGCGAGTTACTTTCGACACTCGACTGCAAATTGCTCTGTTGCCGCACCCTTTGAGAGTGACCAGCTTCCAATTTCTCCTTACAATATCACCCTTAAATCGAATATTAAGGTCATGAGCTGAGAAAAAAGGAAACGATCATTAATTTTAGAAGCTCCCGATTGTCAGTCAAATTCAACTTATAAGTACCTTAAGGAATGTAAACAGGACAGTGAGGAGAATATAAATTATTGATGCTAAAATGTAAAGGGTTAATAGCCACTGAAAAATATCTTACCTCCCAGAAATCATCATCATCATACATCTGTTCTTGAGAGGGTGGATCAAAGATTTTCCACCTCACAATAAAGCCTGCGTGAAAAGACCAGTACACACAAAAAAAATTAAAAGCCTTTAATTTCCCTTTAAGAGGTTTCAGTTAGATTTAAAATTATTCAGATATCAAATCTAATTTTTACAACTGATTATATAAGCGCATGATAAAAAATTAATCCTTCAACTTGAAAATGTCCGTTGAGCGGTCGAAACCTCGTTGCTTTTTAAAGTTAATTTTTATAATCTAATCTCATTTAAGAGACAAAAAACTTACAGTTCTTATGTCTGCACTCTGTATTCTCGAAATATCAATGAGATCGAAACGCTTGCTGACCGTAGCTTCATCAATTTTTTTTAAAGTTATTTTTTCTTAACGCTATTAAACTACGAGCGGTTCCTCGATGAAGTCCGTCTCGCGAGCCAAAACTCAGTGAGGAAGGAATTAATGTTAGTTTTTTTTTTCACTTATTTTTTCCTGACTAAATTTTAAAAACAAAACAACATCTTAAATTTCATTCTATTGGGAGAAAATACACTCGGGTGTTTTCAGTCTTTGCTGTGCTTGATTTCAGCGTGATTCTTAACCTTTGATTGCGTGTGTTAGGAAATAAAGCAATTCTCGTTACCAGTCACAATTCCTCCAATGATGGCAATTCCAAGAGCGACGGCTAAACCGGCGATCTGGTAACCAGCCTGAGCTTTGGCTGAGCGACCATCTCCAGCATCAAACGTCATGCCCATCTTGACTAGGTCATAGTACTCAGTGGTATTCATCTTTGGAGCACGCGCACCCCACAGATTGAACAGGCTGAGAAATATCAAGACACAAAACAGACAATCACAAATAAAGAACGAACAGGGGTGAGGATAGAAATTCACACGATTTGCACATTCAGGTTGAAGTTTCAAAGATGTACAAGTCCTTCAAATGTTCTCGACAAAATACACGGTGCTTGTTGAAAGGTTCGGCATAATTCTCGGTATTACTATTGGGATACTATAACACAGGAAAATTAAACGCCTCGGCGGGCAAAGTGAAGCCATTCGTTCACGTTCAACGATCGACTGCTATGTCAGATTTTAGGAAATCATCTCAACGATATAAAAAATTTGACGTACCCATCGTATCCGTATTTGTTAACATCGGCATGCGCAGCAGCAACGGCGCCCGCGATGCCACCAAGAATTCCCGGCATTCCGTGCAAGTTGTGTACACCACACGTGTCATGGGTCTTGGTGTATTTCGTCAAGAATGGCTGCAGAAGAGACGCACATCGATGTGAAGTAAAACTTACCACTCCAAAATCGAAATCGATGCTACGATTATTGGTTTCTATACTTAGACATGGCATGTATTATTAATACTTACTGTCAGGTATGCGTATCCCACAGTGCTCAGTGCTCCGGCAGAGCAACCAATCAAAAGAGCCCCCCACGGACTGATTGACATATTCGACGCTGTTCCCACGGCAACACCACCGGCGAGAGTGGCATTCTGAACGTGAACCTAAAGACAAGAAATAATTTCTAAACATTTGACCTTCACTATCTGATGTTCATCACAATTCTCCCACTTTCTTGCACAAGACGTTGTGTTGAAACTGTGGAGAGATTTCAGGTTAAAAAAGTCATTATCTCTCACCATGCTCAATCTCCATTTGGTTCCTTCTCTCTGGAAGAGAGGCGACAGCGCGAATGTGGTCACACAAGCAGCAGCCAATGAGAAGTACGTGTTAATGACGGAGCGGTGTTGTGCAACGTAATCAGGAGCCACTAAGGCAGCGTTGAAACTGGGCCAGTACATCCAAAGGAAAACAGTACCTAAATGTCACAAAATGTTAATTCTTCCATCATCAACATCCTGATAGTCCCTCTTTATCAAAGAGAGTTGTTCGGAAAAACGTAGTCTAAAGAGCAACTTAGCGAAACTTCTTTTTCGAGGTAGGAGGCTTGAAAACGTTATTAGAGACCAACACAGCCAGTTGGTTCAAATATTTAAGCTGGTAAAATCGTAAAGCACTACAAATATTTACCAATCATAGCAAAGAGATCAGAATGGTACACGGATGCTTCCTTAGGACTGTCCAAGACCTTTTTGTCATGTAACATCCGGGACAGGGCCAGCCCGAAGTACGCCCCAAAACTGTGAATGATTATGGATCCTCCAGCATCAGAGTACTTCAGGAACTCAATGGCGATCAGTTCGTTGATGGCGTAGAATACTACTTCCAGGATGCCGATGACCAGCAGTTGCAGGCGGCTCACTTTACCCAGGACCGCTCCGTAAGTGATGAGGACCGTGGCAGCGGCGAACTCTGATGTAACCAAACTATATTCAGATGTGAGGAAAAGAAGGTTATGACAGACACACTACAATTTCTATGCCTTTTTCTACGTTGTCTGGCGAGCATTTCTTTAGATACTAGCAAACAGAATCTGGTGTTGCTTCAGTTCATATCCCGTGGTTTGATGTTATTCTTTTTTCTCATCACCATTCTGGATGAAAAGAAAGTAATGTTGCGAGGAGAATTTACTCATTGGTCACACCTGGGAGCGAAAGTGTCGAGAAGGGTGCAAGGATTGATAAAGCGCATCTTGCGAACTGAGGGCGCACGCGCATGTCTGCTTGGCTTCCTGGGTAATCAACCTTGGCGAGCTCCACCTACTCGTGGTGCACCCAGGGTAGGCCAGTCACGTGACTAGGCTGTTACAGACGGAGCTCTGGCTTAGTGCACATTTCGATCAAGAGTCGTTAAACCGAAACAAAAGTAATCACAACGGCCTATCAGGACCCCAATGAGAAGACGAAGAAAAACAAGCAATTTGGCTGAAGCGCGGGAAAACGCCAGTTACCAGTCGTGATTGGTTTAAGTTTTGCATCTGATTGGCTGAGAAGATGGCGTGAATTTCTAGACCAATCACAGAACGAAATAAAGCAAAATCAAGCAAATATCCGGGTACTTTCGAAATTTAGGCCGAAATTGTCCTAAAGAAAGAAGGGTTAATTCTCCGACCTCCTCCACGCTCCTTCACTGGAGTCCAATGGTAACAAAGAAGACCACTATGAGTCACAACTCCTACATTTCATTAAACTGAAGGGAAGGTAGAATTTCTTTCATAGTATTAACTCTTTCACTCCCAGGGGTGACCAAAAATGAATTTCTCTTTACATTATCAATAAACTTTTGAACAGAAAGGTGAGCAGAAGGAAAAGGTGTATCAACTAAGGGATACCGTTGGCTCCAAAACAAAATTTTCAGGGCTGAAATTACAAAAGATGCTTTGTAGATATGATGCCGAAAATTTTGATCTGGAGAGTGAAAAGCTACGTAAAATTTCAATATTTACTGCATAGTCGAATCAGGAAAAATCATCTACATACGTTTGTATGCTGAGCTCGATGTGTTCGTTTCCTTCGCCGTAAATCTGATTTAAACCTCCAGTTACAATTGTACCCCACTGAGTGACAAGAGCGGCGATAAAGAAGTTGTAACCTACAGCACCATAACCATACTTCTTCAGGAAGGTCATCAGGAAACCAAAACCGATGTAGATCATAACATGGACATCTTGGAACACTGTGGAAGAAACGGAGAGGAGTTGAGCATATCTCGGTCTATTTGGCAAGAGTAAAAGTAACCAAGCCGGTCATTCCAACATCATTATGCATATTCTCCCTACTTGTCTCTATAAATTTCTTATGGTATTGACGAGGAGAATTTGTTTAACCTTAAGTTGGTGACCATTTCCTTTATTCTCATAACCTTTAGATTATTTCAGGGGTGATAAAGGATAGAGAAGTTAGATGCTCGTCACTCCTAAGAGTTTGAGAGCTGTGATCATTACTTTAAATTGCCTAAAAATTTTAACCCCTCTTCGTCCTCACATCAGTCTGTTTATGCGTCATACTGTCTTCTATACATTTTCTCTGATACTGTGAAGGTGAATTTACAACGGTCGTTCTTGATCAAAGGAAAGCGACTCAGAACAAATGCGCGCGATTTAAAAGTGCACGCGTTAATTCACCTTGCGCCTGGCTCTTCAGAGAACAAAAGATTGTTGATCAAAAAAAAAAAGAAATCACCTATTGGGAAAGTACAACTGGATCATTTACTTCCGGGTCGGAATGGGGTGAAGAGATATATAGTGATATCGGCTCCTTTTCGTTAATGTGAAGGCATCTCATGTAGTTCATAATACACAAGCATGGAAAAGGCGATTAGTGTTTTACACTCCGTTGACAGCTGTAATTAACTTTGAGTCACGATATTTTTTATTGTTTTTATTAGCAATAAAGCCGGACACTCAAGATTATCATTCCTTCTTAAAATTAAACAAATCCGATTTCAGCTCGCTCGTGGGACTAGCGTGATTAGGGGAATTGAAAGATCAGTGAGAAAGAATCCTATTATTGAAAACAGTGTTTTATATTTTTTTCTTCAAACAAGATAAGAAAACAGTCGTGTCATAAACGGGCTTACGCTTCACAGAATTTTGACTTCACATTTAGCTTGCTGTCGCGAGATCTGAAATTGTGACATTAAAGTACTTCTAAACAATTGGTAGATTTCGTACAGGTTATTTTCCGGGCGTGCCTTCAACCCGAGTAGTACCCCAACCCGTGGTGCGAAACAATAAGAATGAACTAAAATATGCGTGCAGCAACGTAGAATTTTTCATCGTTCGTCGGCATTTTATGATTTGCGTAATTACGTTTCTGAGGGAATCTCCCATGAACTCTCGGAAAAACCGAGAACTCTTTCGGTAACTTTGTAAACCCGATAACGAGAATTCTTGGAAACCGACTTTTCTCGGTTCATGTGAAAATCTCTTTAATTCTTGTAATATACTTAAAAACTATACTTTCACGAAAACGTTTTTGAAATGACCGTCACCTGATATCGACGTCACCCGAGAATCAGAGTGATAACCGCTAGCTTTGTACGTGGATCGGAGTGTACCATTGTATTTTTGTTCGGATCATGAGAATCCCCCAAGTCTGCCGAATTAATTGAGCGCTCCTCGAAAATGCAGTACACTTTGAACTGTATTATGTTTATACTATGCCCTGTCATGTACTTTGACACTTGCAGTGTGCTTTAACACCCTTGGTGTACTGATACATCCATAGCTACGGCGTGCCTCTTTACATTTGTGGAGTCGAAAATGTAGTCCAAATTTGTATATAATATTTTGTTTCGTTTCCTGCTTTATTTCTTATTCACCACTGGTAGGTTTATTTGTTAAGACGTCCAACTTCGTTAGAAGCTTAGCTTTCGTGTTAAAGAACACAATTTCGCTGATTGTGTAGCCTGCAAACTAACTCGCGGAGGAGGGTATTGAAAAAAGCTTCGTGCGCGAAGTGTAAAGGGAACTCGAGGTGTGAAGAGAGCGCCAGCTCGATCGTAAAAAGCTCTTCAGGAGCCTCAGGTTCTAACGATCGAACGTCACGCACGCTTCGCGCAACACGAACGAGGGGCTTGAGTCAGGCCTCTCATTTGAAAAAAAAAGCCACCATCCTAGGGAACCGTTAGAAACATTTTTGGTATGAAGAAACCCTTCGGGCTCAGTGAGATAGCTACAGGGGTTTCATCGTTGTTAATATTTGCGTTATTTTAAAACCATAGCATATTCTAATATACCTCTTTGAAACTGTCAAATGGTGATATTGCGACCGAATTATAATTTTTTCCTCTCTGCCGGGCGAACCGAAGAAAACACAGGTGCGAAAATTGAGATATCTTGCTTTCGTTACAGTGACGAGATCCTTGAAACCACAAATATTAGGTGTGACCTTCGCATTGCAAAAAAAATTATGCATCGTTGATGGAATATTATGTTGTGTATTTAAATGTGTATTTAAAGGAAGTCCTAACTTATTGGGCGCGATTGCAACCCTCGATCATAAGATTTCCACCTGAGGACAAATGTGTGACGCCTGCACTTGTCCGATTTGGAAGTTGCTTCTAATTTTCCTCACTTAAACATGCTTAAGACGGTAAAACGTTGCGAAGCAGCTCATTTAGTAGCATTTAAGCGATGTGCGACGAGTCGAAAATCTATTGTCACCGAAAAGTGAATGCACTTCTTAACAAAAGAACTCTTTGTGGCAAAGGACCTCGTGTCCTGTGTGACGTAAACACAATATTGTATAACATTAAGAGAACACGTGTCTTGGAATCATCTTATAACTGTAATATTTTCTTCAATGATAGTTTTCTGATGTTTTTCGCATAAGTTTCCCTCACATACCACCCGAATCAAATGTTGCTGCAAAAAGTTTCATAGTTACAGAAACTGAGCGCTCCGATGACTTTTAAGATGCATCACTGCGTTTGACTTGATTAGGATTCAGTTCAGTTCCGCTTCAAATAATTCAAGGTCGTTTCAAAACAAATCACTCAAATCACTGCGTCCTACGAGCTATCGCTTTACGAAATTACGCTTTGTAACGTTTTAAATGTTCTTTTGCAATCCGTGTATAAAATATCCTCATAGAAGCGCACGTGTGATTTGTACCTGACCAACTAAAAAGCTTAAAGTTATCAATAACAGCCTCCTAGGTCTATCGAAGACATCTCCAATAAATATGACCATATGAAAACTTATAAGATCTTACTTGGGTAATAAACCGAGATATCATTCGGTGACGGTGGTTCTTGCCGTTTCTGCCCTGCCACAGTCTTATTACTTCCAGTAGCTTTGGTTTGTTCAGACACAGGTTTAGGCGGGAGGGAGTGGCCGCCGTAATCAACAAGAACTGAAAAGACGGCGATCAGAACAAGTTGAAATACCATTGTAACAAGTGTAAACTTCACCGCTGTTCCATTACGGCGAGTTCGCTTTTGCGAGGGACTGCTCACTTGTAGCGGTTGTCGCTGCGAGGAATCTAATGTATCGTCCATCTCGGAGCGCCAGTCACAATAACTATTATTATGAACTCTCAACTTACTCGAAAATATCGTTACTTCGACTAAGGAGCACGTGACGTCCTTATTAAGAAGATGTAACGCTTTCCTCAGTGCCGCGGGCGAATTGTATCTGTTTCCGGGTAATGATAACAAATTCTCGCCGTCTTCAAGTAGCTGATGTCAAATCTGCCGTTGCTTATGGAAAGTGACGCTTAATTCCTCAAAAATAAGGCTAGAATTCAAAGTGTCGATCAATGGTGATGTCTCTCTTAACTTGTTGCCCGTCTGCCGCATCTCAATTGTCTCGATTCCTTGGTTTTTGACTAACTAGCGGCAACTTTACAACCATATATAATTTCGTGAGTTACATAAACCTCCTATGCGAGTTTTGACCTGAGTGGATTCAATACTCCATTCTACTCCATGTCCTCGATGTAAATAAGGTCTAACAGTCTTCTTGAAAGGGTAAATATTTTGATTGGACTTGACACTCAGTGCATGTTGTGACTCATTCTCAGGGAAACTTTCGCCAACAGATTTCAAGACCTTAATTATTTTAGTTGCCCATTTTAAATCCTTGCCATTGCTTGGTTAATCCAAAAGGTTTTTTCGAAGGTAGAAATGCGACAGAAAGTGGAAGACTGGACTTTGAGGCGGAACTCGGTGATGAAAATAATACACGCGCGATACGCCCTCTTCCACCACACGCCCGCAACACGCCGAGTGTAATCAATCGCACAGGCTGGCTGGTTGGCAAATGCGTTTCACTTAAGTGCCACAATTCAAGAGTAAATCAGAGGGATATATAATTTTTTTTTCATGTACTTGAAGCGCTAAAAAATGACATCGAAAACGTAGGCTTTTCAGATATATTACATGTTACCTGAAGATCTTATCAATACAAGTACTACTCATCGTCGGTGGGGTCGAAAACGATGAGATATTTTGCCAAGGAATTTGGAATAATAGGCTCACTTGATAATCAAGTTAGATTGGCTGTTAAAACATTGTCATAGGGATAAGCCGTTGATATAGCCCCCCTTTGTGCGAAGACGAGTTGAAAACGTACACTGAATTCTCAATAAAACCAAATGTGTATTCTTGTTGAGCAATTTTTAGGGTTGTTGTTGAGTTCCGTTTTTTTTTTTTGTTTTTTTGTTTTTTTGTTTTTTTTTTCAATAATAGATGTGAGACTGAGAAACATTCTTTTCAATTACTTTTTCTATTCCATTTTTATCATGTTTTATAATTGCTATTCCTAACCTAGCATGAAATGTTAAGCTTCGCGAAGTTCAGAAAAAATGCATTTTCCCTCGGTATAATTTCAACGATATTCGATTACTACTCCGTGTTGTTGACATAAAAAGGCATGGAACAGAGGACAATAAAACGATAGCAAGTTTTATAACTATGAGGCTCTTAATGAGAAACACATGGCTTTATAATATGGCCTTATTCTGATATATAAAGTATGCGTGCGTTTAAAACAAATTTCAAATATTCAGTACTAAACAGCTTGTGGGAATCTCCAAGTAACCTAACGCGGAAAGCTGAGCGCACTCTACAATAATGTAAAATATTATTTTATACCCGAAGGCCATTTGTTTGTTTTTTTCGATGGATTTGAAACCCTATACCTTTTCATGTTGCCGAACCGGCCCATACGTTCGATCTTTCAACAGCTTATTCGTAATTTTGAAAGCAGCTATTTTAGGTAAAAAAAATTGGTAAACATTACGATGTACTCCGAAACCTCCTAGAATCGGATTACTACGCGCTGTTGTTATGAGGCTGGAAGGAAAGTGGGCGCTGTCCCATCTCAGGGCGTTTAAGGGACTTTTAAAATGCAATCAGTCTTTCGCTGTTACAACCTTAATTTTTTTTTTCAGAGGAGCGATAGAAATCTAAAGGCGGGGTTTGATGGCAAACAAGCACAAGCCGAAACAGAAGGGGCTATGTCGAAACATATTCAGTTCGCCATCCAATTCAATTGTCAGTCGATTGTGGCAAGAAATTCGATTAGAAAGTACTTATGATATAAAGAAAAATGCAGTTTATTCATATTCATAGAAGTCAAGCGGAACATGCTACTAAAACAAATTACTTTCGTTGCCAACATTGTTATTCTTTCTCCTGTCATGGATCCAAAAAACTGTGCGCTTTTACCTGTCTAAATCAAAAAACACCATTGATCGCTCACGAGTGACGCACGCCTCGATATCACGAGGCCTCACGAAAGCGCTAAAAATTTCCTATCTCTGATCGATACGTAATTCGTCTTTCCTTTCCTTTTGAGGTTATTCTAAAACTGTACTGCTTGCCAAATATTTCAAGTAGCAGATCTCGTATTCAACGTTATTTGCAATCTGACCTTAAGGTCTCGCCAAAAGGTTTCCGTTTTCTCTGTTGGTTTCCGTTTTCAGACCAATGACTTGATAAGTCTATCAAACCATACTTATCTGGGTACGTGACAAAGAAAAAACTAAAGGAAACCACATGGAAAATTCAGGAAATTCCATCATGTTAATTTTCTCTAACTTGTTGCACAGCAGGATCTATAGATTTGACGGTTTTCTGGAGCAATTTAAAAGAAAATATTTTTCTATTTTGCTAACAGCATGAAAAACGCGCCAGTATGCAATTTTTCCTATTTTTGGATATCTTTTTTCAAAGGATATCCCGCAGACATGAAGAGGAATCAATGCTTAATTGATTAACGCCCTATGAATAACTTGTGCCGAGCTACAACACACCCATTTCAATATAATCAAAATCCGCTGCAACTTTTTCAGGCGCGTGGCAAATGGAAAAGTCGCTCAAAAAAAAAAGCCCCCAAAAAGTTCTGAAACAGACTCAAGTTCTGAAACTAAATTAGCTTAGCTTCTCAAGGATTTTTATGGTATGTCTAGTAGAAGACACGAAATTTTCCTCTTTCCGCCTTTTGCACAATACATTAGATCTAAAATATAACGGCGATAGTAATAATCTACCTCTAGAACTGGTGTCAAATAACAAATTAAAGAAAACCCTTACTTGAATAGTACACAGTTACATCGTTTACGGCGAGCGTCTCAGAGGAATTCACAACTGATCCTGCGGAACCTTTTCGTTTGTGCGGTGGAGAAGCGTGTTGGCCGTAATCAACCAAGACGGAAAACAAAATCACCAGCAGCACTTGGAACATGCCACAGATTATGGAGAATTTGAAGCCCATTTTTAGGATTTTTTTCAGTTCCTCGCACTTAACTCCACGACGGTTGCGATGCCACAGTCTCAGAGGCGTGCTCCTACTGACGGAGCGGATGAATGTGCGAGCGTACAATTTATACGCACGCTTCGCGCTACTGTGCTAACAACAGAGAAACATGAAACTTGCAATACGAACCTTCCCCTATTGCAAGGAATCATTATGTGATTGGATATGATCCACGTGAGCAGAGTTCATATGCCACATCAGGTCACATCACGCGAAAAATAACGATAAAAATTTTACAAGGGCTTTCTTTAGCCGGTCGAACTTTAAACTCTACAACGCCCCACTGTCACCAAATAGGCTCATTTCAGGGAAAACAGTCAAATAGCATTTATTGACAGCCATCATCTTTGTGGGGCAGAAATGAACATGAATATTGCGTCTAGGTATTGAATTGCAATCAATAATCCAAATTGTTGTCAAATGTTGATCAATGATCTTCACTGCCACTTCAACCCTGTAGAATTATGATCGCTTAAAAATTTTCATCGGTCGAGACTTTTCCATCGATTGAGACGTTTCGTCATCGAATCAGGATTCGTTATTGATATCCAAAAACAATCTGTTGGGCGAAGAAAAGATTCAGTCAGTTCCCCGCTGTTGGAATGACATTGAACATCGTGGAAAAAGCGCGAAATGGGAGAAACAGCTGCTAATCATATAAAAATAAACAAAAAAAAAGTTTGTTAAGCGGCGCGTAAAATGAAAAAAATGCGAAAACATTTCCGTGGCGTAAGGATAAAAAAGTGATAAAAACGGAAAGTGCATGGATGAGTAAAGGAGACTTATTCATGGCGGCCACCCTTGAGAGTAAGAGGAAACCAAATTCTTTTGGAGAAAAAAAATGCAGAATATTTACACACTAATAAAGAAACGCGAAGTCAAGTGTGAATGGTACAAACATTGAGATGGACTGGAGCGAGGTGTTGAGAAGCCAAGAGTGTTTCGAATGTTGCTTTGGTAAAAAGGCGTGTGTATTTGGAGTCGTAATCGAAAATTAATTTTGAGGAGAGGTTTTGAAGGATGCATCAGTGTCATTGGGCATTTAGTAGAGGTTGAAAGTGCAAATATCTTGAGGCGAGGGCGAGGCTAGTGCGAGGCGCGAACACGCGCGATGGTAAGAGAAAGTATATATATACTTTTTTTTTGTGCTCCTTCCATCACTTCGCGCTCACTTCGTGCTCGCCTCAAATCGCCTGAATAGCACAAAAAAGATACGCCAGTTCTGTGGGCTGTTCTACAGGCTATTCCTACTCAAAAAGACCAAGAGGGGAGCGTCAGCTCCCGAACAGCAGCTGTTTATTAAACCCACTTTCCTCGTTCAAGTGTGAATCTGCGCGCGTGCGTGTGCAGCGTGGAATCAGAGCCCTCTTACATAAACCGGCCGGTATAGACATATTTAACCCATAAATTCCAATTAGCCTCTCATTTTCTTTTTTACCCTTTTCTTTTCTCTTTTTCTTTCCTTTTTACTTTCAGTGTTTATTCACCTTGAACTGAAACACTTTACGCTCTTTCTTAAAAATATTCTTTGTTGGTGGGAACAACGGGGTCTGTCCCAGCTTTATTCCGCCTACATCTGAAGCTAAAGCTCTACTCTGATTTCAATCACGCATGACCGCTTATCTCGTTGCTGCCTCGACAAGGTCGACTTCCCATCGAGAGAATTGACTCATGCTTGCAACGCTGTGACTTAACCAATGGGCTTATTACACACTTCATACATGCAGGGTTTACTTGAAACTTGCTTAGCTGCCTCTCTGTTAGGAATGCCATTTCATTCTATACACCAGCTCCTTCAATTGCCTGTCAACAGTTAGCAGAAGCTTTCCGTCAAGCTTCAAAGAGAGGAATCCTTCTCGAATTTTGCCAATCATGTGACAGTAGACTGGTGATAATGAAGCAATTTTCGGTTAATAATCCGGGATTGCTTTGGTCTTGCTTTACTACGCTCTGTGATTGGTCCAGGTAATTCGCACCACTCTCTCGACCAATTAGATGCAAAAGTAAAACCAATCACTTCTGGATCGCCCGCGTTTTCCCGCGCCTTAATCGAAAAGCGCTCTAGCTCTACTAATATTAGAAATAATTAATATCATGTCAATAACGATAATTATGATGTGGGAAGCTTATCTTACGGAAACATTTAACTCAAAAGTTAAGCCATCGGTAGATTAAGAAAATCATTTCATTGTAGCAAGTGTTGTACCTGATAAAGAAGAATGAAATAAAATCTATTGTCACATGACTACAAACACCTGTTACATCCCACTACCCTCTCCCACGGGCGTATTGCTCCAAGATGGCGGGACTAGTCGGTCGAACAATTTGTAGCCGTCGTTTAGTCGGAAAAATTCGTTACTTGCACACGAGCAGAAAACATTTTGACCAGTATAAATGCGTGGCTGTTAATGAAGTAGAATCCTTTGTAGAGCGATGTATGAGCGCAGTGGGAACACCTTTAGAACATTGCAAAGCTTTGGCGCAAGTTCTTGTTGCCGGCGACGCGAGAGGTCATTTCAGCCATGGGCTCAATAGACTAGGTGAGTTCTGGTCAGAGTGGATGTATTTGCAATTAGAGAGGAATAAGAAATGGTTAAATTAAGCCAGATCATATTCGTGCACATTTGATTAAATTGTGCACGAGCCATAGGCATGTTTGCATTGCGTGCAGACATAATCCCACTTTTAACGACAATAGAGACCCGTCGGTATCAATTGCTAGTTTGAAAACCACGCAACATAGTTATGCAGCATTAGAATTAAGATTAATAAGAATTAAAGGGTCGGTTATAGCAGATAAAAGTTTATTTATTTCATTTTTTTAAATTTATTTTGAACTAGTAATCCAACTGCAGTATCTATATTTTTTAAGTTGTGACCTTTTTATGGACACTCAAAAATTATCCAGTGTCATTGACCGGACTTTGTGCAAAACGGAAACTCCCTTCCTATTAGGCTCTATGATTAGATGAGTGGAGACATCTTTCTTTCCAAAAATTTTTGGAGAGAAGTTAGAAGAGAGCTTACCTGCAGGTACCTTGTTGTGAAAAAAAAATTTAAATGCCCTCTCTATTAGGAAACCATCCCAACCTAGAAATGGATAAAAAGGCTATTGAATACAGAGTTGAATAAAATTATTGGCTTTTTTTGTTGTTTTTTCGAGGCAGAAATAATATAAAAAATTTCCACAAATATAGCCTTAAGAACCAACACCCTAGGGGTGTTAACATCAGCATCAGAAATTGGAAATTCTCCAGCCAATATGCAGAATTCTCCTCCTTAAATTTGATGACTAATGCTTTTCTTTTATTCAGATATGTAGAATATTCACCTGTTATGTCACACTTTTCTCCTTCAAATACACTTTTTTTTTGTCTTTGTTGATTAAAAGAAAATGCTGCAAATTCTTCTTTCCACCCATAATTTCATAGCACAGCACAATGTTAGGAAAGCCACTTAAATAGCCAGTGTAATATCAGCTGGTATGATCTAGGAAAACTGGGTGTGGTAAACATTGTAAAGGATGGCTGGTAAGCCTGTGGAAAATTTATGTGGAAGGGCAAATCTTGTCTCTTTTAACTTATTTTTAATGATTAGAACAAATTCACAACTTTAAAATATTTCTGGTGGAAACATAACGGAATCACACCCATTGAAAAACGTCGCATGGGAAAATGCAAATAAGCTAGAAAATAGAAAGAGAGTATGCATAACCTCATTCAGGCCTGTCAATTGGACTGTCAATCATGTAATCCCCTGTGTATGCCGTGTTCACAAGTATTGTTTCTTGCTCAGACAACCGAAACGTAGCACTATTCATCAAAGAAGAATAGGTGCAATTAGTAGCGTTATCTTGACATGGCTACATTGTTTAAAAATCGGTCAGATGTAAAAATTGCATTACCATTTAAATGTTGGGTTTTTAATTTGTGTTAAGACTGAAATGTGGCAGATTTACAAGGTTCGACCATCAATTTCGCCATGAAAGCAAAACAACAGTACAGAAATATTCCTCTTTAACCTGTTATTGCCATCAGTTTTGGATAACATGTCGGTAAAGTCTATTTACTTTTCGAAAAGCTTAAGTATATGTTGTAAATTCCCGCTCCACATAAGTACATGTTCAGTTCCAACTCAGTTTTATCATAACACCATTTCATTTCATTTCATCACTTTCAAACAATACTAATTGCTCCAATTGTGTCTCCATTGTCTCTAAACAGACACAAAGCAAAATTTTACAACTCCCGTTTGAGAATTTGTCAATTCAGATCTTAGGAGACCGAAGCTGGCGGTGAGCTTTTGCAACCTCATTCCCAGGTCATTGCACCCACAAAGCATCATGGGTACCCCACTTTTCCTGAGCGACGCTTTTCAATGGGCGCGATTCTGTAATGAACTTATGGATAGGAAGGTTGAGGAATGCCTCTTGTGTTTTATGGCAGCTGAAACTGGGTACATGTTTTTCTTTTACAATCTCTTCTGATATTATCTCTCTGCTCTGATTGACTGCCAAGAATAATTAAGTTGTAATTATTACCTTTTTGATGGAAGAGTGCTCTCAAACAATCAATTTTTCAGTTGTATACACAGTTGTATACACAGTTTATTTAACAACTGGCAGTAATGCTGTTGCATTTAATTTTCTCATTTAATTTTAGAAATGTATGTCCATGATATAAATGTGGGCTCCACAGTTATAAATGGAGATCCTGAAATTGTCAGAGAAACCAGTGCTACAGCACTTGTTGAGGGAAACAATCTTCTTGGGCCAGTAAGTGTGCTTTAAAATTTTTACTCTGTTTTTATCCTTTGACCCCAAAGTGGCCAATATCAATATATATTACTTCACTGAATTCTGACCCAGAAGTAAACATTCTAGCTGTATATTACCCCAATAGGTGAATGTCATTGTTTTTGTTTATCTTTTTGGCTCTCTGAAAAGCCAGGCACAAGTTAAATTCCCATGTGCACTTTTAATTGCACATAATGCTCTGAATCGCTTTCCTTTGATCAAAAAGGACTGTTTTTTAAATTCATCTTTGCAGTATCAAAGGAATGGTGTGGAGAAGACTTTAACACATATGTACTGGTGTGAGGATTTTTCAACTTGAAGAGAAATTTTATATCTCCAGGCAGCTGTGTAATATTCCTTTTATTATACAAATGTCAATGAAATACTAAATCATTTCACAAGGAGCAATTTTTATATGTAACATAGCAACAGTGGTCTTTCATGTGTGCAGATAACATGTTATCTTCATGAATGAAGATGTGATGTTTTGTGTGCAGGCTCACTTAATTGGTACTTCATTACTGTTTATATATTGAAAAGAAATCTTGAATTTGAAATCTCCGTATCTGCTTTATTTTACATAACAGGTTGTCGGAAACTTTTGTAATGATTTAGCCATGAAGAAAGCTCAAGAGACAGGAATTGGCTGGGTTGCTTGCAAAGGTTAGGAGACTAACTAGCTTTTTTAATTATTAATATGTCAATTGCATTATGATCCATTTTTGTGTCTAATTTCAGTCTGTCACACCTGTTTTTAATGTCAATATGAGGGGTAAATTTCTTAAAAGGATTTAAACTAGTACCAGACAACTGTCCAAAAAATATGACCAATTACTGTCATGGTTTAGTCATTTGGCTAACGATTGTTGTGCAATGGAATCAGCAATAATCATGATACTAACTTGACTTTTGCTATTAATAGGAAGGGTACAGCTTAGTGAACTTGATGTGTTGCTTTTGTTGGATAGTTCATTGGTACTCATTTTGCAGAGAAATTAATTAATATTTTGTCACTATTGCAGGTTCTAACCATTACGGTATTGCTGGTTGGTATACAATAAAAGCAGTGGAGAAAGGACTTATTGTAAGTAAATTGTGATTCTCTCTCATTTTGCAGTCATTAATTGCCAACAAAGCTGAATCTTGATTTTATGATTGTCTTTTTGTGTGATCCATTTTGGATTTTAATGGTGTGGTGGAACTGAAAAATTAGCTTCACACTTCAACTCCTAGAAGGGATTAACATGTAACTTCTTCATATGATACCTGTACAGTGTCTAGCAAACAAGTAATGAGAATACTCAAACTTATCAGGTAGAAGTTGTTATCTTAAACTTACACCAAATTCTTGTAATAATTTACATTAAGGAAATGTACAGCAGTTGGAGGGAGAATTAACAATCAGATCTTGGGATTTGAAAGGTTAAATGTGAAGTCTTGGCCTGTACATAGATTTTGTCCTATTTTATATTTGTTTTCCTAGGGGATGAGTTTTACCAACACATCACCATTGGTTGTACCCACAAGAGCACGTGAGGTACAAAGGCTTTTTCATTTTTTTTTTGTGTGTGTTTTAAGTTAAGCTAGATTCTGCATCTAGCTATTGTTAGCTTGCTGGACTAGTGGTTCCTGACAAGGGTAATCATGCTTAGCTTTTGGGAAAGACTTTTTATTCTCTTACTGTCCCTTGGCATCCACAAGTTGAAATGGGTGCCCATGATCTGCAGGAGAAGCCTAATAGAATTATTGGAGAGTGCATGGGGGTGTAATGTCTTTTAAAAAACAGAATTGTTTCAGCCAGTGCCAAATGACCATGGAACACAAATTCCAATGTGGCAACCTTTCACTGAAAATATTATTGAACTATTTGTTACAGTGACTCAAATGGTCACAGCTTGGAGTACCGCTTGGAAACAGAAAGACCTGTGACAGAATTCAACTTATACTTGAAAAATCTTTAAATGTGCATTTTTCAGGTTACTTTGGGAACCAACCCTTTGTCAGTAGCTGCACCAGCTAAAAATGGTGACAGCTTTGTTCTTGACATGGCAACAAGTGCAGTGGCTCTTGGAAAGGTGAGACCACAAGATAAATTGCGATAATCGTGAGATAAGAGTTAGGATTGTTTACTTAATTTAAGTAGTTAGAAATTTAGTCATTAACTGATCATTTTTGATATCCTGAACAATTTTTTTTTGCTTTTTTCTAATACTTTCTCTGCATATTAGCATGTACTGCAAGGGGCCTACTCAGCCTCAGTAAGCTGAGTTGAAATTAAGTTACTTCCTTACTTGCTTATCAGAGCTCAGGAATTAAACTGCCTAGATCAAAAGATGGCTGAGGTTTTCTTTTATGATGAGCACAAATATATTTTCATTAGAAAAATAGTCGATTGTTTAATTTGTTTGATAATTTTTTTTTTTTTTGACAAACTATAATGGATAATGTTAAAAACAGTCACTTACTGGTAGTCCAAAAAAAGAGTTTTCAGAATTATTACCGCATTCTATACAAAACAATTACATTTGTAAATGCCAATGGTGTTCGACTGGTCTGTTGTTTTAGATAGAAATGGCAGATCGAAAGGGAGTTGAAATACCACATGGATGGGCAGTGGATTCAAAAGGATTGGTAAGAAGACTAATAATTCAAATTTCAGAAGCAAAACTTCCAGTAAATATTCTCTATAGATATTTGAGATATTTTAAGTTAGAGTTTGAGCTTGATGAAATTTTCAGCTCTTTTAAGTGAAATTTTTATGGTAACTTTTGTAAAGTTATGTTGCAATCTTTACCAAAATTACTTGTTACTGTAATTGGATTTTTCTGTCTAACAAATGAGGTTATTTGACCTCGAAATGACATTATATGATATGCTGAATTATTCTTGCATTTTCATTTTTCTTACTTATGATCTTTTGGAGGAAAGATGCATATATGGTGTCACCATTAACAATATTTTGCTCTTTTATCTTATAAAGCAAACTGATTCCATGTTGCCATGGGTCTGTTCAGTAATAATAAATCACAGAAGACATCAAAATGTGTAAGAACATTTGTGACACACTCAGTTGTGCCTTGTGTACTTTTTTTTTTTTTCTGACCACATTTTGACATCATCTGTAGTCTGTTACTGAACACATGCATGGCAACATGGAATCTACTTGTTTTCTACCTGATAACTTTTTTTTTCATCATAGGAAACTGTTAATCCTGAAAAAGTTTTATCAGGAGGAGGACAGCTGCCACTTGGTGGAACAGAAATAACAAGTACGATAACATAATTAACAGCCTAATTTTACTCTTCTGGTGTATGAGAAGCCCTTGTTGAATTTAACTAAGCATGTCCTAGGGAGGAAACTATGCTTTTCCTATTTTGTGGTGGGTAATTGGAGGAAATGACTGATTGTATGACTTAACCCTTTATCTCCCATGAGTGACCAAGACAGAATTTCTCCTTACAATACCAATACAATATCAACCAGATAAGTGATGAGAATAAAGAAAAATATCAATTTGGGGATAATTAGTTGATCCAGTACTAAATTCTCTGAACTAACATTGTAAGAATTGTATGGTTGACAGTAAGGAGAATTACTAATTTGATGCGGGAGGTAATGAGTTAAATCCCAACTCTGATTGTAATTCTCCCCTCTAGATGCTACACATTTCCTTGTTACTTAGTTACTAGAATTTTGTGTTAGATCAAGATAACAACTTCTACCTGATAAGTTTGAATATTCTCATTACCTGTTTGCTGGATAATGTATGGATATTACAGAGAGAAGTTACATGTTAATCACTTCTGGAAATTATACTTTGTATTAAATCACCCTATGCTAGATTTACTCCCTTTTACCCTGTCTTATTTGCTTTCCAATTGCTAATTAAAATTATTAATGGCAGATCTTTGGATTTTCAGCTAAAATTTGTGGTAATTTTGTAATGACAGTTTATCTCATTCTTGGGTACTTTTGGGTGGTTAATTTTTTATTGCTGGAACTGCAGCTGATCCCAATGTGATCATTATTATCATCATGTCTGCTAATCAGGGCAAACAATACTCCTTAGTGGTGAGTGCAGGATGAAAGGGCCCCAGACACTTTTAGATGAGGTGCAGATTTTACCCAATTGATTTTCCCATAAATTGCGACTTACTAATAAGCTTTCACTTATTCTTGATTGGTAAGAAACCATCACCCATCTTTATGATTATGTGTTAAAAGGCTGAATATTATTATTTTATTTTTCGGCATTGAATTTTGCAAAGTGATATAGGGAAAGTACTCATGGCTCTCTCATGTGGGTGTTGTTGATTGCAGGTGGTTTCAAAGGATATGGTTTAGCAATGATGGTTGAGGTGGTTTGTGGCATCCTGGCAGATGCTGCATTTGGTCCCAATGTAAGAAAGTGGAAGGGTGATGACAGGGTGGCTAATTTAGTAAGTACTGGTGCTTTCTCTACTTTTACTACTTATGTTGTTTTGTGAAAAGACAAATGACATTGTATTTATATACTACCAAGGAAAGGTCTTTGGGAGGGTGCTAGATTTTATAAGCAAAGATGGTTTCAATGCATCTTAAAAAGAGGCCCTTACTGTATATGAATTGTAAAATTCAAAAAAGGCAAGGCTCCATTTTTGTCAAGTTTACCTGGAATGATTAACCTGGGTCCAGTTGTTGTCAAGGAAATGTGCTGCGCTATCCACCAGATTGAATTTTTGTGGTGGTTAGCATTATCCAACCTTTGAACAATTGGACATTCACATACCTTTTTGTGTTCACCTTCAACCTTTTTAGGTTAATTCTTCCTTAATCATATTGAACCCCAATATTGGGTTTGCTAAGCCATGGTATTTTCCACATGTTCATGTATTTAAGCACAGTAACTATAACACATGATTTAAAAAGCCAAACTTTAATATACACTACTAAATCCTAAAGCTACAATTGACCAACATGCATGCAGCTTGACTATTTAAATTTCTGCTCTGGGACATGACAAACCCTTTCCCTTAAAATTCCCTATTGTTCTATTTTTTTTCCTGTTCATTAACACAGATTATAACACATGATTGGCAAACAAGGTTATGCCTGTCAAATACCTAAAATAGACTTTTTATGGGCTGAGTAAATTCCTGTCAAGTGCTAAACCTTTTTTCCTTCTCAGCTACCTGTAATTAATCTCTTTTTAACTTCAATATGTCTACTAATTATTTGAATTGATGTTACATTCAGGGTCAGTGTTTTGTTGCTGTTGATCCTAAAGCATTTTCTGAAGGGTTTGAGGACCGCATGCAGTCACTTATGGATCACTGCAGAAATCTGCAACCGGTAAAACCTTTTTATTTAGCTTGTCATGCTAAAAAATGCACCCAACTCTGGTTTTACTGATATTGCAGTTTAACTTATGAAAGCCTGTCAAGTGCTGTGCCTGACCCTTTTCTATGGCTCTGTATGATATCTTAAGGCCTCACCCCTCTTGTTCAACATCTTGAGTTGTTCAACCTTCTTAATTTTGACAACGTACATTGGCTCGTGTCTCCCTAATTGTGTAGTGTTGGTAATTAACCCTTTAACTCCCAGATCGAATTTGTAATTCTCTTTACTGTCAACTTACAATTCTTATAATGTTTATTCAGAGAATTTAGTATTGGATCAACTAATTATCCCCAAATTGATATTTTTCTTTATTCTTGTCAATTATCTGGTTGATATTGTATTGATATTGTAAGGAGAAATTCTATCTTAATTAATTCTTCTGGGTTTAGTTGTTCAAATGGTGGATAATGCTATCCATTGGATAAATCACTGTGCTGTGGAGAGGAGTTAACAAATGAAAACTGTGCTATCCACAGGAGAGATTTATCCAGTGGACTGCATTGTCCACCTTAGCACCACTGGAACCAGGCCAGCTTACCAATCACCCAGTCATTCTGTCAGATCAGCCAGTGAGCCTGTCAGCTGGTTTGATCTTAAGTCAGTTGCCCATTTTTCTTTTGCAAATCCCTCAGTCTCTGTACTGGTTGCATATTGCACAAGTCTTTCTTAATATGTGATGATATCTAAGACCATGGCACTTGATGATTTTGCCAGCTGAGGAAGCTCTTTTAAGGAAACAGTTATTGCCTCTTAAAGGTCCACACCCTGAGAGAGAAAAAAATTTTGTTCAATATTGACTGCAGCATTATAATTCCACAGGCAGAGGGTGAGACCACTGTGCTTGTAGCAGGAGACCCAGAGAGGGCCCACATACAAAAAGTGAAAGAAGATGGTGGTATTCACTATCATGTTAATTTGCTGGAAGCTATGGTATGTTAGCATAGATATGCCTGGTAAAATATTTTGATCAATTAATGAAATGCGGGCATTGCAAAGTAATGAACTACTCATTTTTTCGTCTTGGTGAAATCCCAGAATTCTTCCCATATCAAAATAACTACCAGTATATCTTTACTCTGTCCAGTAGATATACTGCACCATTCAGATCTTTAAATAAGGAGATAAAAATTTCATTGTGGTAACTAGGTTTATCAGTGTGACAGTTTTTCTTTTCAAAAATTTTCTTTTTAAAAAAAAAATTATAGACATTACTAAGGTCAATTTCAGCTATCCTGTTATCAGCTCTCAAAGATAAAATTGTTATCCATGCACTGCAATATTGTTATCCATGCACTGCAATGTTGTATCCCCCATCAGTAACACAGACCCTCTTTTCTCTCCTTTAACCCTTCCAATTCCAAGATCTGAAAGTGAATTCTCCCCTCCAGCTGCCTTGCATTTCCTTGTAAATTATTGACAAGAATTTAGTGATAGATCAGAGTAATAAATTCTTCCTGATAAGTTTGAGTATCCTCATTACCTTTTTGCTGGACAATGTACAGATATTAAAGGGAGAAGTTACATGTTAATCACCTCTGGGAGTTGAAAGGTTAACTCTAATACCTCAGGTGATTAAAATGTTACTTCTCCACACAATTTCATTACATCATCTAGGAAGCTGGTGATGAGAAAAAGACAAACATGGTAAAGGGGATATAAACTTTCTTTTTTTAATGACACCAAGTCTTCTTACTATCATGATAAAGCAGCACATAGCAGCTAGATGGGAGAGCTACAAAGTAGATCATAAGAGCTAAAGAATGAAATGTTTAAATTATGAATACATGTAGTAATATTAAATTGCTTTATTTCTTTCTCTCCTTTTTATTCTAGGACAAGCTTGCCAACCAACTAGGTGTGCCATGCATGCCAACAAAGTAATACCACTCACACATACATGACATTACTCTTGTCTTAAAGAAAAGATATTTTACCAATGACTTATATGTATGCGCCAAAGGATCAACTTATTTTTAGACAAAGTATTTAACCATCACAAAACATACTCAAGAGCTAAAGTGCCACTTTAAGTAAGGGGCACCAAAGAGAGGAAATTACTGTACCTACCAAAAAGGGAAATTAGGACTAAATTAGTGTTTTATTACAAATTTTTCTTTGTGCTTAGCTCATTTTTCTCACAGAACTTGGCTTGTATGCCAGGCCTGTGATAATGCCACTGTGTTATTGGTTCTGGTACTTGCTGAGTTATCATATGATTTACAATACATCAGCAGTACCATTACACTATTTCAAAATCAATGATTTGGTGCAGAAATATTCACCAATAATGTGATTTGAGTGAATGTCTTTAGATGGCAACAGTGAATGACATCTTGACAATCTGAGTCAAAAGTTACAGTCATTGTTAAGTCTGATGATATGACTGCAAAGTGACAGTCAAATGATACTAATTGTTGATACTAAACCCAAAAGTACATTTTTCTATCCACTTAACATTTACAATTAACTAACAAATGCACTCACAAAATGATAAAAGGGACACACCTTAACAAAAATCAACATAGTAAAACTATGGTTGTAGAGAACCTTTGTGTCCAACAAATGTCACAGGTTTTGGGCCGATATGTGAAAAAAACTACACAATTTTGTATTTTAGGGTGCTTAAACAGAGATCAAAACCAATATATAGCAAGGAGGGTTCCAAAAGTGGCAGTTAAACCCCCCCCCCCTTCCCAACTAGTAGCTTTGTAGATAAAAAGTTCTCATGTACAATACCCAAACAACCTGACATGTCCCCAAATGGTGGTGAGACACTAGTATGGGACTGCCACCCCTTAGTTTTGTTAAGAAAAGTGATATTTGTTGAGTGAAACAACCTGCCATGCCCCAAAATGTCAGTAAAATACTAGCACTTGTGTAGGAAAGCAATCTGAAATACTCCATAATGTCAGTAAGACTCAAATGCAAAACAACACTCACCACCCCCCTTCCCCCCCTTTCTTATCACCCTTGTTAGGATGAATCGATCATCTCTCATGGTGAAGCATCTAACAGGTCCCCAAAGGTCGGTAAAATGTATCCCAATTGTTTCCAGCTTTGTCAATGAATATTAATAATTTACAACAATACCCCCAAATGTCAATAAGATGTTAGTGTAGAACTGAGGCCCCCCCCCCCCCATAGACTTTTCTTTCTAAGCTTTGTTTAGAGTGATAATTTGCTTGAGTACCCTAGCCTTTTTATACTTGTATGATACCATAGTATGTGATGCCTTCATCTTAGCTTTTTCTAAGAAAAAATATTTTACAATAAAAGATTGAAACTATCTTATTTTCTTCAAAAGGAAAGTAAGAAAGTGGTGGAACCCCCCTACCCCCACTTTCTTTACTGTACTACAAAAAATTGATAACAAATTTATTTAATGAAAACAACCAGGTATGTGCCCTAATGCTGGTAAAATCTTAGTGTGAAACCCCATCCTCGCATATACCCCCATGGGAGGTCCTGGGGTGCCCGTTAATTCCCCGCTCTTTGTAAGTCTTTTTTTAAAGAAAACAACCTACAATATTCAATTAGTGAGAACTGGTGAGTTTGACCCCCCCATTGAAAAATCGTGGCTATGCCCGTGTACCCTGGGAAAACGTCATAGGAAAATTAACAAGTAGATATTTGGGAAATAAATACCGACATGGCAAGGGTATCAAGCACGTGATCACTTTTACTGTAGAATCGTGCATATATCCTTGAAAAATGAGAACAGTGACTTGCAGAAACACTGAATCACTTAGTGATAGGAAATTTAAATCGTAGATAGTTAAGAATAAAATATATACATGGCAAGGCTATTAAGCCGGAGATCCCTTTTATACGATTTTAGCATAAAGTAGGTGGTTCAAAGTGTATTGTAATTTATTTTAAAATAGTTGTGAAATAGTTAGTTAGCTTGGTAGGTTTATAAAAGATGATCTAATGGAAGTAAAAATGTTAGAGATTTAGCCTAATATGCTTTGATGTTGATTTATCCCACTCAGGTTTTAAAATAGTTGTTCAGAAATGCGAGGTTCAACTATTCGACTTTACACTGACGATCGTTTTTACCGAAAAATTTTAAAATATAAATGAAAAAGAAGAGGTAGTTTTTTGTTTCTTAGTTAAGGGGAAATAAGAAATTGAAAGAGTAACACTGGAGACGAGTGAGAGATTTTTGTGTGAAAGTTGTCACAGTGTATTGCGAAATATTGAACTCCTTTTGTCTCTTTTGTGCTGGAATGCTTGGTAGGTTTATAAACTGCAACACTTGATGATCTAATGGAAAAGTACTCCTTGGCAGTAAAATGTTTGTCAAGAGCTGCTTACTACAAGCAAGTTGAGAGGAAGCACTTTAGCCTGGTGTTGTTTTCATCTCAATTGACACAGGAGAAGTTTTAGACTATCACCTCTCTGTATGTTTGTGTAGGCTTTTAATGAATTTGAAGGCATGCAGTAAGGGTAAACTTGCTGATGAGATAAATGCTTGGATATGCTTTGATGTTGATGTTGAATAGTGATGAAAAAGATAAATTCTTCACCATCCCACTCAGGTAAAGACCAAAACCAAGTATGGCTTGGTTTCGTGTTTGCGTGCACGGCGCTGGTTACAGACGTCTACGTCGAGTTCTCATTCACTGTGCAGTTCGTTTTGTTGAACGCGATTAAACAAATAGAATAAATTTAAAAATTTCTTGCATCCCAACAAGCAATATTCTTTAGAGGTTTTTTTCTTTTGTTAATTGAAATGACCGTGTTTATCCTGATATATAGTTTTAGATAGTTGTGACCAAATGATTTCAATTTTTGAAAAATGCACTTTTTTAGGTTCAATTTCGAACAGACCATTTTTCAATTTGCTTTTGGTTCAATTTCGAACAGACCATTCAATTCTTTTAGAAGGGGTGGGCCGGGAGAATAAAAAATACGATGTAATTTTTACATGGTGACGGTTCACGAAGCCAATACTTGGACTCACGCATGCGCGACGGAGCACCGACGGTTATTTGGGGCTGTTCACGAACAACCCCGAGTTTCTAACTCGGTCTTCCATCAGAGCGCTTGAGGGAAAATAGAAAACAGCCAAAGGACTCGGAGAACTCGCATCGCAGATTGAATATGGTTCCCATTTTTTTTTAGAGTTGGGAATTATCTAATATAAAAGATTATGCTCAAAACTTTTCACTATAGGTCAGGAATCTGAGATATAAAATTGAATTTGAATTGGAGTTTGGCGTGGTTGGAGTATTTTACCGATATTTTAACAACGGCTTTAATTAAAAAATGGGGATAAAAGAGTTTATGGAAATTTTGGGTTTTGTTCAGTCGTATCTCGAGGCCCTAATTTTAGATGCAAATTTTGTGTTTGTGGAGTACATCTTTTAATCTAAAAATTTTTATCTTTAATAAAAAAAACTGTGGGAACAAAGCGTTTCCTCGGGCAAAATTCAAAATTTGAAATATTGTTTGTCGGTTAAGGAAGAGAGTGTCACTCAATTGTCGGTGCGGCTAAGATAATTGATCTGTCAAGTCTCTTAAAATTGTAAACCCACCACTAATTTACTTATATTAATAAGGTGTCGTACTTAAAACTTTCTCTTATACTAAAGAATTTCTCAATAAAGAATTAGCTCCGTAAAAAAATTTTAAAAAAATGAATGAATTAGGTAAAGAAAGTATCTCAGGCTATGTGATTAGTTAGCGCTAGTAATTTATTGGGATGTCAAAATGTGGCAGCTGTCCTCATATCGCCTAAAATACATGTCGATCTTTAAACAAACGTCGTTATAGCAACCTTTTGCAAAGTCATTTCAGCTGCTAATGTCTGCTTCAGTTAGCTTTTCTCAACTCACCTCGCTATCCAATCAATTATTGATAACAAACCACAGCAGGTCTGTATTCACCTAGCTAATGTTTGGAACGTTGTTGTGGGAACGTAGAGATATTTTCAGTAATAGCCCGTTGCGAAATGGGAAGCTTGTAGAATATATTGTACTGAGAAAGTTTCCTTTTACTCCACTGATAATATCACACTCGACGTTATGGCTTGAACGTGGAAAATGTCCGATAGGCCGGTGTTATGCGCAGCCTGTGACGAGCCCAGTCCCGGGCCAATAAGACGTTTATACTATCAGCCACGAAAACACGGTCCATTTTTCCCGATACTGGAACAACAGAAAGTTGGGGTCAAAGCAAGTTTATTTTCCGGAGGACGAGTTGTCGTATGCACAGGCTGTGCCAGCCATTTGCAAAGACAGTGGATCGCATTCGAAAAAAAGTGGACTCCTTTGGAAAAACGAACCTACACACTCTTAGCAGGTAAATTCGATGTAATTAAAATAGTCTGAATTTATCACTGGATGAGATAATTTTGACATCTTTGCAGTTTATCAGAGGTTAAGTTATGAAATATATATGTATCGTCTGGAGTTATTAATCACCAAAATAAGCGTACGTTGACTAGAGCACGATAGTACAAACAAATGGTTGATACAGCTTCTCAGCTACCTATCAGTGACTCAGCAATGAATAATTATTTGTTATCTTAGCCAGTTATTTGCAAAGTTGCGTTGTAAAGTTGTAAAATTTGGGTTGCTCTACTGTTAAGTCAAAACTGTATCGTCTGTTCTCGATAGTTATCAATGTATGCTAGTCCTATACGCTACAACTTCTAATAAAGGGGATTTTGACGTTAAGACTTCAAAATGATTTTTTTCAAGCGTTATTCGGGCCAAAGAGAATCATTATTTGCAACATGGTACTTGTCAGAACGCGTCAAATACTTACGTCACTCTTCAAAATACCATACCATATGGGTGCCGCTTATAACTGCGAAAAAAACTTTCGATTGGATCGCCGCTACATCTGAATACGAAAGACAACATCTATTCATTAGGATTTCCGTATCACGATATGATTAATTCGTGGGATACAGCCGTAATACAGGAAACGATTCAAAACATACTTTAAGAGTGATCAATCCTTTTTTTCAAACACGGAAACTCAATTGCAACTTGCTAGGCAACCGCACTTGTAAGGAACTCGCCAATACGAAAAAGTTAAAAAAAAATTGATTTGCTCAAACGCTGTGTTAGAGAAATCTGTTATTGTGTGGTAGAATTTTTATAATTTCCAATACTTGTGGGCTTGACAGCTTTTTGCAATTGTAATAAGAGTTCATTTACTAGCATCCTCTTGTTGAGAGGCATGAGTGTATGAATACATTTTCATTATGTAAAATATGTAAGCTGGAAAAGATTTGGGTCTATTTTCTGTCTAGAGATAGGGATTTGGCCCGAGAACATTTTGATAATCTCAAAGGAAGCAGTTTTGATCTTTAGCGTCAGAAACCAGAAAAACAATTTGAATCATATATATAATATAAATGACAATTTATATAGCGCCCCATCCAAAAGCTCTAAGGCGCTTCACAATCAAACCAGAAGACATGATAACTTGACTTTTAATAGCACTACACGTAATAAGTGTGTAAAAACATCGGACCAGACGCTGGCGGCAAAGAAAGGCGATGTTTCTCAGCAGGGGTTTAAGAATTTGCGGGGCATCCCCGCAGGCTTTGATGCACAAACTAAAGCAAGCGCACCATTAAAAAAGGGCAACTTGGGATCGCGCTTGGGATCTTTTTGTGAACATCTGCATGCTCATCATAATCATAAATGGAGTATGGCCACTTAAGACATGCTTATTGAGTTTGGAGAGAAATTTGCTGGTGTCAAAAACATTTTTTAAAATTTGGGCAAAGGTGCGCATGCTCTTGGCCAGGTGTACGATGAACTATCGCTGGCTCTGCCAAATGATCACTCACATTGATTTCTAGAGCAATTTTCAATTGAGTGTCCGGGATTGCATCGGTTTTGCTCTACTTCGCTCTGTGATTGGTCCAGAAAACTCGCGCCACTCTCTAAACCAATCAGATGCAAACTAAAACTAATCATCACGACTTGGTCGCCCGCGTTTTCCCGCGCCTTGGGCAGTTTGTTTGTTTCTACTTGGAGTTCTCATTGGCTCTCTAGGGTATTTTTCTTTCTTCTGATTGGTTGTTCAATCGAAAAGCGCTTTTATCATGCATCAGTAATCACTTGTTGATAATTAATTCTCAAAAAGATCATTTAATGTAAGTAAGTATATCATGATATTGACATTTATGATTAATTAAATCTCAGACTGACAACATTGAATGGTGGTTTTCCTATTTGTGACATTTCAGCCAGCAGGGCCCCAAAGGGTGATGATTTCAGCGAAGCTGGCTCGCAGGACCACGCGGCCAAACTTCAGTGGCGCAAAGCCGCCAAATCACTGACAGTTCAACATCAAATCGTGGATAGCTTCCAACACACGTCACATGACGATGATCCGAGCCCCGTCAGCAGATTCAGAATGGCGGCTCAGAACGTCCAACACGAGAGAGAGGCGAACCCAGCTGGTTCTAGTCTCCACGATGTGGTTCAAATGGCGCGCGACGCAAATGCTGATTATGATACACCACGATCTGACAGAAACGCAGGAAACTTGCATCTTCCTGTTTTAGCGAGAAACTCTCCCGCAGAAAGACGCTTACCAGGGGGTACATCATCTGAATTTCAAGACCAGCTTCCTCAGAAATTACGCGAAAGCGCAGACATTTTGATACGAAAGGTGGCAGAAATTCAATACGAGGAAAATCTGCGACAGTCGCAAGAAACCATTCGTGAGGCGCTGGATCGAGTAAAAAAGTCACAAGACCGAGCGCAGTTTGTGAAGAGCCTGGGGCGCGATCTCAAAGAGCGACTTTACGGTGAACTTGAGTTCCGAGATGCCAACAGAAGTTTAACCGAGGAAAGACGAAAGAAAGCTGTTCAGGCGCTCAAAGACAACGATGACTCCAAACATAAGCAAATATTAAAAGAATTGGAAAAGGAGAAGGAATGGCAGCGAAAAACAGAAGTCATGATTGCAACTCAGGAAAAGAGAATCGAAGAACTTCGACAAGAGATAAAGATAGAAATGCGGAGCATTATGGAAGAACAAAACAGGCATTACGAGGAACTGAAGCAAATGATGATAGATTCCAGAGCAATAGTACCTCATAACGGCAGTGACCACGCGTACGTGAGTCTTGATGGATCAACGCATTCTGGATCTAATCTGGAGGATCTTATTCCGAGTAGAAAGAGAAGGCGTAACAGGGAACCCAGTACAACTTCTGCCCTAGAGGAGCATTCTCGTGCAAGCACGCCAGAATATTATATCCAGTAGATCAGACGTTTTGATAGACAATTTTGTAAATCAGTCATACCTTTTTATTCCCAGACTACCCCCTCCCCCCACCTTCACTATTAATGTACAGTATATATTCCTGCCAAGGAATAGACCCTATATGAATCACACACATTCTTCATGAAAACATTTCGGAGAAATTTAAATATAACAGAACAAAGCAATTCATCTGGAGGCGAGGTGGCAAGAACTATTATACGGCTCTTTCGCCAGAGAAGTAAAAATAATCGTTGTTAAATTTATCATAACGATTCATAAGCAAATCTTTGATTACCCTCGTAATAAAAAGCAGTCGAGAAAGTCTCAGAGGAAAATGTTCCCCCCAGCATAAAACTTAAGATGAGGAGATAAGTCTACGATTGTTTCCTGATGAGAAACCTCTTCCGTATCAATGGGCATCACAACGCACTAAACGATCTTTGTGGTCAATCTTGGACATAGCTGGGGGTGGGGGAGGGGTTTAGTCCTTATACGAGAAAAAGGAACACCTAATCGTAAGTGACAAGTGGCATAATTCCAATCGAGTGTCATAAGTATTCTAGGAGTGCCGTAGTTTTACCACACGAAACCCTGTGGTTGGTCCAAAAGACTCGCGTTGCCCTCTTAACTAGTCATTTGCAAAACTAAATCCAATCGGGATCTTGTCACCTGCTTTTATCCGCGCACAATCCCAATCGAATGACAAAAGTGTTCTGGGATTGCAGACGTTTTCCTGCACTACTCTCTGTGATTGGTCCAGAAAACTAGCTTGACCTACTCAACCAATCATTTTCAAAACTAAAAGCAATCGAGATTTTTGTCAATTGCTTTTATCCGCTCTCAACTCCAATCGAGTGACTAAAGTATTCTGGGATTGCAGACGTTTTGCTGCACTACTCTCTGTGATTGGTCTAAAAAACTGACGTCACCCCCTCGACCAATTGTTTGGAAAACTAAAACAAATCGTGATTTTTGTCGCGCGCCTTTTTCCCGCGTTTAAGGTTGTTTAGGAGTCTGCGCATCGCTTTGAGTTCTTACTGGTTGAGTTAATATTTTCCTCTACCACATCTTGCCTTTCTGATAACCTTGTTTTTCGGTTTCAAGGAAATTAGTGAATTAGCTCCTCGGGGTACTTTCCATTCTTCTGATTAGTTGAGATTACTCGAGTTTTGGTCTTACGACACTCAGTCGGAGAACGCTCTATAAACTGCTGTGTGAGGGTCGTTGATGCTGAATGACGCAAAAACAACAAGCACGAAACGTTTGAAAAGTTTGCTTTTAATGTCACCAGACTGCGACCGATTTACTTCATTTTCTTCTAGCATGAAGGCCTTTAAATTCACACGACTTCCTACTAAAGAAAACGCAAAAAAAAAAAAAAAAAAAAAAAAAAAAAAAAAAAAACCAGAATAATAGGGAATATTTCTATTTACAAACAAAGAAATGTGAGTTTACAATTTTTCTTCTAGATATCCAAGTCCATCAAGTCTCCCTTTGCTTGCTTGGTTTTCCATTCAGGCAAAATAACATTTAATCTTCTTTTCTTTATATTAAAGCTTCTCGACAAAATAAAATATAAACTCTTGTAATTGTAATAGAAATTCGCCCAGTCAAGACATTCGACATTTACGCTTATCCGAAAAGAAGTAAAGAGAGTGAAAAGTTTAAGTTCAAAGGAAGTTTCCGTAACCGAAAACGACTTCACCTCTTAAGAGTCATTTAGTAGAAGAAACGAAAGACACATTTCAAATCAAACTAGAGCATAGAGCGTTTCTTGAGCTCTTTGAGCAGATTTTTCTTCAATGTCTGATGTTCATCTACAATCTGATTGGTCAAAAACCACTTCCAAAATCAAGTCAACCAATCATGTGTCTGACCAAAAGTCAATTGCGAATTTTCTGCACATGGTGCAGATTACGTGAGTTCTGACTGGTTCATTGCCTTTTCCGAATTTATGATTTCCTGAGTCGACAATCGACTTAAAAACGCTCTGTTGGTAACCGGAGGATTTTTGACTCCACTATTTTGTTTCGATCTCAAAAAAAAAATCTCGCCATTCTCTTGTTTTTTTTTTCCTTTTCGTCGTGTAATGATAGATTATCATTTGATAACAGAACAAAAGACGTTCAGCATAATGAACCATAGGCACATCTTTTCTTCGTGCAAGCTTTCAAATCTGTTCTTAAAATAACAGCAATGTTCGAAAAGATAATCTGTCTTGATTCAATAGGAGTGTTCAATCTGTACATAAAGTTGTTTCACTCCAAGCTGTGGAGAGAAAAATTTGAAAGTTAAACCATTTATATATCAACCCCCCATAATGATAACGATCTCAGTACAGTATCACTGCTAGATCAAACACTATGGTCATGAGAACGAAGATGATGATCACAAACTGAAGAAGTTAAATAGTTGTACTGTGGGGTGGTTACTGGCTGATGCCTTATGTGGTGCTTTGTAATTGTCATCATGAAATGTCCCCTCACCTCCATAAAGATATGATGAGTCTGACTGAGAATTTTATGCGTGTCAGCTGTAGGTGCAACCAGCAAACGTAGAGTTCCAACCCACACGTTACTAAAGGTGAGATCAACAGAATGGTATCACCATTAGGATTCATCACTGTCATACTAATCTAATGATTAGAATTATTATAAGCGTAAAAGGTTTGCAAACGCCTTTTTACAGCAAGATAGAACACTCCTTAGACTGCAAAATAAATGTCGCCACTGCGGGCATCCAAAGTTTTTTTTTTTTTGGGGGGGGGGGCAATTTTCAAGCTAAATGCTTTTGTATTATACATGATTTTGAATTTTTATGAAATTTTGTATATTAACTTTATCAATTGTATCTTGTAAATAATCTTGAATTGTGAATAAAGTTATTATTTTCATTAGAATTCTACAGTGATTAAAATGCATGGCAATCTCTTCCCAAGAGACCCTATAGCCTTAGTACCTCTGTGCCATGTGCAAACTACTCTTATTTTGTAACACAAAAGTACCACATGCACAAACAAAACACGAGCAACAGGACTTGAGTGTCCTCAAATTTGACTCTGGTTTCTTATCAGATTGTGGAACATCAACACACAAAGAGAAACAAATTATGCAGGGGGCACACCCAAGAACAGTTAGAGAATGATAAATTTCAGTCTTTCAGTGCTTTTCCAGAGGGAGTGTCTAAGAGGGTAGGGCTCCTGAGTGCATGACCCCCCCCCCCCACCTCCTTGTTACAACAAAGACTGAAGTGAATTATGACTCTAAGACTTGCAAAAACTGCTAACTGACCTTCATAAGTGATCAAGACAGAATTTCTCCTTTTAACATCAGTACAATATTAAACACACAAGTTATGAGAATATGGAAAAGTACAAATAAGGGATTATCAGTCGATCCAATGCCAAATTCTCCAAACTAACCACATAAGAATTGTACAGTAGGCAGTAGAGAGAATTACGATATCTTGGTGGTGAAAGGGTTGACCAAGAGAGCCTATTTGGGAATGAAATTACATACAATAATGTCAAAAAGAGGTTCAAACCTGCTAAGTGCCCAGAAATGAGGATCTTGAATGCTAAACACATCATCCATTTGATTCACCTGTGAAATACGTACAGAAAATAATCAATGAATATAACCAGTGTATTTATTATGAGTTCACTTAAAAGGCAAATTTACATGTTACAAAAAAATAGTTTTAAAAATATTTCTTCTCACTCACCCTTTGGTAAGCAATATGGACATTCTTTTCCAAACCAACTGGGATTCTCTGCATTAATATTCCGACAGAATCTTTCAATAGAGGGATTACACTGCAGACACAAAAGATAACTGGTTAAGTTCAAAATATATGTATTTTGTGATTCAGGGTAACTTACATCAGAAGTGATTGACTGTCAGTAGAAGATTTCCAAATAAATTACTATTTTTACAAAAATATATCTTTTTTTTTTTTTTACCTGAAGAAAATAAGAACTGAAATAAACATGGAACATATGGGATCAGCCAACATCCATCCTATTGAAAGAAAGGAAAGCTTTCAGATTCATGAAATATTCACCAAAAATTGTCAACCACTTTTAAACAAAATACAAAGTTGGGTATATTTACCTATTCCTAGACATTGACCAGGTTAAATTATACACTAATTTTGTATCCCAAACCATGCTTGATTGGCAATCATGAGATGCAATATTTTTTTTAGCAAAAAAGAATGGATGTGTTTTATCTTAAAGCACTCTTGCCTTTAGCCACATTTAGCAACATTGCTTCACCTCTCTCCTTCTAAACCCATGAACCCTTTAACTCCCAGATCAAATTTGTGATTCTCCTCACTGTCAACCATACAATTCTTATAATTTTAGTTCAGAGAATTTAGTATGGGATCAAACTGATAATCCCCAAATTGATATTTTTCTTAATTCTCATCTCTTATCTGGTTGATATTGTATTGGTATTGTAAGGAGAAATTCTGTCTTGGTTACCCATGGGAGTTTAAGTGTTAACTTTCAGAATTGATTTACATGTAACTTATTTCCTTATGATATCTAAAAACCTTCAAGCAAACAGGTAGTAAGATAATCTGATTTATCAGGTAGAGGTTGATATCTTGATCTCACACCAAATTCTCACTAACAATTCAAAAGGAAATGTGCATCAACTAGAAGGGAGAATTAACAATCAGATCTTGGGAGTTAAAGTTTTAAAGGGGGATTAGTAAATCAGTCAGACATTTGCAAACATTTGCAACTTAGGCATTTTTTTTAAAAGATCAGGAAACAGTTCACTGTTGAAGATTTTCACAACTTACCAAACTGGTATATAAGTCCAGCTGATATAATTACACCTACACTTCCTAATGTGTCTGCTAATACATGAAGGAAAACTCCTGTATGAAAAAACAACAAGACACAGTCAATTGAATAGTATAAAGGGGGTCACTTTCTACAGAAACTTTGGTGCTGCATTGGTGGGGGATTTAACAAGGTAATGTGGTTTAAAAAGATTTTTAAAAGCTGATGTTTTGAGTGTTGGCCCTTTGTCAGAGTAAGAGAAAGAGACAGCAAAAAGCAGTTACAACTGGGATATAAATCCTGCTGACTAGCATCTAATTTCTCTTAATCACCACTGAATCACACAGTAAAGTCATAGGAATAACAGAAACAATTGCCAATGATAGAGGGCCTCAACTTTCAAACAAATTCTCATTGTGAGTGTCACAAGAAATGTGGAGAGAACAGTGTGGAGAATATACATACTGATGATAAGTTGAACATCACAGGGACCAAGTTAAGTTGCAGTGAAAATGTAACAAGGAGAAATTTAATGGCTGCATCAATAACACACACCACAGCAACTTGTTTTGAAAGCAGTTCACAAGAAGTGATAAATTATGACATGTAACAGCAATTTGTCTCTACATTTTCCAGCCGATTAAGAAAACAGACATGTAAGAAGATCTGTTACACAAAACTTCAAAGAAACCACCCTTAGAGCAACCAACACCATGAAAAGAATGCTACAAACTTTTATACAGCATAATGCATATGAAAAGATACCAAAATGAGTCTTTCAACTTTCTCTCTTGTGATAAAGAGTTTTTCAAGTTCTGTGGTAGAACAATTGGGTGATCTCAATTATTCTTAATTTTTCTCAATTTTTCCTTTCTTTTTTCCAATCATATTTGAGTATTTTCTTCCTCTTACCTTCCATTATTTTGCTTTGGGAAACTTCCACTTTTCCTTCCTTGTCTGAACAACCTGCGTGTAAACAAAGGTTGACATCAGAAGAAGCTCATCAATAATAATAAATTTTTTATAACCATCACAATCAGAACTGTAACAAATCTTGAACATGATTGGTTATCACAAGCCCAATTTGAGTACTTATGGGACAGTGAATGTGTCATGTAATTGGACATTGTAGTAATTAGGCAGTATTACATTATCCCAAGCCTTGAGTAATTGGACAGTACACATCATGTGCAAAGATCATGCACATTTCACAGAGTTAAATGTTGTCTTTTTTCCTATGAAAACATTTTATTGATGTCTCGTATATCTCTCAGATGTTGTCATAGTTAAGATTAATTAACAACTGGACTTCAACACTTTCAGATACCAATTTCTAAATTAACTGATTAATTAATTCAATGCTTCCAATTCTGTCAATAATAATACCCATAAATAACAACTCACTCTCATGATTTACCTCTTTCACACCCAGGAGTGACCAACAAGGACAGTTTCTCCTTACAATATCCATACATTTTCAAACAAGAGGCAAGAAAATATCAGCAATTGAAGGAGAAATTGCCTGATTTAACATCAAATTCTCAGAACTAGAATCATAAGCAGCATGGGGGGACAGGAACAGAGAATTAATATCTAGATTGTGGGAGTGAAAGGGTTAAGACCAAATTGGACTTCACTGAATCCTATTACCGTTACTTATATCATTGTAAAAAATGATTTGTGCTTTGTAAATTTAGACATTTGTTTGCAGTTATAGTCTGTGTTTCAGGCACTTTGGTACCTGAATCATGTGAATGGTTATGTCCACCATTCATGTGGGAGTGTCCATGTGAATGACCATGAGAGTGTCCATGGCCATGACTGTGTCCATGTTCATGGCCACCACCATGTGAATGTCCATGCCCTCCGCCATGTGAATGTCCATGCCCTGTGAAGGGAAAAAATGTATATATCATCACATCTAATCCTTTGATCCCTAAGAGTGATGAAAATATGGGTTTTGAAGAGATGACAGCCTTTTTGCTGGAGGTGTTTGCTTTAAGATTGTATGCCAACAACAACCCACCCTATTCTCACAAAAATTGTCTGTTGACTGCATCATCTTTTCCCCTCAAAATGAAGTTCAAACAAACCCTACAATCGCAATTAAATTCCCAATAACAGCATCATCCTTGAACAAAAACCCAAAACCTTAAAATGAAAGTATATCCATAAGTTACTTTATTTCTCTCCCAGTTTTGTGTCTTCAAAAAAAATTTGAAGATGCTCAGAAAACCACAAGATTAGTTCTGAGCCCAGGAAACTTCTGTAATAATGATGGTAAAATTGTTCCAATTCATAAGTCACTGAATCACGACAACATAATTTTTTGATCGGCATAGTGTCATATTTATAGGTCAAGAGGTCTACAATTAGGACAATAATTTTAATAAACCATTATCATTAAGATCATTCTTACCTGCTGCACCTCCATGATGAAAGACAAAAATACCAACAAGATTAACAAAAAATCCTAGAACTGAAACAACAAACAGCCTCTCATGTTTAACCTCTGGAGGGTGAAGAGCTCTCTAGAAGTAAATAAAAAAAATATGTTTAATGTTAAAAATTAACATACCAATGCAATGTTAAAGGTGTTTTATCATTTAAGATTGGATGTACCTTATCCTTTTCATATAGCAAAGTCTTATTATATTTAATTTACTATCAAGTAAAACTTTTCACCTCTGGAGTGAATATCATCTAATTTGTCCTTATAATATTGAAACTGAATCAAATATTACATTCACAAGAATAGAGGTAAGGGTCATCAACAAAAGAAGTTCTTACTTCTTAAATTATTGAACAAATTCTCCTCATCACCACCTTTGAAAACGTAGAGCGAACAGTATAGAGAATATACATGTTGATGGGAAGGTGTAAAGGGTTAGAAATATTTACCTCTACAGCTTCAGATAAAATAAAGAATGCAATAAACACCAAAAATAATCCATTCACAAAACCAGCCAGCACTTCAGCTCGTCCATACCTGGATTGCACAGGAATCAAAACCACATTCTATCAATTTCAGAAAGAGAAAAGTAAAAGGTGCACTGACTATGGTTAGCTTCAAAAGGTACTAACTCCTCACTGCTCACCCTGTCCTACCTTACATCTCCCCCTTCCCCATTGCCCCTAACCCTTACCTCATGCCCCTTACTCTCTATACTGGCTGTCAATCAAATACTTTTCTTATATGCTGAATAATACCAAGACTACACATGTTCAGCTTCATGATGCGATAAAGGATACTCTGGCAGGAACACCATTGACAAAATGACACTGAATCAAAGAACTTATTTATACAGCAAGCACTGGTTTCCCTCAAGGGCAACTCAGAGGGCTCACAATACAGTAACATAAGTAAGAGAGAGAGAGAGAGAGAGAGAGAGAGAGAGAGAGAGGCTGTTTTAAATGCAATTTCTGTTCCTCTAAACTGCTTCACCAGTTCTATTACAAACCTTACTTATAAAAAAAAATCATCAATCTTACTGTAGGATGAAGGTAATAATTTTAAACTGATAAAATTGCATAAATCAGAGCTTGAATGAAACCAAACAAAGACAACAAAGGCTTTATATTGAAGATGGAATTTACTGCTTTTTTCTGGTAATTCATTTACTCAGTGACCCTTGTAACAGCAAATGTATTGTATGTTTTACAAAAAACTCTGTGCTGCTAAGCAACCCCTCTGGTTTCCAGATGTATGTCACAAGTACTGTGCAATGTAAGATTGCCCTCCCTACACGGTCCATAATTTATTATACCCTGTGAGTGCTTAAAGTTGATTTCCATTGAGTAAACCATAACTGAATATAAACCCCCACCCTCCCCCTCCTCTTCCCTCCTCATGCTTTTTAATCTTTGTTGTCCTTTTGTTCCATTTTCTATTTTCAATGTCATGTGTTTCTGGCCCAATCATAAATAAATTATCACACTGTACTTTTTGCCTCACCATTAATTACAATAAAAAATACTCACACACAAGACAACTGCTTCTGTACAAAAATTTGGAAAATAATTAAGTAACACAAAACTGGAAAATTATATTGTTGCACCATTAGTAACAATAGGATTTGAACTAAAGGTACATTAACAGAGCTAATTACCCATAGGAAAATCTTTCATTTTTTCCCCATTTTGCGATCACCGATGCTATGAGCCCCGCCAAGAGTGCAGTACAATCGAAGAACATATGAAATGAATCTGAGATCAGACCAAGACTGAAAGAAAGATAAACATTCATCGTAAACTTCAATGGATAATAATAATAAAAATAATAATAAAATTCGAATCCATAACAGAAGGATACTTGAGAAATCGCTCACCTATTCGTCCATATCCCGTAAGTCAATTCCACAAACGCAAACGATAGGTTAAGAAGAAGGAAGAAGAACAGATTTCTCGAGCTCTCGCTTGAGAGTATGGCCCTAAATAGATATATTACGCGAAAGAGTTAACATGGATGGACACATGGTTATCGATTTCAGTGCAATCGACGACAACAAAAGTGCTTTCAGATCATCGTACTTTATCCATTCAAACAAACGCGATTTAAGCTTCACTCCTGGTTTGAAATCGTCACTTTTAAAACCGTCTTTGCTGGTTAATGGAAGCATGCCGATATTACAATTCGTACTGAGGATTGCATCTGATCACAACACTGCCGGCTTCAAAGATACGTGGCATTCGCTCACTTCCTGTCATTTCCCATTGGCTGATGGGATATATGTTTGACTTTTAATGCGTTTCCAGCTTGCGTTACCACAGGTATCCCAAGATCACGTCCTGAGAGAAAGGTACATTGGCCTGTAAGAACAGAACAGAGTTACAAAACCTAAAACACAAACACAAACTTAAAACAGAATCACAAAGTCCGCAACACTAACACAAAACTCTACAACACAAATACATACTTAGAACAGAATTACAAAATCCGCAACACTAACACCAAACTCTACAAAACTTAAGTTTGTGTTTGTGTTGTAGAGTTTTGTGTCAGTGTTCCGGATATTGTATTTCTGTTTTAAGTTTGTGTTTGTGTTGTAGAGTTTTGTTTTAGTGTTGCGGATTTTGTGATTCTGTTTTAAGTTTGTGTCTACGTTGTAGAGTTTTGTATTAATGTTGCGGATTTTTTTACTCTGTTTTAAATTTGTGTTTGCGTTGTAGAGTTTTGTATTAATGTTGCGGAATTAAATTTCGTGAAAGCGTCACGCGTTGTGTGACTTTCACGAATTAATGTTTGCTTTTCTGAGACGTGAGCTTGGTAACCTGTGACCTTACAGCTGTGGTTTCAACCAGACAGACTTGTCAAGCTTTGATTCTTTGTTCAGGTAAGTGTCAGGCCTATTTTCATCGCAGGTTTTAACTTTTTTTTGTGTTGTTTTATCAACTCCTTTTCATAAGTACCTTCAGTTTTCCATGACATTAATGATCATCAAAGTTTTCATTCAAGTGGGTCCGCGTGCGTCAATGAAGAGAAAAATATAACTTGAATTCTTAGCCAAAATGGAACGTTATTACGTATTTTACGTTTCCGATTATTTGATACACCCCTTATAGAAAGGTCAACCGTTTCCATTTTATTTTGGAACGAATGATAAGAATATCGATGCAATTCATGCCACGTGACTCGACGTCTGACGGTTGAAAATGACTCGGTCGTAAATTTTCTCTCTTTACGTTGTTCTAATTGAAGTCTATGTACTTCAAACAAAGCCTTTAGGGTGTGTGTTGTTTAGTTTGTCGACTATTTATTGCGGTTGGGGAGTATTTATTAAATGAATGGCACTCGCCATTACATAATTTTAATCAGGAGTCAAACAACGTAGCCAAGTGAAGCATTGTGGGTAGTTTGGAAACGGAAGAAGTTGTACTTTACGAAGTGAAGGTCGATAAGGAACTAGAAGCTTGTAGTAATTTTTTTTTCTTTACCGACTATCTTCTTTATTAGGCCAAAACACACATATAGCCCAAGTTTGGTTGACTCACTGCGTAACCACACGTTAATAGCTGCCCAAATTGCTCATCTTAGGTATGAAAAACTAAAGAGGGACAGAAACCAACCAAATATATGTTGAAATCAAGTAAAAAAAAACAAAACAAAAGGGAAATGAGCACCCATTAAAAAAGAGCTCTTGATTGTTAAACAAATTCTCCTTGTCAGTACACAGCAAAGTGTACAGAGAACAGTATAGAGAATATTCACACTGATGATGGGGTGTAAAGGGTTAAGTGAATTATCTTCTTCTGTCACCAGTCAGGACCTCAGTTACCATGTCACTTTTCCGACAAAGATCAACATCATGTAGCCGTTTGAAGGAGATATTTCTATGTCCTAGAAGTTCCAGGTAAATTCCCTAACCCTAAGCAATTTTTTTTCAAATCAATTTATCAAAACTTTGTTGCTCACCTCTGTGATAACTACCCTGTGTTCTAATGCAGGATATTTTACTTTTACAGTGCCCCTTTACATCAATGATTATGAAAATTAAATGGTTGTTGGCAAAGTGTTGGGAAAATGATTTTCCCAACACTTTGTGAATAAATATCTATTCACTTTGTGAATAAATATCTGGCTGAATCATTGTGTTGTGAGTTTTTGGGCAAGATACACTTTTTCACTTTAGCTCTCTTCACCCAGGAGTTAACCCTGTAACTCCCCAGATCTGATTGTTAATTCTCCCTGTAGTTGCTACACATTTCCTTGTAAATAAGTTATGAGAACTTGGTGCTAGATCAAGATAGCAGCTTCTACCTGATAAGTTTGAATATTCTCATTACCTGTTTGCTGAAGAATGTATGGATATTGAAGGGAGAAGTTTTATGTTAATCACCTCTGGGAGTTAAAGGGTTAAACTGGGTACTGGCGATATTTGAGGGGCAGGAGGGGAAGAATTAATACTCTTTGTCACTTTAAATAATGGAAACCAAGTTAAGCTTCGGCTGGAGAAGCTGCTTGGCCCAAGTTCATACTTGCACTTCTGTACTCTTTCCTGATTTTTTCTTAACAGCTGGACATACTCTGATTCATATTATTTTTATCTCTTATTGTCAGTGGTTGGTTGAGAACAAATGTAACACAACCTAAAAGAAAGATAAGTTCTAATGCAGCATACTTGACAAGATCTCGATACTATTCAGCCATTGGTACCTTGGTAGGGACTCTGACTGGAGTTGGACTCATCCTCAATAAACAAAAGGTGGATAGACTATGATTATTGGCTCAATTTAAGTCAATAACATAATCATTATCATAAAAATTATTGTTATACTGGTAATGATAATCATTACCAGTACAATAATTTTTATGATAATAAAATCAGGGAGCTGCAGCCTAGTGTTGTCATAAGAAGCTAGTAATGGAAACCTGCTGGCTGTTGGACCATTTTGCTCTGGCTACTTTGTCAATTGTGATTGAAGACACAAACCTAGTATTTTTAACTGGTTCTATCATGATATCTGGCTAAAAAAAATTACATATTAATATATCCCAGAATGCTGGAAATAACATCTCAGAGAGTTTCAAATTTCATATTTTCCAGGGTGAGATTCTCCCCAGACCATCCAGAAAAGACCTGTTGCTTTGCAACATGCTTTGCTAGCTACACAAGCATAATTCAACTCATTCACTCTGATGAAGGGCTAAGGACTAATGCTCAAAATGTCACATCTTAAACTCTTAATGGTGGCCAATTCAGGTTGTCAGTTCAATTGATAATACCAAATCACCTTGTTGTACTCTCCTACCAATGCAGCACCACAGTTTCTTTCATTAGAAACTTGTCCTCTTTATAATTAACTCAGCCAAGTATTCAGTTCAAATCATAAATTTCCTACACTTTCTAATGACAACTCTGCAGCAGCATAGCAGTTAGCACTGGATATGCTTTGAAGAGATGAAGTTGCGAGACTTAGCAGGGTCATTTTATTTTGTGACATGGGCATTCTGGCATAAATCTTTACATATTTTTTCCACAGATTTCTCAAGCTAAAGAAGCAGCAAAGTCCCTTGGTCAACTATCACAGGACAAAGATCCTGTTTATTCCACAGAAGAGGTTTCTCAACACAACAGCCATGAAAAAGGAATCTGGGTGACCTACAAAGGAAGTGTGTATGATATTACAGACTTTGTTGCTAACCATCCTGGAGGGTCAGAAAAGATCATCTTAGCTGCTGGCGGAGCTCTGGAACCATTCTGGGCTCTTTATGCCGTGCACAAGAATGAACATGTGTTGGAACTTTTGGCAGAATATCGCATTGGTTCTTTGTCCAAAGATGAAAGCTCTATTGAAGCTGTAGATATCAAAGTACGTAGAAAATATGTGGAAGGATATATTGATCATGATGTGAACTTGAATTTAACACAGCCCATGTCAAAGAAGCTTCATACTTTTTGCCCAGTTGTTAAGTAATATAATATTGTACGTATTAAGCCATCTTCACTCCTGCTGGTGAGCATAGGGGATTGACCATAAATCTCTACCAGACCCTGTTTTTGGCTAAATATTGTATAAACAATCAAAAATTCAGAGTTTAAGGGATCACTTCACCAAATGAGTGAAAATAAGATTTTGTAGTGTTTTTCATTTTCCAACTTCCTGAAATGCATCAGTCTGGACAGTGGTTAATATGAAAAGTGAAAAACCTAGAATTTCCCCACAGAGAAAAAACAGGAAAACTCTATAGCATATTATCCAGACACTTGTGCTTAATTCTGTGGTTCAAAGCTGAATTTTTAATTGCTACAGTTGGCCTATTTATGTGTGCATGCAGATAACTGATAGTTACATCACTGTGTATTATTAGGATCCTTACATAACTGATCCACCTCGTCATCCTGCCTTGAAGGTCAACACTAAGAAACCTTTCAATGCTGAGCCACCTTTGCAGCTCCTGTCAGACAATCTCATCACCCCTAATGAGATCTTTTTCATTCGCAATCATCTTCCAGTTCCAGACATTGATGAAACCAAGTATGAGTTAGAGATTACTGGTGAAGGAATTAAACCTGTGATGCTCTCTCTTGAGGTAATTTGCAGATTAATTCAATGATCAGTTTCCACAATGTGACTTAAAACAGTAACCCAACAAGAAAATGAAGGGGTGTCTTGAATAAGTTTTGATGCAATGTCACCTTCTCCCTCTGGTTGACATTGGAAAACAGGAAAATTTGTTAAGAGAATCCAGTACTCTGTAGAAAGTCACCAAGAGTGCTTTTCCATGTGTGTCCACTTGACTCTAGTGTCCTTCACAGCCTTTCTTTGGGATGACACACAGCACTCACCCCACTTGAGAGCATTGCGTCTTCCCTTAGCTCACTGATAACAGCTCTATCCATGCTGTACAATCAACTGCCTTCAGTTGGTGAAAAAGAAACAAATTGTGGAGGATATAGAGATCTGACCCTTCCCTGTTATTATCAACATAGCAAGCCCTTAAATACAGAGAAGATGCTGTTGTGGGACTTCTCTCCACCTTATCTGAAACCTTCCCCCACCACCCCTTCTCTCTTTACTGGGATATCCTATGCATACCCCATGTTACAATTTTTTTTTACCCTGGAGTGGAAAAAATTGTCTTAGCTCTTTACACCCTAATATCAGTATCCACATTCTCCGTACTCTTCTCAGTACATTTCTCTTTTACTGACAAGGAGAATTTGTTTAACAATCAAAGCTTATTAGGTTGATGATCATTTCCTTTATTCTCATTATCTAAGTGAATGATTCAGCAATATTACTGTAAGGAGAAACTAGATGCTAGTCTCTCTTAAGTTTTAAAGGGGTTAAAGTAGTTCTGCAGGCTTGTTTCTTATTTTCGATCAATTAAAACAGTGTTCTGATTTTTTTTAGGACTTAAAGACCAAGTTTCCGAAGCGTAGAGTAACTGCAACAATGCAATGCGCAGGGAACAGAAGAAGTGAAATGAATCGGATTAAACTGGTGAAAGGCCTTAACTGGGGAGCAGCAGCTATTAGCACTGCTGAGTGGACAGGAGTTCTCTTGAAAGATGTATTGAGGTATTATGTCATGAAGAATTCTTTAGAAAATTGTGCTCGCGTGGGAGGACGTGAGTCTCGAGAACAATTACTCACTCCAACATCAGACGGATAGGAGACGCGGTAGCGTGATGGTAGACCTCAGGGGGAGGGGGTACCTGGGTCAATAATTGCATGGTATGTGCTCCTGGCCTCTCAGAACATCTTCCCTATCATAGCCTATTCTGTGACCGATTATAGATCCCATCTTAGTCACTTTGGGCACATAAAACTACATTTAAACTGCAATTCTTCCCAATTTTGAATCTCTAGTTACCACAATTTTCCTAATGAGGACCCCAGTCTAGTAACTCTACTGAAAATACAACCCAATTAAAAACAATTTCTACCTGATAAGTTTGAGTATTCTCATTACCTGTTTGCCGGATCATGCATGGATATTATAGGGAGAAGTTACTTGTTAATCACCTCTGGGAGTTAATCAACTTAGAGTACTATTTGATCAGCGACAAAAATCATATCTCTTATTTCTGCTGTCTTTTCATAATTTTTTTTAAAATAAATTTCAATTTCATTTGATTTTGATTTACAATTTCCTTTCATCCTTAAAAAAAGGCGTAACCTTTATAATTTTATGTACATAACTTCCTTCCAACCTTGATTTGGAGTGTCAGTCCAAGATGCTGCCTGAACTTGTGAAGTACTCACACTTGACCAGACAGCGACAGCGAATAGTTATTTTTGTAGCGGCTAAAACAGATGATAGCGTTGAAAGTGAGCTCTGATCGGCTACTCGAACTCCGAATACCCCTCGCTTTTTACCTTCGAGCAACTCCACTTCGTTGAATAAATATTAACTGTTCATCGCATTATAATTTTCCTTCGTTTTGGTCGCTATTTTTAGGTACGCGGGAGTCGATGAAGCATCTGTTCAGAAAAATGGGGTACAACACATTCAATTTGAAGGAGCTGATCATGACATAACCGGCTCTACCTATGGGGCCTCTATACCCGTGGACAGTGCGCTTTCTTCAGAAAGAGACGTACTTGTAGCTTACGAAATGAACGGGGTTCCTATTCCCAGGGATCACGGCTTCCCCGTACGACTTGTAGCACCGGGGGTTGTGGGTGCCCGTAACGTAAAATGGTTGAAGAAGATTGTATCCAGTAAAGAAGAAAGCTCGAGCCATTGGCAGCAGAATGATTACAAGGGATTCTCCCCGACAGTTGACTGGGATACCGTCGACTTTAAGTCTGCACCCGCCATTCAGGAGTTGCCTGTTACCTCAGCCATCTGTGAACCAGCAGAAGGTGCCATCGTCTCGGCGAATGACGAAGAAATCTCACTCAAAGGGTATGCATGGAGTGGCGGAGGTAAAGGCGTTGTTCGAGTAGACGTGTCACTGGATGGCGGTAAAACATGGCACGTTGCTAACCTAGATGGAGAGGACAAGCTTCATCGAGCGTGGGCCTGGAAACTGTGGAATGCTACTCTGCCCCTGCCAGAAGGGAAGGACGCCCTGCAGATCTGTGTCAAAGCTGTAGACTCGTCCTACAACTCACAACCCGACAGTGTTGCTCCCATTTGGAACTTACGAGGAGTGTTGTCCAACGCTTGGCATAGAGTTAATATCACAGTCAAACAGGATTCGCAGGAATAGGAGAATGATGATGGATAGCACTGGACCTACAGAAACGTCACCCGGTCGTCGATAATGAAAACAATAGCAGATTTTGTATTTTTTTTTCTCAATTCTTTTGCGTTTCTTGGTAGTGCTCGGTAGCTCTTCATGTCTACTCTTACGTTGAAATGTAAATACCAGGCTGTCGAAAAGCTGCCAGATCTTAACCCAGTTTCGACATCTTACGAACAGGTCCTCTTTAATGCGAGCGTTACAATGCTGAGTTGTCCCAACTGGAAATAATAATTTATTACTTATATAGCGCAAAATACATGTGGATATGATCTAATGCGCTAGTAAATTTAACCTTTCTGGTATCGAGAACTTTATTATCATCGTTGTAATCACTATCCGGTCTGTTTTAGCGTGTGTGTGCGTGTTTTTTTTTTTTTTCGTCGAAGGTTGAAGGAAAACTTTAAAAGTCCTGGAAGACTACATTCTTTCAATCCAGGCCTATTGAATTTGAATATGGGGCATAGGAAGAGGCTTATTGACTGATTTATTTTTTTCAGTGAACATCCAAATAGAAAATAATTTGTCGTAGACATTGTTTTGTCATAATACTGGAAACAACTTCCTGGTCTTGGGTCATAGTAAACAATTTACAAAAGTTCCAGTTAGTAGTCTGAGAATTTTATATTTTCAAAAGAGTACGCACTGTAGTTAATGTTGTCTTCCCATGTCACTTTTGGGAACTGTATGGATAGCAATAACCATAACTAAATTTGCTTTACTTACGGAAAGTTTATTTCCCATGACAACGCTGTTTCTGTTTTGTTTCGTTGCCAAGTAACGGTAGAAGTTACGGCTGACAAAACTTGGAGCTTTGACGTCGTTGGAAGCTGAGTTTTTTTCTTTCTTCAAATGATGACGTCATTAGAGGGGTCTCGCGTTCACAAAAAAGGTCGATGATCGCAATTCATGCCAAGTTGATGTTCGTTTATGGAACCATAACAACAACATAGGATTATGTCGCAAAGAAATGGTTCTTCTCAATATGACGTCATTAGAGTGTCGACGATCGCAGGTCATGCTAAGTTTAATGTTCGTTTCAGGAACCATAGCAACGACATAAGATTATGACGTCAAAGAAATGGTTCCTCTCAGGTCATGACGTCATTACGGTGGTCTTGAGGTCACGGAAAAGGCCGATGATCGCAAGTCATGCTGAGTTTGATGGTCGTTTCAGGAATCATAATAACAACAAGGTTATGCCGTCATCAAAAAGGTTCTTCGAGAGTGAAAACGTTTACATGGTACTAAACGGCCAAACGGGAGAATGTAGAGAATTACAATTTTTTTTCTGCCTCCCCCTCTTCGTATTCTTTTTGTATTCACGTGCTGCGCGTAATTTCACAAATTAGCCAATCAAAGAACTCTAAACTTGACATTGGAGAACTGACCAGGACATTTTTCGCGTACTTTTGTTGTTTGTTTTCTCTGAGTTTAGTTGGTACTTTTGTGCTTTCGTTCGCGCAAATTTGTTACCCCTTTGTTTAGAATTTTAAGACGTTTCTTAGCTTTTATTTTAGCCAAATGTTGTGGTTCATTTAATATGTTTCATACATATTTCCTACGGAGTTTGGACTCAAGCCTCTTTTTTCTCAAATTGATTTTTTTATAGCAGCTATCAATTCCAATGACCAAGGCAAATGAACTTGCAAGCGCAACTCATAAAAGAACGAAGACAACGTAAAATCCTCTTCTTTAGTTATTGGTATGACGCCGTTTTGATGATGACATTCAGTGACGTCACAAAAAATATGTAAACTCAAATGGTAACCCAGGTGACGAAAGTAACACACACCTACGTTTTTGACCACTGAGTTTCTTCTCATCCTCAAAGAGACGCAGAACAGAGTTTTTTGCTCTCCAGAATCAAACTCATTTTCTTCGAGTTAGCATCAATGATGGATTACAGTACGACAGAGGATCTGGACAAGCCAGCATTGTTTAAAGAGGGCAGGGAGCAAAAAGGGACCAAAAAATCTCAAGAAAAATCCAGTCGAAAGATCCAGCTTCGTTTTGTCACCAATGAGATGTTAGAAATATATCAAAAAATGAGCGAAGAAGAGGAAAAGTTTAAACAGCAATATGAAGAGGCTGCCTTCATGGTATATGGAACACTACCCAAAGGGAAGGTGTCTTTTGATGTTCAACTCAAGATGAGTGAAATACACAAAAACTAGAATTCGAACTTCCTGATCAGAACAAATTGTGCAAACGATACCTAATAAACAATAAAGGCATCATATTGTGGGCCGGGTGTAATAGAAGTCAGGAACTTGAGCGCTGTTATTTTGGATGAGTGATTTAATATTACGTGGCGGAAAGGGAACTCAAGGCCAGAACAGAAATGGAAAAAAACAATCGGTAATTGCTGTTTTTTTGTTTTTTTGTTTTTAATATTTCTTGAGCATGTGTCTCTTTGGTCTGCAGATTGCCGGTACTGAGAAGATAAAAAAAAAATGAAACCATGAAATTTATTAACCCGAAGAATATCTTGTTCGAAAAAGAAATTTATACATTAAACAAATTGATCGATCATCAAGAATTTTATTATTTGTCTCCCCAATTCGGCCAGCTGTCGGCGTGCTCCCACTCTTTATTGTCTCGTACCAGACCTCCCACGGTCAAGCGATGGTAAAAAAACATCAATTCACACCAATAGGCTAGAGTCCAACTCCGTTGAACTTATTAAATTATGGACAATATTTAGCTTAAATAAGGACTTGAAACTTCTTAAATTCCCAAACAAAGGGGTAATAAAAGGCTCAGAAATTAAAACCGATTCCGAAATACAAACAACAAAAATACGTCCAGTGTCCTCGTCAGTTTCCATTGTCAAGGTTCCAAAAGACGTCGCGCGCAAATATAAAACAAAATACAAAAGTGGAGTCGCTTGAAAGACACAAAGCTAAGAAATTTTTAACACGATACGTGGTTCTGGCTCTAGACCAGCATAGTTAGGGACTTCCCATCGTTCCTTGCCCACCTGATCCATCGCGTTGGTTTTACATACGAGATTACTCTCAACATACCAACATGACCGTGTCTCAAAAAGACAAGAAAAAACCAAATTTAAGGAATTGATTGACTGATATCCTCTGTCTTTACATATTTTTCTTACCTCGAATGGCAATTTTTTAAAGCCTATACGCCCTAACATCAGTATGCATATTCTCCATACTGTTCGCTATACGTATGTTAAGATGCTGAAAAGGAGAATTTCTATTTATTCCTGTGACTTTAATTTTTTATTCATGGGTGACATTGCAAGGAGTAACTAGATAACTCTTACGTCAAAGGATTACGATGCAACATGAACACGAAATTTGATAACATTTGCGCAAATTAAAACTTAATCAGAAACATTTAACGCGAAATATAAATACGCTGAATGTCATAATTTAATGATAAAAAAAGAAAACCAGTTGAACTCAAACTTGGCATAAAATGGTTTCGCAAACAGCCTGAGAGTTTGGTTCTTGGTAGAGAGCTGGTAGGGAGGAGAGGGTGAGGAGATTGCCCCTCGACTAAATTCACCTTTGCAGAATTAAAAGAAAATTAACTGTACACTAAAAAAAAAGTGTCGGAAAACGCGACGCACACAACGATTCCTTCATTTTCTAATTTTATTTACAAATGTTCGAAAAAAAGCTATGCTCTACAGCTCAATACGTATGTTCTTTCAAATTAATTTGCTTATATTCGAATATAATTTCTATACTTCGTAGTAAATAATTACTGAATTACTAAAACTGAACTGTTTAAGTCACAAGCATATTTTCTTTTACTCGTTCCTTTCGCTGTATCAGTCAAAGAAGTAAACAAAGTGATCTTGTGATTTATTCTGTCATTGCTAGAAAAAGATTTGTAACTCAATATCAAACTGATTTCGATATTGATGTCGTACTCTACGAAATTTGATTGCTTTCTCTAACTTATTACTAACATTTGAAAATTCCCTGGTTAGTTATTAGGAACGAGACACCAGAGTTATTAGAATTGAGACAGAAATATTCATATTAGTATCGAAAAAAATTGGAAATTGTATTGGTTTAACTATTTCTGTCTTTGATTGATCTAGAAAACTCATATTGCCGTATTAACCAATCAGATGCAAAGTCAAACCCCCATGATGATTCCTTTGCTCTAATAGGCCATTTTACAGTTCTGTACTTAGTTGCCAAGCCTTTGATTTGAAGTGAGGCTGAAGATGACCTTGTTGTAATAGAGACCAATATCTAGTTAGCATGATAACAAAGTAATTTACATTTGAAAAGCAGCAAGGTTTGTATTATAACAAGGTCAATCTTGGCCTCGCTCTTGTTCAAAGGCTTAGCAACCAGGCATGCAATTTTACAATGGACTACTGTGTGACAAAAAAAACTAACACATTTGTGAAGGTAGCTGGGTCAGATTACAAGAACACACCAAAGTGAGCTCGTTTCATTCATAATAGAACAACTCAAAACTGCTCAGGAGGAGGTTTACGAAGTTAAAACTTACAGGACAGATCTTTAGAATCCTACCCTAAATTCCTCAACCCATAGTCCACAGATTCAAGAAAAGCAACGACCTTCAGTAAAAAAAAGGCTGCGTATTTCACCGACATCATTGCATCGTGAACCATAGCAACATGTTTAAAAATAAATCAGCTTCTAGAGCCTGAGAATAAAAAAGCCATTCTATCAATGCCCTAGAGATGATTTCAAATTAGGATTAGTACACTGCTAAACTCTGTACAAAATTTCACGCGTCGGAGCCTCCACTTCCAGAGAAGACTGAGTTAAGCCGATATGTTTTCTCTTGAAGTGTTCACATAACTTGATTCCCCTTTGTAATCCTCTGGGGTCAAATAATCCTGGAAAGAAACACAGATGTAACGAGAGAAACAAGTTTTTAAAGTACGAAACTTTCTTTCGTTGTTTCAATAGCGACGGTTATTAAGATTGTTGAGTGGGCAGAATGAAATTCTAAAGTAAGCGATCGGGAACGAGGTTTGAACTGTGCTTTGCAATTATTGCAATACTTCTTGTTGATAATGTTGATGACGCCCTCACCAAAACGATTTGTCATTGGGAAGAATAAGCCTTAAATAGAGTGACTCTGGCTGGTGTCCACATAACCCTTTACACCCTAATATCAGTATGTATATTCTCCATACTGTACTGCACATTTCCTAAGTTGCTGACAAGGAGAATTTGTTTAACAATCAAGAGCTTCGTAAGTTGGTGATCATTTCCTTTATTCTCATGACCTTCCTGTTTGATTCAGAGGTGATTCTGTTAGGAAAAATGAGACGCAAGTCAAACTTACTGATTGTTGATTGAGCATTCGGTGAAGTTCATCACTCAGGTCCTCAAACTTTGGCCTCGCCTTAGGATTTGCATTCCAGCAACGAAGCATTATTGCATATCTGAAGATTAAAAGAGATTTCACATGGTAAGAACTCCGAAATGACTAATCTTGTACTCGGAGCTGGCGCGTGGTTGGTCAGTGGCATGTTTCCTTGACCGTTTGGTGGTACCCATTCATACTCCTAGCGGGGATGGAGAGAGGCGTTAATTTTCTTCCCCAAGAACACAACAAAATGACTCTCTGGCTGGGCAGCATGAGAACTAAATCGTAATGCATCTGATTGGTAGAGAGCAGCAGGGTCGAGAGGGTGGTACAACTTTTCTTAAACCACAATAAGCAACGGAGCTCAGTCAAGTAGATCCAATGTAACCCCAGATTAATTTCGTCACCCAGTTAAAATTTCCCCCAACTCGACAAACACTATACAACCGAATATTAATTACCAAGGACAGAGACGAGAACAGAGAGCTCTTCGCACTCTAGTTCTATTGAACGCCTCATGATTACATTTTACTTACAGCCAGTCAGTGCAATAACGGGGTTTATCCAAACGATGACCCGCTTTAAGCTTCGGCAGCAGTTCGCTCGAGGCCACACCAGCATATGGAGCACAACCTGTGAGTAAGAACACAGAAGTATTATGTGACTTGAGCCTTTGCATACTCCTAGTTTTTTATTATGGGTAGGATTTAAGTCAAACGACTGCTGACACAAGCAACGTTAGGGTTTGTAAGCGGCTCATCATCAGCAGTCCGTGTCAAACTTCTTCATATGTAGTCATTCTTGTTCCTTCCTGGTTTATTAGTCTCTTCTGTGATTTCTATCTTATCGAACCAATATTTTGTAGTCATTTTCAATCCGTCTTAAACTTCCCCATCCTTCACCATCGTTGCACTTGCCTGTCTAGTCGGACTTACAGTTTTGGTCTCCACCAACTTAAAGGCGGCTCTGCACGCAGCAAAAAGTGGCTTAGAATATCAAGTGTCATTGACGCTACGCGCTCAAAGCAACAGGAAAGGGGGGGGGGGGGGAAGTCTCACCTCCAGTTTCAATTTCCCATAGTAGGACACCAAATGACCATCTGTGGAGAAAAAACGAAATTGGTAACATTTAACATTAAAACAATGTTGTTTCTAGGATAAAGTATGGCAAACATTTCTAGAGTCTTTCTAAACAACTTTCTTGTCAAAGCTAGGGGGGTTCTTATACAAACGTTTTAGTGGCTTTTGGGGACAGGTCAGATCGTTTTATCATGATAAATTATCAGTTTTTCTTGTTAACAATAGGAAGGGGGTTACATGAAACTTAGGAACCTCTCCCCCTTTCTTCCCCCCCCCCACCCCCCTTTTATAGCGCTTTAGACTTACACGTCACTTTGACTGGTGTAAATTCCTTGCTCCAGTGATTCAACCGCCATCCATTTAGCCGGAAGTTTCCCCTGTGAAAGGAAAAATAATTAAAACTTTTAATCATTAGTTTGACTTCAAAAGGGCTGTTAGGATTGGTATGTATCTCAGATTGTTTAATCTCCAATTTCCTTGTACTTTGATTACTTAGATGCTCTTAGACACACTTATCTCACGTCCATGGAAACTTTGCGTGCGTAAGTTTGTATTTTTATCCGTTAAGGTTCTTTTATTCGATTTGCATTTTAGCGATCAGTATCACCCAATAAGAAAGAATACAGCAGTTTACAACTGAGAGTCGAACTTAAAAACGGGAGTGCACTGGTTCTTGCTTAACTATGCTCTGTGATTGGTTAAGAAAACTCGAACCACTCTCTTAACCAATCAAATTCAAAACTGACACCCTCGCGTCTTCTCATGCCTAAAGTACTCTTAAGTTTGAGTTCCCATTGACTCCTTCGAATGTTTCCTTTTGCATGATTGGCCGTTGTTAGTACTTAAGTTTTAGCTTTGCAAATCTCATTGAAGAGCAATATAGATGATCTCCTCACCCCAGTTTTCTTCTCATACACATTGTCCGTGTAGATGTCACGTGAGAGACCAAAATCCGACACTTTGGCTACCATTCCTTCTCCAAGGAGAACATTTCTCGCCGCCAGGTCCCTGTGTGCACACTGAAATACAAAACTCACCAATCAAGTACCAGCACAAGTATGTTGAAAGCGACTCTCCTTAGCCCTGGCTGTCCCCTTCCTCAGCCCTTCCCTACCCCTGCCTTTTCCCTGTCTTATTCCTTCCTTGTCACTGGCTTTCCCCTTCCTAAGCCCTTCCCTACCTCTGCCTTCTCCTTCCCCACCCCTGCCTTTCCCCAACCTTACCCCTTCTTACTACTGGCTTTCCCCTTCCTTAGCCCTTACATACTGCTGTATTTCCCCTTCCTAACCCCCATCCTCACCCCTGCCTTTCCCCTTCCTTAACCCTTCCCTATCTCTGCTTTTCACCTTCCTTACTCCTTTCTTACCACTGACTTTCCCCTACCTTAGCCCTTACACACTGCTGTATTTCTCTTTCCTAACCCCCATCCTTACCCCTGCCTTTCCCCTTCCTACCTCTCCTTTTCCCCTTCCTTAGCCCTTCCAGACCGCTGTATTTCTCCTTCCTGACTCCCTCCTTACCCCTGCCTTTACACTGCCTAAGCCCTCCCCTTCCTCTTACTCTCCCCTTCCTTACACCTTCCCTAACGCTGTCTCTCCTCCTGCTTACCTCTCCCCCTTCCGTAGCGCTGTCTTTCCGCCTGCTTACCTCTCCCCCTTCCCTACCGCTCTTTCCGCCTGCTTACCTCTCCCCCTTCCGTAGCGCTGTCTTTCCGCCTGCTTACCTCTCCCCCTTCCCTACCGCTGTCTTTCCTCCTGCTTACCTCTTCCCCCTTCCTACCACTGTCTTTCTTCCTGCTTACCTCTCCCCCTTCCCTACCTCTGTCTTTCCTCCTGTTTACCTCTCCCCCTTCCCTACCACTGTCTTTCCTCCTGCTTACCTCGCCCCTTCCCTACCGCTGTCTTTCCTCCTGCTTACCTCTCCCCCCTTCCCTTCTCTTAACCCAGCAGGAATCCTTCCCACTAATTTGTTTGACAATTTGTCACTCTTGATTACTTAATTTTCTGCTTAAATTTCATAAATGATGGCGGACTGAAGATTGCTTTAACCTCAGCCATCAACCTTACTTGAGGCAAGCTTCAGGAATATCTCTCCCTCTCGTCATATGTGATCACATTTCCAAGGGGGAGAATTTATTTTTCTATCACTGTTTTTGCCCGATGTTTACATACCTTCATAGCAGCAAGATGTTTCATCCCGTCGCTCACTTCGCACGCTATCCTCAGTCTTTCCGTGAAGCTTATCTCTAAGGTATACTCATTCATGTCATCGTAATTTTGCTTTCGGCGATCCCGAAGATGACGTAACAGGTTCCCGTGTTCGGCAAATTCTACGACAACCAACAAAGGTCCTAAAAGGCAAATGATCGGAAATTTAGTCTTTACGCTCCTAAAAGTAACTAAGAAGTAAGTGTAGAAGGGGTTAGCCTACCTGCAACTGAGCATGCGCCGATAAGATTAACCAAATTGGGGTGGTTTCCTACTGACGTCATAATTTCCAATTCATTCAACAAATCTTTGAGGTCACTTTCTGTGGCAGTACCTGAAATTTGGGTGAAGACAACAAATGATTACACAATGCAACATTTCTAGTCAGAACAAGCGAAGTAACAACTGAAGCTTCCGCAGATGCAAAATGAATGCGGGTTTGGAGATGTGTGGCAGTGATTTGTTTCAGAAGCAGAATCCAAAATGCGGTTCTTTCCAGACTCAGAGCGCATTGTGCCGCGAGCGGAAAAAAAATTATCACACAATGTAATGTTTTCATTCGAAAGGCGTAAGAGAGCTTAACAAAACCTATTGCATTACTGTGAAACAATTGTGAGTTCAAGAAAGGAGGAAACAGTTGAACTTCAAGCCGTCGGTTTTCAGGCCATTTTACACTTGAAACAAAAAGTTTACGTTTACTGTTGTCAAGAGACTTGAGCTATTTTTCTGCAACTTTGAGGAACTAAGAAATATGACGAAAATCAGCCTTCATTTTTGCAGTTTGTCTTGGCTGATTATTTAACGCTTTAATACCTCATGTGATCAAAATTAAACTTCTCCCCATAATATCCATACACCATCCAGCAAACGTGTAATGAGAATACTCAAACTTATCAGGTAGAAGTTATCTTAATCTAATACCAACCTCTCGTGACTATTTTACAAAGAAATAAGTGGCAGCTAGAGGGGAGAATTTATAATCTGGTCTTGGAAGTTTAAGGGGTTAACTCGCTACTATCTCATATCTGATTTATCACCTCAAACGCTCTCGGACCATCATTCTGTTTAAGAGGAATGGATTTTTCGAGACCTTTCTTACAGCCTAATCATAACACAATTTACTGCCTTAAACTACTTGTCTGTTGGGAATTGAAAATGCGGGGTATATCTTCTATATTGACATGGTGAACGCCTTGATCGGGGAAGAAAACTGATTCAAGGATAGAAATATCATACGTTTTAACTTTTTGACAGCACATGTTATAACATTCCCGTCATCTTCAGTCAACTCTCCTTTTACCACTGTTCCAAACTCGCCTTCTCCAAGAATTTTGCCAAGAATGATACGGTCACGTGGTATTTCACGCCATGAAAACGAGGCTTGGATATCGATTGGTGTGCTTGCGTTGTTCGGTTCTCCACCAGGGACGAGAGCATAGCGATCTCTACCAAAAGTGGAAGTCGTAAATCGTCCATTCTCAGCTTCAGAATGATTTTGCTAAGGTAAAAAGATTATTATAAAGAATAATTTGAACAAGTTTTAGATGCAAAAATCGGTTCAATGTCAAGTGTCTGAGCAATTGCGCATCTACCCCTGCCCTAACCCAACATTAACCCTAACTTTTTGTCAGTTTACTGTTAATGGGTTAGAGGAGGGGTAGGCGCGCAACTGCTCAGACACTGACATTGATCAAAAAAAGTATCTTGAAGAGACCAAAGAGGCGAAACCATTATTCTGGCTTTTTAGATGGTCCGCACAGCATGAGTATGTAATTAAAATTCCGATGGAGTGTTTCAGCCGCAATTTTGGATCAATAACGTCGAGGAAAGCTTGGAGTAAGTAAAAGAGGTGGACAAGGGAGGTGAGGATGAGATTGACGAGCAAGAAATTGTGAAGGGGAGCTAAAACACTTAAGTCTTTTAGCAAGAGAGGTCAATCCCTCACACACCCACTCCTTTAAAAAAAGGGGGGATGAGTGAGGGGAGCAGAGGAGAGGAGAGGAGAGGGAAGATGTCTGCACTATAAAACCCTCGATGACAGAGCCATTGAACTCAATCACCACTCAAATTTTAACTGATCTTTGGTGCTTGACAAGATTCTCTTGAACCGGAAATAAATCTTCAAAATTTATCTTGTAAGACTGGAAAACACTAAAGAGGTAACTGTACACCAGGATGAACATGAATAAAAGATATAACCAGCAACAAACTAAAAAAATATAGCGTTAAATTTTCGCGATGTACAAACTATAAGAACAATAAATTGATCCCATAAAAAGGTTTTAAAGTGTCAGTGTAGATGAATCATTTACACATACTGTGCTTAACTGACCGTATCTAGTGTTACAGGATTCATTGGTACTTGTTCTCCATCGTTTAAATATCCTGAGTTTTGTCGTTTCTTTTTCCATCTTCTGTAGACAATTACTACCACAATTGCTAGTATTATAATCAGTAACAACGAGATCACAATGGGTAATACTAATTCGGCGACATTTTTTTCTGTATGAAGAAAATAAAAGGAAATAAATTAGATGTTATTTTTCAGACGATTATGATAGACATGCGTCGAAAGGACGGCTAGGAGGGGGGGGGGTGAGTCATTCGGCCCATGGGACCTCTCCCCTTGAAGGTAAAAAATATAGCATCCTCGTATTCTCTTAATTCCGTTACGATGTTGGTATAGCACCCCGTTACCTTACGTTGTGAATGGTATGTGATTAACTCTCTACCCTCTAACATCACTTGGTATATTCTCCATACTGTGCTCTAAACAATTCCTGTGACCGACAACGAGAATTCGTTCAACAATCAAGTGCTTTTTCATTACTGATAATTTCCGTTATTTCATGACCTTAGTATGTGATTTAAGGGTGATATTGTACGGAGAAATTAAAGACTAGTCACTCTTAGGAGTCAAAGGTTTCAATTGCATCTCTCTGCAGTTCCTCTAATAGACGAGACAATGATGATTAAAATGGTTAAAATTTAAGAAAATGTACGTGGGATGTAAACGAAGACGTGTTTCTTGACGTATTTGCAATTGATGTGAATGGAAGATTTCTCTTGATCTGTCGCTTATGAAACAGATAGAAGTACCAATACATTAACCCTTTAAACCTAGAGAAAGACTAGCATCTAAACTCTCCTTACAATATCACCCCTGAATCAAATATGAAAGTCACGAGAATAGAGGAGATGATCACCAACTAAAAGAAGCTCTTGATTGTGAAACAAATTCTCCTTGTCAGCCTCTTTGGAAATGTATCGAGAACAGTATGGAGAATATGCAGGCTGATGTAAAGGTGTAAAGGGTTAACGAGACTCCTAGAACTCACAAAACAGCCGAAATGACCAACCTTTTTTAGTTTTGAGTTCTCCATTGGTACTCGGTTCCCCCATACCGTACTCGTTTTTTGATTTCAACCTCACGAAGTAAGCAGTACCGGGATCGAGGTTGGTTATCCTGTGGTTTTCGCCCGGAGTGGATGTAAAATGAAGCCACTTCTTTGTTCCAAATTGTCTGATTTGTAGCGAGTATCCATTAATAGAGTACATTTGATAAAGTTCGGGATGCGACCAGGTTATGACGGCTTCAGTTCGTTCAACATCACTCGCTCGAACATTTTCGGGTGGTGGAGGAAGTTCTGAAAAGGAGAATGGAAATGGAAAATGGTAAATGAGAAATGGTAAATGGTAGATGGGAAATGGAAGATAAAAAATGGAAAATGGAAAATGGAAAATGGAAAATGGAAAATGGAAAATAAAAAATGGAAAATGGAAAATGAAAAATGGAAAATGGAAAATGGAAAATGAGATGATGCAGCAAGGGAGGATGAAAAAGGATGGAATCGAGAAAAAAGGAAGAAAACAGGGTAATAGTTACAAACCTCGTAACTCAACCTTTTTCTTCACTTTAAGACTGCCTATCTGACCAGTTTGCACACTGGCACTGAGAGTTTTACCAACTTTGTTAGCAACAACCGTTGTCTTTTTTTCCTCAGGTTTCACAATCACAACAACACGGAAACGTACTTTCACGCTGCCATTCCTGTAACGAAGTAACGTCCAAAGTTCAAACCAGTAATTCTCCTTACTATCTGCCAAATGATTCTCATTATGTTAGTTTAAAGAATTTGGTGTCAGATCAATTAGTAATCCCATAATTGATATTTTTCTTTATGCTCATCACTTATCTGCATGATATTGTATAGATATAGTAAGGAAAAATTCTGTCTTGGTCACTCACGGGAGTTAAAGGGTTATTAATAGGGTTTTGACTGAAAAGTTGCCTTCGAGTTTTGCTTAGACGCCTCTCATCCTAGCGCGAAACGGTAGAACAAACTGACCTGTTTCAACCCTTTAACTACCAAGATCTTAATGTTAATTCTCCCCTCTAGCTGCTACACATTTCCTTGTAAATTAGTTATACGAATTTGGTGTTAGATCAAGATAACTTCTACCTGATAAGTTTGAGTATTCTCATAACCTGTTTGTTAGATAATGTGAGGATATTATAAAGAGAAGTTTCATGTTAATCACTTCCAGGAGTTAAAGGGTTAAAGGCTATTTTTAACTAGTAAGAAGACAAAAAAATCTGAGAACTTTAGTGATGCACTAGACAAGAAGCACGTGGGCAGATGGGCTTGACCACAACATTCTGCGCTGCACGTTCTTCGAAATATTTGAGCGACTTCTTTTGCGCCCCATGAGAAAACATACCAAACTTCTAAGCTTTTTATCTTTTAACGAGAATTAGGATTATTTCAAAGCTTTCACTGTTTCAACCTTGCATTCATTCAGTTTATCAATAAAGGGCAAAATTACTGAGCGCTGATTGGTTGAGAGAGAGGGCATTTTTTCTTAATCGAGGGCATTTTTAGTAATCAAGAGAGGGCATGATTACCTTGTTCAGTTAAAAGCACTTTGTTGTTTTTCTGTTGGCAGAAACGCTCTGTTGAAATGAGCTTTGTTTTCTAGACTTTTGGCAGTGTATCACGACACAGTTTTGGAGAATAAAATTTCATTGAATCGATTGGTCAGTTAAATTTGATTGATGATTTGCCGTAGCGCTAAACAGGCTTCCCAGATAAAAATAGACTGCGCGCGTGATTTTCCTTCGTATAAATTTTGCCCTTTATTGATAAACAAGTAATCCCATGAGATCTCGTACTATTAAGGATTAATTGCACTTGAGTTTTCAAAATTTTCCAAATTGCCCTCGTCGCTTCGCGACTCGGGCAATTTTGGAAAATTTTGAAAACTCTCGTGCAATTAATCCTTAATAGTACTTGGCCTCATGTGATTACATATACTTATTATAAGCCGTGAAAGAGGAAGTTGCTTTAGCCTCTATAGAGAGAAGCCCCTTGGAGTATTGCTACTTGCACCCGGATATCATGCTGATCCTCCACAGGAACCCCAGCCCCTGTATTTAGTCTTCTTTCACCGACACTTTGCTGTAAGCTATGCATACCACTGGGGTGGAGAGAGGAACAGGTCGGTGATATTCAAGCGTTAAAGTGTCTTGCTAAAAAACACAACATAGTGACCCCGGTAACGAGTTCAAATACGTTTTACGCGTCAGTTCTTTGCTTTTTCACTTACACAAATCCAAGAATTATAACCTCTTCGAATCCTTCAATATCCTGGAACAAGGCAGTTAACTGTGTAAAAGGAAAGACAAAAACATTCCGAATTTATTATTTTTTTGGCAGACAAAAAAAAGAAAACCGCTGACATATTCTTTGTTCTTCCTCTTATCAAGAAGTGAATAGGAATGTTGTTACTCCCCCCTGGATGGGAGGCAGTTTAACTATAAATTAACCATTCCACCCCCCACTATGATTTCGTTCACCCTTTTCGCCCTATGATCAGTATACAAACTCTCCATACTGTTCTCCTTACATTTCCTAAGGTGCTGACAAGGAGAATGTGCTTAACAATCAAGAGCTACTCTAGTTGGTGATGATTTCCTGTCTTCTTGTTACCTTAACGTATGATTCATGGGTGATATTGTAAGGAGAATTTAGAGGTTAAAGGATTAAGCCTCCTTGACAGTTTGCTGATGCCCACATATTTATCTGAGAGGAGAGAATCGTGTTACTTCGGTGAATCTTGGGTCGTATCCCTTTTTTGCTTCGCACCAGTCTCGTAAAGAGAAGTTACATACTGATCACGTCTAAAGAAGACAAGTTCACAGACTTACCTCTTGCTTCACTTGCTGCTCTAATGTCTGGTATCTCGTAGAAGATTTATTTTTCAAATCTTGATCAAATACTTGATCCTCAATGGTAATGGCGGCATCGACTCCCACAAGGTCTATTGATAGAAACTAGAAATTATCCGTTTCATCCCTACGCAGCCTGACAATGGGTGTTATTTTGCACCGAAATTGATGTAATCTTTGTTTTAAAGCCCAAACTTTGTTAGAACGATTTTCAATCGAGTGCTGTGAAACCAAAACCAAAGTAATCGCAACAGCCAATCGAGAGAAAGGAAAATACCTTTAACCTTTTAACTCCCACGATCTCATTAGTAATTCTCCTTACTGTCTGTCGTACAGTCCTTCAGATGTTAGTTTCGAGAATTTGGTATTGGATCAACTTATAATCCCCTAATTTATATTTTTCTATATTCTCACAACTTGTCTGCTTGATATTGTATTGATATTGTAAGGAGAAATTCTGTCTTGGTCACTCATGTGAGTAAAAGGGTTAAAAGCCGATGAGAAACCAAAGTTATTACAAGCTAACCTTCTAAAGCGCGGGAAAACGTAGGCCAAGTCATGGTTGGTTTTATTTTTGTATCTGATTGGATGAGTGGTGGCGCGAGTTTTCTGGACTCAGTGTAGAACGAAATAAAGCAAAAACCAGTGTTATCTCGGATTGAAAATTGCTATTTGATTATGACTGAAACTTTCTCTGTGATATATTACTCACCATCTCTCACTGTGACGTTGACACTTTTGATATCCCTTCCCACGCCATTCTCAGCGATGCATTTGTAAATACCGCCATCGTTATCACGGGTGTTGTAAATCAATAGCGAACCATCTTGTTGCATTTTTTTGCCTCGTACATATTTGCTACCATCGTCAAGGGTTGATGTTTCTAAAATACCACTTGCTGCTGTCACCAATTGTTCGTCTGGTGTTACCCAAGTGATATTTGGTTCTGGAAGACCTTCAGCGTGACAAGCAAGTGTCACGTTTTCTTCGGTGCCAATTTCCATTGCTGGATCAATGTAGCTGATTGAAGGTGGTGCTGGGAATAGAAAAAGTAGATAAGCGTCGGTATCTGAGCAACTGCGAACCTAGCCCTCCATTAAATGAAGTAAAGTCAATCGATATCAAGTTAGGGTTAATGTAACGATGGGTTAGGGAAGAGGCCAGTTATTCGCGTGACCTGATCGTCCGTAGGAGAGTAGTCCTGGGAAAGACTGTCGTCGTTTGTGGTAAGTGACATTTCGACAACCCGAGCAGAAGTGACAATTCGACAACCTGAGCGAAAGTGACAATTCAGAAACCTAATTCAAGTGAAGAGTTTTTCATCAGATGAGAGTTGTGGAAACAGATCAGTCAGTTTAGCCATGATGCTAGTAGCTCTATGAGTAGAGGTCAGAAAAGCTTACCTTGACAAAGGACACCATCCCCAACGAATCCTTTCAGGCAAGAGCAGTTATATGAACCTACAGTGTTAGTACATTTAGCTTTTTCGTGACAATTGTTGAGATCGGGAGCTTGGCACTCGTCAAAGTCTGTTTAAGATAAAGATTGAGGAAAAGTAATTAACTAAATAGAACGTTAAACGAAGGTAAAGGAGTGAATCTTCAGACTGATTGCCCTTTCAGGCAGTTCGTGGGGTATAAAGTTGTTTTCTGTTTAAAAAGTAATAAAAAAACCAATCAAACAAATATAAATACTGTAAAGAACCAATGAGGGGTCAGATTACATGAATGACTTGGCAAAGTTTCCTATTATGGTAATTTTAACAGTTTTCACCCAAAAAAGTGTTGAATAAGGAACCAGTCAATCTATTCTCTTGGGGGAGGGTCGGAGAATTTTGGAGGGATCATATGATTTTCAGGGGGGACAGTGAGGAGATCAGTTGTCGCTTAAAGAGTATAAGGGGGGGAAATCAGATAATTGACTATCAATGAGGGGGATCATTAGAATATTAGAGAGCTTTAGTGGGGGGTGGGGAGGGTTAGTAAATTGCAAGGAATAGTGAAGAGAGACGGGAAAAATAACATGATGGGGCTTGACGGCAAAAAGAAAAATGGCAAAATTTATACCTGTCGACTCAATTGATGTGGGGTCCGCCTGGTATTTTCCCAGCATGCCACTTTTCAGAGTTTCATTCATGAATTCGACCAACTGCCGCTGACTAATTTGAGTTTGTGCATCGATTTTAATGAGCACTCTTGGAATAACACTACCATTGCTGTAAAAACAGAGAAATGTCATGTTAAATGAAGGTTAGTGACGGTAACAAATCCCAAGCCGAGAGCTTACCTGAAATCAAGAACGGTAGCTGCTACAAAAAATTGTCCAAGTATTGATTTCGACCCCATGAATGTCTTTTCCAGCTAAAATAAGGACAGAAGAGCAAACAATAAAGTTAATATGAGCGCACTATTACCGAGTGCGAGTCGGTAGCTTAACGAGAATTTCACCGACGATATCTTGGTTCAACGACGCTATCGCCCATTAAACTCCCTTTCAAGAAGTAATTTTCCTTGGTCTAAAAAAAAGAAATATGCCTATGTACATTACCTCAAGTTCCAAACCTCTTGAGAGGGATTTGAAGGTAGGAGATTCCATATCTTGAAGTTCGGCCGAAAACATCTCGTTCGTTATTTTGAATGACACGACATAGTTAGTGGATCTTCTCAACCCTGAAAACAGGTTAAGTGACCAAATAACAGATAAGTTACAACGGCCAATCAGAACAATCTTCAATAGCGCGGGAAAATGGAGGTGCCCGAGTCGCAATTGGGTTTAGTTTTGTATCTGATTGGTTGGATATTTGGTGCGAGTTTTCTCGGCCAATCAGGAAACATTTAGCAAAATTACTCGATGCAATCCTGCATTACAAGCTGACAGCAATCAGCTAAAGTATTGCGCTAACTGAGTTCCACCTTAAATAAGGGACGGGGGGGGAAGGATTTTTTGGGGGAATCACATGTTTTGTAGGTGAAACGGAGGGCGACCAGTCGTTTCTCGTAGAATTTAAAAATGAGGAGGGGTCATTAAAATGCTACAGAGCTTTATAGGGGGGTCTGGTAAATTTTATGGTAATACAACCGCCCAGAAGAGAAGCAATGATAATATATAATAATTAATTTGGATTTTCATACCTTTTGGTACAAGGATGATAACTTGTGACTTTGTTTGACTCCCTTTACATTTGTCTTTCACGGTCCAAATTCGCTCCAGCCTCCCTTCCCTGTTTGAATTTAAACAGTCATCTTTGTATCTGTCAACGTAGGTTATTGTTACATTCCTCGGACACAAGTTTTTAGCACTAGTCAATGAGACCTGTCCAGCAAACTTTGGATCAAGATACTTCTTCTCCCTACAGGTGAAGACGAAATCTTTCGGAAAGACTATGGTCGGCTCCTCTGGGGTATCTATCGTTACACGCTGGATGCCCGTGACAGAATTACCACAAGAATCTGTAATAATCCACACTCGGTCGGTTATGCGCCCACACGCCTTGTTTTTCACAATTTTATCCATATGTGAGATTTTGGCTTCCCCACGAGCCCTACATACGCCGTGAGCTGAGCCCGATGCAGTACCTGTATTGAACACACCAGATGATCTATTGCATAAGGTTGTCACGAAATTTTTGGGCGTGGTTAATGTAGGCACTGGTGTGACTAAGTCTTCATCAACCACACCATCTGAATCATCGTCAACTCCATTCTTTAACTCTTCATCCGTCAAACCATCGCAATCATTATCAATGTTGTCTCCGCCCACAGTGTTTGTTGGCTTACAAGTATCGTTCAGTGACTGCAGTTCCAGTTCCATCCCAGCCGGCATAGCAAACAACATTCCATTGCGATTCGTTCCGTAAAAAACTGCAGAAAATGTTGTCAGCGGGTTTTCATGGTACACATGATAGGAACCATCACTGGTCAAATGAATCGAAGCTCTTGAGAACCCTCCAGAGCCAGGAATTACGGTCCAGTTCTTGACAATGCTGTCTGCACCCTTCACGCGAAGACCGCTTCGTGAAGCAGTGTCAATAACGACATTTACATAGCAGTCAAAAGTGTTTCCTTGATCATCTTGAGGAACATAAACTGTGTAGTCGTTAGTGAAATACTGCATTGGAGGTACTACATTCATGGAAGGGCTTTTTCCCGCTTTGGAGTATTGCATCACAAGACTCGGTCGAGTAGTACTGATCACCGAGGACTTGTTCCATGATACATCGATCTTATATTTCTCTCCTTGGTCTAACGTCACTTTGTATTGAGAATCCACATAAACTGCTGTATTTTGAGACGCTATTATATGAAATTCGTCTCCCCCCGGGCTGTTAGGCGTGGGGTTGGTAACAAACACTTTCCCCCAGAGGAATACGGGAGGGATCTGCTCCACCAGGTGATTGCATGGCGGTTTATTTTCAGGCACCATGGTGCAGTCATCCCCAGTAAATACTGCGACTGGCTTTGTCGACCTTATAATGGTGCCTGTGAGATCCTGGTCAGCCAAAACTTGAAACACGTCTAAATCATTTAAAGTTTCGCTTATGACCTGACCGTCTCCATACCACTTATCCTGATACTGTACTCTACCGCTCGTTCGCAATTTAATCGTGACAGTGGTGTTATCCTCTGTCGCTACGACCTGAATAACAGCATTGATTACGGGGTGATATGCTGCTGCTATGTAAAACATACCAAGAGCATCCACAGGCAACCCAAGAAACCCTTCCACGTTTTGGGCCGCATTTGCTAATCCCTGCACAGACATGGGTTTATCGGCAGTGATTCGGATACCTTTTTTTTTCTCCAGTCCTGAGTTGCCATTCGTGCGTGTATCTCCAGACAGTTGAACTATTGTTAAACCTCCAGCTGACAAGGCGTACGACTTCTCTGGAAAGTTCGTGAGAGAAGGCACGTGGACACGAACCGTGCCATCTTCAAAGCTGGAAATGTATAGTATATTGTTTCCAGAAAAAGGATGCCTCGGATGTTGAGGCGAGAAGCTCAAGACGAACTCTTTACCTCTGTAATCAACTGAGTCTGAAAGAGAACAGCAACAAGGACAATTTTATCAACCCTTCTGGATAACGAATGGAAATTATAGGAAGAAGTTACGTGTTAATCACTTCCGGAAGTTAAAGTGTGAAAGCCAGCCGGGCATGGTAGCACGGGTATTTTTTCCATGTAAGAACAGTCTTCTTATGACAAATGTTTGCCACAAAACATTTAAGAAGAGTTAACTTCGCCCTCCAACGACAGGACCGTTTATTTCAGGCCCAATTTTGATCGCTACTGCCTCCCCGCAACCCTTAACAATCTAACATTAGTATGGATAATAATGACTGGAAATATATGAACATCATATACGTGCACTGAAGTAGAAGAAACGAATATAAGCGATCCTCGTAGTTATGAACAGTACTGAACTAGTGGTTGAAATAATTAGTAAGGATATTCTCTGTAGTGCTCTGATACATTCCTTATGACTCTGACAATTATTCTCGTAACATTGAGGTGTGATTAAGAGGTGTTATCGTAAGGAGAAATTAGATGCAGGTCACGCTTCTAGGTTAAGAGGTTAAGTAGTAGAGCTGAAAGTTGTCGGTAAACGTCCCTTAGATAAATATTCACAAGCAAGGTTCACACTTGTAGATTATCCTCTTAAAAAACTCAAAAATACCTCAACTACACTCAGCCCAAAGCCCTTCGTTTTGCGTCGTTTCCAGCCATCGTTAAACATTCTCTCTCTCTCCTCTCTGTTGATATTGGCAAAGATTCTCGAGAGTTCAATTTGTCTGAACCCTTTCCCGGTGCTGATATTGGCCGCATCGAATTTCACTTTGCGACGAGTACTTCTTGGTAAACAATAATCAAAAGGTCTTACGATATAGTGCTTTGCCTGCTTTGCCAATATATTTCATTTTTCCATTGATTTATGAAGAAGCATCAACTTTTCGTAAAATCACTTGTTTAAAGCGGGCATCTTTTCGCTAATTTTGATCAAATTTAAATCTTAACAAATCTTTCGTATTGCTGCAGCTTATTTCCTCTTAGCCCATTTTGGGATCGAAAAGTGTATTTCATGATACCAAGCTACAGAATCTCATATATTGGAAGGCAAATGCTTGTCTGTCTTTTTCTAAAATTCTCAGTAGTAAATTTGCATTATCCTTAGAATTGGGCAGAATCTGAGTTGATCAACTACGTAGCTAGAAAAGAGCATTACATCAGGAACGAAATAAAGGAAGTCATAAGAAGAACAAAGAAAGATGAAGGCTTTTAAGGCTGGCTATTTTATACGATTACCATTTTCAACAAAAAGAGTTGCTTTCCGATCTCTCACGTCTTCGTTGTTTGTAAGATCTATGAACTCACCAGACCGTGGTAACCTTATGATAACACTGAATAATAAACCGTTGAAATCCACTGACACATCCTTGAATTACGTGCAAAGTTTAAAGATCTAATGACTTTTTTGTGCTGAAATTCTGAGATTGTTCGAAGATTTAGAGGGAAAATATTGCGTGTAAGAAAACCGAAGTCAAACATATCAATAACAGTTTAATGTGCAAGTATTCTGTACCTTTCCTTCAGCATCACAAACAAATTTGCTCGCTAGAGACTATAAATAGATGTTACATACCGTATGTCAAATGAAGGAATGCACATCTCTGTTGAACATGTTTCCGAGCTCAGAAAAATTGAGCAGATTAATATCAAAGTTGACATAAATCGAACCATTTGATGATGAATTTTAAACAAAAGTTCACTTCAATTTAAATGATCAGCAACTTCGTTAATTCCAAGATAAACTCGAGCTGAAGCTAGTACAGCGCGTACAATCATTCATGTAGACACTTTGGGTCATTCATCTAATTGTGAGTTCTGATAATTTCAATGTCACTTAAAGAGCTTTCATCCGTAGTTCTAAGTTTCAATAACGCTGAAGCGTTCCATCTTACCCAAAAGAACAACAGCAGTAGCCCAAACTCCCCGAAGAGCTTCAAAGGAACATTGCATGGTTCACAGCTTTACAAATTTATGCGTACTTGGCACGATTCACTCGCTGATCGAAAACTACTGAAGTGAATTTACGATTCTGTCACGATTTCACAGCAAATATTAGTTTTAGTGCAGTTTACAGGTAACATTAGCTAAGTTTATCTTTGCTTATTACTTTCAATTTTAGTATACGCTTTGAGTGCTAACATCTAAAGTTACACATTATTCGATGTCGCAAGAACTCACCTTGAAAGCTGCTTCGAGCGGCGAGCACGAAAAGAAATCCGACTGAATAAATATTTGTTGCCATTATTTCGTTCGATCTAGGTGTGGAAGGAACCTTGGAAAAACTATAGAAAATCAAGATGATTGCGTCTGCTCAAGATACAGGAAACCCATTAAAGTAGAGGTGTTTTCGCTACACCGGATATGACGATTAAGTCTCACACCCCAGTCACCGGAAGTAAGAGTAGAGGACTCGACTCAGAGATTTAGAGAGCTGTCAATAAAGATATTGATTTAATTCTTTTGAGGAAAAGTGCCAAGAAAACCAGGATAACTGAGTCAAGTTCTTTTTTTATTGGATATGATGTCACGCAACCTTGCCTTGAAAAAATCCGTGCCATGACCCACATCTCAAAACAGGACAAAACGCGAGAAATATCATAGAGAATCTAATTAAATTAAATAGGCATTCTGTGGAAAGCGTAATTGACATAACCTCCTACGCTCGCGCACAAGGAATGTTTCAAAATGTCACGTAACTCCATAGAAAATTTTCTTGTCCCCAGAATCACTCGTTTTCATTCATGAGGACTCTGGGAACGAGAATACTTGCAAGAATGTAAGGAATGTGAAATTTGGACCAACAAGATGGCGGCCAGAGAGGGAAAAGAGGTTGACCCTTCTCAAATTAAAAATAAGTAAAGAGGGAGTTCTCTCTACCAGAAACAAAAGTTCAAGAAAGCAAAAGAAGAAAGGGATAGAAAACGTAAACAAAAACAGAAGTAATCGCAGGAAGAAGGAGAGGTAAGGCTATAAAAACATGTAAACAGAACTGCACGTGGATCCATATCCTAATGAAAAACTGGGATAACCACATGCTTTGAGGAGGTACACAGGGTTTCTCCTTGACTTACATTATTCTTATCGCTTAATTTATTGTGTGTGATAGCAATAGCTTATTATTGTGTTTGAATCAAAACATGCATGCAGTGACATGGTCTGTTATTGACCTTAAAGTGTGTGTTTCAAATAAGATGCTTAAGATGATTGCTGTGTTGTTGTTATAGCAGTATTTAGACTGATTGTTTGAATGGTACAAGTAAATGGCATGTGCTTCCAACGACATTTGTCCTAATATAGAATCATACATGTAACCTCTCACCATGGTTTAAATGTGTTTTGTTTGCTGCTTGGCCAAAAATGAAGTTTAGAACTGTTGAATATAACTATGTAAAATGATCAGCTGTATCCTGGACAGATGCATAGACGATAACACCATGAACAACATGTTGCTTTTTATCATATAAAACAAATGTTTTCCATGTTGTCATGGGTCTGTTCATTAATAGATCACAGAAGTCACCCTTGTGTGCCTCTTTTTTGTTCTAACCACTTCACAGACATCATCTGTGACTTATTAATGAACAGACACACAGCTGTTAAGCTGATTCTCGGATGTTCTAAACGGGCTCTAATTGGATGTCAAACAAAGAACATCAGAGAGTATTAGCAGTATTAACGCATTCAAACAGAACTATTGTAATTTAATAAAGGAAGGTTATGCTGGCTTAAATAGCTTTCCTATTTCATGATTTTTTAAATCATCTGACCCCTTTGTAATATTATATTTAAATATTAAGCCTTTGTAGCCACATGAAGTAAGATATCACTTTGATGAACCACTCAATGCTTTTAAAGTTCATTTTTTTATCTTTTTTAAATGAAAACAAAATATGTTTCAGATGAAACATCATCCATTGTCAGTTTGTATAATGAGAAATAAAATGTATCAAAAATGCATTATTTATGGTATAATTTTATTTTATATCTCATTATACAACTGACGATGGATGATGTTTCATCCGAAACATTTTTCATTAAAAAATAGATATAAAAAAAGAATTTAACATTTAAATTTAACATTTTAACTTCAATTTAACTTAACATTGAAACATGTACTATTACATTCACTGTGTTTTTTTTGTTTTTTATAATTTTTAACTTAACTTTGTTAATATTTATAAATTACTTTTATATCTTAGGGGAGGGCCACAAGTTTACCAGTTCTTAACTGTAATGTTTCACCCTTGGTAAATAAAGTTGTTCATTCATTCATTCAGAAATGGGAAGGAGGAAGTTAAAAGAAGTAGGATCAAAAAAGTGGCACACAAGACTGGTTCATGAAAACTGATCCATCCATTTGGCCATGATGCTAGTAGCTTTATGACTAGAGGTTAGAGAAGCTTACCTCGACAAAGGACACCATCCCCAATGAATCCTTTAAGGCAAGAACAGTTGTATGAACCTACAGTGTTGGTACATTTAGCCTTTTTGTGACAGTTGTTGAGATCAGGTGCTTGGCACTCGTCAAAGTCTGTTTTAAGACGAAAATTTGATGATTGGGGAAGAGTAAATAACTAAATAGAACATTAAAGGGAAGGTAAAGGAACGAATTACGAGACTGATTGCCCTTTAACCTTTTCACTCTCAAGATATCATTATTTATTGTCATTACTGTCTGCCATATCATTCTCACAAAGGTTTTTTTTTGGAGAATTTCGTAGTGGATCAACTAATCATCCCCTCATTGATATATTCCTTTATTCTCCTCACTTGTCTGCTTGTTATTGCATTGCCATTATAAGGAGAAATTCTGTCTTGGTCACTCATGGGACTTAAAGGGTTAAGGTAGTTCCATAAAACCAATCAAAACAAAGATAAATACTGTAAAGAACCAATGAAGGGTCAGATTATATGAATGGCTCGGCAAAGTTTCCTATAACAGAAGTTTTAACAATTTTCTCCAAAAGAAGAGTTGAATAAGGAACCAGTCATAATCTATCCCCTTGGGAAGGAGTCAGAGGATTTTGGAGGGATCATATGATTTTCAGGGGGGATGGTGAGGGGATCAGTTGTCGCTTACGGAGTATAAGGGAGGGACTACAGACAATTGACAACCAATGAGGGGGATCATTAGAATACCAGAGAGCCCTAGGAGGGGGGGGAAGAGAAATCAGGTTAATTTGATTGTGACACAACCAAAATCTTCCAACACTGCTGGCGATAACTAATGACCAGTCAGTAAATTGCGAGGAATAATGAAGAGAGACGGGAAAAAAATATGGTGGGCTCAACGGCAAAAAAAAATGGCAAAATTTATACCTGTCAACTCAACTGATGTGGGGTCCACCTGGTATTTTCCCAGCATGCCACTTTTCAGAGTTTCATTCATAAATTCGACCAACTGCCACTGACTGATTTGAGCTTGTGCATCGATTTTAATGAGCACTCTTGGAATAACACTACCATTGCTGTAAAAACAGAGAATGTCATGTTAAATAAAGGTTAGTAAACGTAAAATATGGAAAGTGACTGTAACAAATCCCAAGCCGAGAGCTTACCTGAAATTAAGAACGGTAGCTGCTACAAAGAATTGTCCAAGTATTGATTTCGATTCCATAAATGTTTTTTCCAGCTAAAATAAGGACAGAAGATCAAATAATAAAGTTAATGTGAGCGCACGATTACCGAGTGCGAGTTGGGAACTTAACGAGAATTTTACCGACGACATTTAGGTTTAACGACGCCATCGCTCATTGAATTCCCTTTTAAGAAGGAATTTTCCTTCGCCTTAAAAAAAACTTTTGACTACGTACATTACCTCAAGTTCCAAACCTCTTGAGAGGGACTTAAAGGAAGGCGATTCCATGTCTTGAAGTTCGGCCGAAAACATCTCGTTCGTTATTTTGAATGACACAACATAGTTAGCTGATCTTCTCAACCCTAAAAACAGGTGAACTGACCAAATAACAGACAAGTTACATTGGCCAATCAGACGTTTCTAACAGAGTTTTAACTGGGGATTACAAAAAAATGACTGGGATCATTAGAATACTACAGAGCCATTTGGGGGGGGGGGGCCAGCTCTGCCGCCCCCAAGTCGAGAAATGATGATAATAAATAATTTATTTGGATTCTCTGACCTTTTGGTACAAGGATGATAACTTGTGCCTTTGTTTGATTCCCTTTACATTTGTCTTTCACGGTCCAAATTCGCTCCAGCCTCCCTTCCCTGTTTGAGTTTAAACAGTCATCTTTGTATCTGTCAACGTAGGTTATTGTCACATTCCTCGGACACAAGTTTGTACTGGTCACTGTAACCTGTCCTGCAAACTTTGGATCAAGATACTTCTTCTCCCTACAGGTGAAGACGATGTCTTTCGGAAAGACTATGGTCGGCTCCTCTGGGGTATATACCGTTACACGCTGGATGCCCGTGACAGAATTACCACATGAATCTGTAATATTCCACACTCGGTCAGTTATGCGCCCACACGTGTTGTTGCTCACGATATTATCCATGTGTGAGATTTTGGCTTCCCCACGAGCCTTACACACGCCGTGAGCTGAGCCCCTTGCGGTACCTGCATTGAACACATCAGATGATCTATTGCATAAGGTTGTCACGAAATTTTTGGGCGTGGTTAATGTAGGCACAGGCGTGACTAAGTCTTCATCAATCCTACCATCTGAATCATCGTCAACTCCATTCTTTAATTCTTCATCCGTGAGACCATCGCAATCATTATCAATGTTGTCTCCACCCACAGTGTTTGTGGGCTTACAAGTATCGTCTAGTGACTGCCGTTGCAATTGCAGTGACTGCAGTTGCAGTTCCATCCCAGCCGGCATAGCAAACAACATTCCATTGCGATTCATTCCGTAAAAAACTGCAGAAAATGTTGTCAGCGGGTTTTCGTGGTACACATGATGGGAACCAACACTGGTCAAATGAATCGAAGCTCTTGAGAACCCCCCAGAGCCAAGAATTGTGGTCCAGTTCTTAACAATGCTGCCTGCACCCTTCACGCGAAGACCGCTTCGTGAAGCAGTGTCAATAACGACATTTACATAGCAGTCAAAAGTGTTTCCTTGATCATCTTGAGGAACATAAACTGTGTAGTCGTTAGTGAAAGACTGCATCGGAGGTACTACATTCATGGAAGGGCTTTTTCCGGCTTTGGAGTATTGCATCACAAGACTCGGTTGAGTAGTACTGATCACCGAGGACCTGTTCCATGATACATCGATCTTATATTTCTCTCCTTGGTCTAACGTCACTTTGTATTGAGAATCAACCTTAACTTCTGTATTTTGAGACGCTATTATATGAAATTCGTCTCCCCCTGGGCTGTTAGGCGTGGGGTTGGTAACAAACACTTTCCCCCAAAGGAATACGGGAGGGATCTGCTCCACTAGGTGATTGCATGGCGGTTTATTTTCAGGCACCATGGTGCAGTCATCCCCAGTAAATACTGCGACTGGCTTTGTCGACCTTATAATGGTGCCTGTGAGATCCTGGTCAGCCAAAACTTGAAACACGTCTAAATCATTTAAAGTTTCGCTTATGATGTGACCGTTTCCATACCAATTATCCTGGTACTGTACTTTACCGTTCGTTCGCAATGTAATCGTGACAGTGGTGTTATCCTCAATCGCTACGACCTGAATTACAGCATTGATCACAGGGTGATAAGCCGCTGCTATGTAAAACATACCAAGAGCATCCACAGGCAACCCAAGAAACCCTTCTACTTTTTGGGTCGCATTTGCTAATCCCTGCACAGACATGGGCTTGTCGGCCGTGATTCGGATACCTTTTTTTTTCTTTAGTCCTGAGGTGCCATTTGTGCGTGCATTTCCCGACAGTTGAACTATTGTTAAACCTCCAGCTGACAAGGCGTACGACTTCTCTGGAAAGTTCGTGAGAGAAGGCACGTGGACACGAACCGTGCCATTTTCGAAGCTGGATATGTAGAGTGTATTGTTTCCAGAAAAGAGATACCCTAGATGTTGAGGCGAGAAGCTCAAGACGAACTCTTTACCTCTGTAATCAACTGATTCTGAAAGAGAACAGAAACAAGGACAATTTTATCAACCTAAACGAGAAGACCATTTATTTCAGGACTAATTTTGATCTCTGCTGCCTTTTATTCCTTGGCAATCCAATACTAGTATGGATATTCTTTATGGTTTTTTCATACGTTTCCAATTACTCTGACAAGGAAGATTGTTTAACAATCAAAAGGTTTTACTTGAAATCTTTTCAGTGACACAATAAGACGAAATAAGATGCAGACCAACGGTCACTATTGGGTTAAAAAACTGATTTCCTCTTTAGTTATGGGCTCTTAGCGTGTTCCAGTTAATTCAAAGACCTGTTCCTCGGTACTGACATAGCTGAACCCTTTGAATTGAATTGTTAATACCTTAAAAACAGCATGCATCTTCACTGTACTGTTCTTTGGGCATTTCGTGGGGTACTGGCACGGAGAATTTATTCAACAATTTAGAGCTTCCTAATGTGATTCAGAGGTGTTATTGTAAGAAGAAATTAGACGCAGGTCACACTTTTCGGTTTTTTCTTTGCATCGAGATATAGAAAAGTAAAAATAAAGAATTTCGACTTTTTAATTAACCATGGACTGGAAGCGATGCATTATTTGCCAGAAAGCCACAGGAGAGAACTTGCGGTGCCCTGCAAATTCTCAAAGGAAAGATGCTGGTGCTGGTTTTGTTTCATTATATACAGATTCTATACTGCCATTGATCTGTTCAGTAATAGATGACAAATGACGTTAAAATGCAGTGAGACCAAAAAAGTGGCACACAAGACTGATTCATGGAAACTGATCAGTCTGTTTGGCCATGATGCTAATAGCTATAAGACTAAAGGTCAGAAAAGCTTACCTCGACAAAGGAAACCATCCCCAATGAATCCTTTTAGGCAAGAACAGTTATATGAACCTATAGTGTTGGTACATTTTGCTTTTTTGTGACAGTTGTTGAGATCAGGAGCTTGGCACTCATCAAAGTCTGTTAAAATTTGATAATTGGGGGAAAGCAATTAACTAAATAGAATGTTAAACTAAAGGTAAAGGTATGAATTTTGAGACTGATTGCCCTTTGACCCTTTCAATCCCAAGATATCATTATTTATTCTCCTTACTGGCTGCCATATCATTCTCATTATGTATGTTAAGAATATTTGGTAGTAGACCAACTAATCATGCCCTCATTGATATTTTTCTTTATTCTCATCACTTGTCTGCTTGTTATTGTATTTGTATTATAAGGAGAAATTCTGTCTCGGTCACTCAAGTGAGTTAAAGGCTATTCGTGTGGTATAAAGTGATCTTCTATTTAAAAGTCATAAAACCAATAAAAACAAAGATAAATACTGTAAAAAACCAATGAGGGGTCAGATGACATGAATGACTTGGCAAAGTTTCCCATAACAGAAATTTTTAACAGTTTTCACCCAAAAAAGTGTTGAATAAAGAACCAGTCATAATCTGAAATTATGAGATCCTCGCAGCTAAAAACACTACTGAAACAAGTAGTTGAAAATAGGACCTGAACTACTCGTTTCAGTAGTGTTCTTAGCTGCAAGGATCTCTTAATTTCATCTCTTCACCACAGTGCAAATATATGAATTTCAGTCATAATCTATCACCTTGAGGGAGGGGTCAGAGGATTTTGGAGGGATCATATGATTTTCAGGGGGGACAGTGAGGGGATCAGTTGTTGCTTAAAGAGAATTAAGGGGGGACTACAGATAATTTACTACCAATGAGGGGATCATAAATACTACAGAGAATACTACAGAGCCTTAGAAGGGGGAGGGGAGAAATCAGGTTGATTGGATTGTCATACAACCAAAATCTTCTGACAGCCCCAGAGATAAATAATGACCAGTTGATAAATTGTGAGGAATAATGAAGAGAGAAGAAAAATATAAAGATGGGGCTTGACGACTAAAAGAAAATATTATAAAATTTATACCTGTCAACTCAACTGATGTGGGGTCCACTTGGTATTGTCCAAGCATGCCACTTTTCAGAGTTTCATTCATGAATTCGACCAACTGCCACTGACTGATTTGAGCTTGTGCATCGATTTTAATGAGCACTCTTGGAATTGCACTGCCATTACTGTAAAACAGAGAAATGTCACTTTAAATGAAGGCTAGGTAAACGTAAAATATGGAAAGTGACGGTGACAAATCCCAAGCTAAGAGCTTACCTGAAATCAAGGACGGTAGCTGCTACAAAAAATTGTCCAAGTATAGAATTCGATTCCATAAATGTCTTTTCCAGCTAAAATTTGGACAGAGGTGCAAATAATAAAGTTATGCGGTGTGAGCGTACGATTACCAAGTGCGAGCCAGGAACTTAACGAGAATTTCACTGACGATATCCGTGGTTCAATAACTTCCCTTTCAAGAAGTTATTTTCCTTGGCCCAAAAAAACCATGCATATGTACATTACCTCAAGTTCCAAACCTCTTGAGAGGGATTTGAAGGCAGGAGATTCCATGTCTTGAAGTTCGGCCGAAAACATCTCGTTCGTTAGTTTGAATGACACAACATAGTTAGCTGATCCTCTCAACCCTAAAAACAGGTGAACTGACCAAATAACAGACAAGTTACAATGGCCAATCAGAACAATCTTTAATAGCGCGGGAAAATGGACATGCCCGAGTCCCATTTGGGCCTAGTTTTGTATCTGATTGGTTGGAAATTTGGTTCGAGTTTTCTCGACTAATCAGGAAATATTTAACAAAAACTACTGAATGCAATCCTGCATTACAAGCTGACGACAATCAGCTTAAGTATTGCGCTAACCGAGTTCCAGCTTAAGTCAGGGACAGGGGAGGGGGGGAAGGGGGGGAATTTTTAGGGGGCATCACATGTTTTTCAGTTGAAGCAGAGGACGATCAGACGTTTCTAACAGAGTTTTAACTGGGGGATCATAAGAATACCACAGAGCCTTTTTTTTTTTTTTTGGGGGAGATCAGGTAAATTTAATGGTGATGTAACCAAAATCCTCCAGCCTCCCCGCTTCCCATGATAATGAAAAATTGATTTAGAGTTATCTAACCTTTTGGTACAAGGATGATAACTTGTGACTTTGTTTGACTCCCTTTACATTTATCTTTCACGGTCCAAATTCGCTCCAGCCTCCCTTCCCTGTTTGAATATAAGCAGTCATCTTTGTATCTGTCAACGTAGGTTATTGTCACATTTCTCGGACACAAGTTTGTACTAGTCACTGTAACCTGTCCTGCAAACTTTGGATCAAGATACTTCTTCTCCCTACAGGTGAAGACGATGTCTTTCGGAAAGACTATGGTCGGCTCCTCTGGGGTATATACCGTTACACGCTGGATGCCCGTGACAGAATTACCACAAGAATCTGTAATATTCCACACTCGGTCGGTTATGCGCCCACACGTGTTGTTAGTCACGATATTATCCATGTGCGAGATTTTGGCTTCTCCACGAGCCAGACATGCGCCGTAAGCTGAGCCCGACGCGGTACCTGCATTGAACACACCAGATGATCTATTGCATAAGGTTGTCACGAAATTTTTGGGCGTGGTTAATGTAGGTACCGGCGTGACCAAGTCTTCATCAACCACACCATCTGAATCATCGTCAACTCCATTCTTTAATTCTTCATCCGTGAGACCATCGCAATCATTATCAATGTTGTCTCCACCCACAGTGTTTGTGGGCTTACAAGTATCGTCTAGTGACTGCCGTGGCAGTTCCATCCCAGCCGGCATAGCAAACAACATTCCATTGCGATTCATTCCGTAAAAAACTGCAGAAAATGTTGTCAGCGGGTTTTCGTGGTACACATGGTAGGAACCAAAACCGGTCAAATGAATCGACGCTCTTGAGAACCCTCCAGAACCAAGAATTGTGGTCCAGTTCTTGACAACGCTGTCTGCGCCCTTCACGCGAAGACCGCTTCGTGAAGCAGTGTCAATAATGATATTTACATAGCAGTCAAAATTGTTTTCTTGTTCATCTTGAGGAACATAAACTGTGTAGTCGTTAGTGAAAGACTGCATTGGAGGTACTACATTCATGGAAGGGCTTTTTCCTGCTTTGGAGTATTGCATCATAAGACTCGGTTGAGTAGTACTGATCACCGAGGACTTGTTCCATGATACATCGATCTTGTATTTCTCTCCTTGGTCTAAAATCCCTTTGTATTGAGAATCAACATAAACTGCGGTATTTTGAGACGCTGTTATATGAAATTCGTCTCCCCCTGGGCTGTTAGGCGTGGGGTTGGTAACAAAAAATTTCCCCCAGAGGGATACAGGGGGTATCTGCTCCACCAGGTGATTGCATGGCAGTTTATTTTCAGGCACCAGGGTGCAGTCATCCCCAGTAAATACTGCGACTGGCTTTGACGACCTTATAATGGTGCCTGTGAGATCCTGGTCAGCCAGAACTTGAAACACGTCTAAATCATTTAAAGTTTCGCTTATGATTTGACCGTTTCCATACCAATTATCCTGGTACTGTACTTTGCCGTTCGTTCGCAATGTAATCGTGACAGTGGTGTTATCCTCAATCGCTACGACCTGAATTACAGCATTGATCACAGGGTGATAAGCCGCTGCTATGTAAAACATACCAAGAGCATCCACAGGCAACCCAAGAAACCCTTCTACTTTTTGGGTCGCATTTGCTAATCCCTGCACAGACATGGGCTTGTCGGCCGTGATTCGGATACCTTTTTTTTTCTTTAGTCCTGAGGTGCCATTTGTGCGTGTATTGCTCGACAGTTGAACTATTGTTAAACCTCCAGCTGACAAGGCGTACGACTTCTCTGGAAAGTTCGTGAGAGAAGGCACGTGGACACGAACCGTACCATTTTCGAAGCTGGATATGTAGAGTATATTGTTTCCAGAAAAGAGATACTTTGGATGTTGAGGCGAGAAGCTCAAGACGAACTCTTTACCTCTGTAATCAACTGAGTCTGAAAGAGAACAGAAACAAGGACAATTTTATCAACCCTTCTAGATAACGTATAGATATCATAGGAAAAAGTTACATTTTAATCACTCCCGGGAGTTATAGGGTAAAAGCCAGCCAGGCATGATAGTACGGGTATTTTTCCATGTAAGAACAGTCTTCTTATAGCAAATGTTTGCCACAAAACATTTAGGAAGAGTTAACTTCGCTCTCCAACGACAAGATCATTGACTTCAGACCCAATTTTGATCGCTGCTGCCTTTTATTCCTTAGCAATTTAACATTAGTATAGATATAGTGTTCTCGTACGTTTCCAATGACTCTGACACGGAGAATTGTTTAACAATCAAGAGGTTTAACTGTTGAAAATCGTTTCAGTGATACAGTGAGACGAAATAAGATGCTGACCAACGGTCACTATTGGGCTAAAGAACTGATTTCCTCTTCAGTTATGAGCTCTTAGCGTGTTCCAATTAATTAAAAGGCTGTTCCTTGCGACCGACATAGGTAAACCCTTTGAATTGAATTGTTTATACCTTAAAAACAGTATGCATATTCTCCATATTGTTCTCTGCGCATTTCTTGGGGTACTGGCAAGGAAAATTTGTTTAACAATCAAGAGCTTCGTTAGTTGGTGATCACTTCCTTTATTCTCGTGACGTTGAGGTGTGATTCAGAGGTGTTACTGAACGGAGAAATTAGACGCAGGTCACACTTTTCGGTTAAAAGGTTACGCAGTAATGCTGAAAGTTGTAAACGACCCACAAATAAATGTTCACATGAAAGGTTTAGCAGTTTTTGACCAAACTTGTTCAAATTAATGCCACAACACTTGTGACCCAAAGACTAACATTTTCTGATTTAGGACCTATCCGCATTAACCTCAGGAGACGAGAACAACGCATGTCAGAAACTCGCTAACATGGAAACGAGGCCAAGAATATAAAATCCTCCTAAACGACAAAAGGTTTCCAACATAACCAATGAATTCTTTTCTACCCATTTGTATTCATCTTATGCCATCACGTGACTACCTCCTTTGATATTTATCGTGATATATGGGTACCCAGTGGTTAAACATCAATCATGAGTGTCGTCTGAAATATATAAAAAAATGTAGGAATACGAATCAAAATGCCGGAAGAAGTCCCGCTTATGAGTCACAAAGCCCTAATTTTTAACATCAGTACCAAGAATTGTACAGCTTTAAAGATGGAATACTCTGTCTGTACTTAATACAGCTATTTGAATTAATTACGCTTTCGATTCTTTACTTCAATATGACCAAGTTATTGGGATTATCAATAGGAAGTATAGGGTTCACTCTCAGCACATGATAAAAATGGTCTCAAAGAAAACGAATGCTAGAAGCGGCTGGGCCACAGGCAACCCTTTTGAGAGTTGCGAGGTATTAATACCCAGGACTTCACTCGGTTTTAAAGATGGCAGCCCTCCATGTGTACTTACAGCTATTTCAGGTGAGAAAGTATTTCAGATTTCCAATTTAAATATCTGTCATTTTCTTAGATTACTGACATACGAAGTGGATAATTTTGGTCCTTATCACAAGATGCCACTATCAAAATTAATTTTCTTTGTGACGTTTTTATGCCAGTAGATGAATAGATACGTCAGTTGTATCGAAATAGAAGAGTAAAAAAAGGAATTTCGACTTTTAAGTTAACCATGGACTGGAAGCGATGCATTATCTGGCAGAAAGCTACAGGAGAAAACTTGTAATCAGGGTTTTCATTTGAGGCCGGAGGCCGGACGTTTCGTCCGGTCGTTTGCCATTCCACGTCCGGTACTTTGAGATCAATATTGGGGTTTTTTTTTTACTACGGCGCTCGCGAGGCGCCTTACGGCGCCAAGAAAACATTCACGTCCGGTGCTTTCAGAAGTATGCCCGCTACTTTACAAAACAGTTGAAAACCCTGTGTAATGCCCTGCAAATTCTCAAAGGAGAGATGCTGGCGCTAGTTACGTTTCATTATCCCTTAATATCTCAACTATACTCAGCTCAAGGCCCTTCGTTTTGCGTCGTTTCCAGTGATCGTTAAATACTTCTAAAGATGGATCAAGTGATGTAAGAGCTCAAAGCTGGCGGCGTAGCTGTCGTAGCTTCGTTGTCAATTTCCCACTTTTAGAAATAAAAGAGAGAGAGAGAGAAACTGTAAACAGCCAGTAATGCCTAAGACTTTGATCCGATTGTCTCTCTTTCTCTATTTGTTAATCTTGGCGAAGATTCTCGAGAGTTCAATTTGTCTGAACCCTTTCCCAGCGATGATATTGGCCCGGTCAAATTTCAGTCTGCGGTGATAACTTCTTGGTAAACAATAACCCAAGGGTCTTACTGTACAGTGCTTTGCCTGCAGCCCAATATGTAATTCATTTTTGCATCGATATATGGAGAAGCATCAACTTTTTGAAAACTAACTTGTATAAAGGTCAACTTGTTTTGATTAAATTCCAATCTTTACAAATCTTTCGTATTTGCTGCAGCTTATTTTCAGCGTCTTTTTCCTCTCGGCCCATTTTGAGATCGAAAAGTGTATGTTATCGTCCTGTTCGTGATACAAGGCTACGCAATATCATGTATTGGAAAACAAATGCTTGACTGCATTTTTTTTTAATTCTTAGTGATAAAATTTGCATTTTCCGTAGACTTGTGTAAAATCTGATTTGATCAACTACATAGCTAGAAAAGAGCATTACAACACGAACGAAATGGAGGTAGTCATGAGAAGTTTTCATGAACAAAGAAAAATGAAGGTTTTTGAGGCGGGTTATTTTAATATGATAAACATTTTTAACAAAAATAGTTGCTTTCCGATCTCTCACGTCTTCATTGTCTATAAGACGTATGAACTCGCCAGACCGTGATAGCCTTGTGATGAATAATAAACCTTTAGATCCACCGACACATCCTTGAGTTACGTGCATAGTTTAAAGATCTAATTAATTATTTTGTGCTGAAATTCTGAGTAGATTGTTCTAAGATTTAGAGGAGGGATATTGCGTGTAAGAAAACCAAAATCAAACGTATCAGTAACACTTTCAGTTGCAAGTATTCTGTCGTTGATATAGTACCTCCTCCTTCAGCGTCACGAACAACTTTGCACGAAAGAGATTATAAATAAATGTTACATACCGTATGTCAAGTGAAGAAAGTCACATCTCTGTTGAACATGTTTCCGAGCTCAGAAAAATTGGGCAGATTAATATTAAAATTGGCATAAATCGAACCGTTTGATGATGTATTTTAAACAAAAGTTCACCCCAATTTAAATGATTAACAACTTCGTTTATTCCAAGATAAACTCGAGCTGAAACGAGCACAGTGCGCACAATCATTCATGTCAACACTTTCAGTCATTCATTCAATTTTGAGTTCTGATCATTTCAGTAAAAGCTTCCATTCGCAATTCTAGGTTTCAATAACGCTGAAGTGTTCCATCTCAAATAAAAGAACGACAGCAGTAGCTAAAACCTCTCGAAAAGCTTCGAAGGAACATTGCATGGTTGACAGCTTATTTGGCACGATTCACTCACTGATCAGTATCGAAGAGAGTCGATTTCCGATTCTGTCACGATTATACAACAAATCTCAGTTTAAATGCAGTTTACGGGTAACATCAGCTGAGTTTATTATTGCTTATTACCCAGGCTGCTTATTAACGGGATTGTTCAATTTTAGAATACGTTTCGGGTTCTAACAGCTAAAGTTACACATTACTCAATGTCGGAAGAACTTACTTTGGAAGCTACCTCGAGCGGCGAGCACGAAAAGAAATCCGACTGAGTAAATCTTTACAGCCAACATTTCGTTCGATCTAGCTGTGGACGAAACCTTGATGAAAACCTTGAAAAAATAGAGAAAAATGATATGATCACGTCCCCTTGTTCTCAGATACAGGAAGCTTGTCAAAGTGGGTGTGTTTTCTCTACACCAGGTATGACGATTCAATCTCACACCCCGAGTCACCGGAAGTAAGGACAAAGGTGTCTCATTTGGGAACTCAGAGATTCAGAGAGCTGTCAGCTCAAGGAACAAAAATGCAAATAAAGATCTTTATTGAATGCTTTTGAGGAAGAGTTCCAAGAAAACCAGGAAGTTTTTAAAATGAATAAGTCAAGTTCCTTTTTTATTGGATGTGGTGTATCGCAACCTTGACCACAACATACCTTGCCATAACCCGGCACATATTTAAACAGGAGAAAAAAAACGAGAAATACCATAAATAATCAGATCAAATTAAATAGGCGTACGGGGGAAAGAGTAATCGACATAACCTCCTACGCTCGCGCACAAGGGATGTTTTAACATGTCACGTAACTGTAAGGAAACTGTTCTTGTTCCTCTTATGAGGACTCTGGGAACAACAATACTTGCAAGAATGTAAGGAATGTGAAATTTGGACCAAAGAGACTGAGTCCCAACATTGAACAAAGATGGCGGCCAGAGAGGGAAAAGAGGTTGACTTTTCTCAAATTAAAAATAAGCAAAGACGGAGTTCTCTCTACCAGAAAGAAAAGCTCAAGAAAGCAAAAGAAAAAAGGGATAGAAAACGTAAACGAAAACAGGAGGAATCACAGGAAGAAGGAGAGGTAAGGCAATGAAAAAAAAAATTAACATGTAAACAGAACTGCACGTGGATCCATATGCTTTGAGAAGGTAAACAGGGTTTCTTCTTGACTTGCATTATTCTGATCGCTTAATTTATTAATAATCAAAGTGAAAGTGTGATAGCACTTGCTTATTATTGTGTTGGAATCAAAGCATGCATGCAGTGACATGGTGTGTTATTGACTTCGAAACAGCTGTTAACTGAGATGTATGTGTTTCAAACACGAAGCTTAACCCTCTAAACCCAAAGAGTTACCAGTATCTAATTTCTCCTTACATGAATACAGCTGAATCATTCATTAAGATCGTGAGAATAAATGATATGATCGCCAACTCAAGAAGCTTTGATCGTTTTACAAATTCTCCTTTTTAGTACAAAAGGAAATGTAAAGAGAAGGATATTAAGAATATGTATTCTGATGTTAGGATATAAAGGGTTAAAATGACTGCTGTGTTGTTGAAATAGCAGTGTTTAGACTGATTGATTGAATGGCACAAGTAAATGGCAAGTGCTTTGAATGACATTGTCCTAATATAGAATCATCCTTACAACTCATTGCCATAGTTTAAATGTGTTTTTTTTGCTGCTTGACCAATAAATCAAGTTTAAAACTGTTGAATATAAGTATATTATATGATGGGCTGTATCCTACATGTATTTTGATAGGTTCTTACTTATGATATATTGGAGGACAGATGCATAGATTATGTCACCACAAATAACATGTTACTTTTATGATATAAAACAAATGTTTTCCATGTTGTCATGGGTTTGTTCATTGATAGATGACAGAAGTTGTAAAAAAGTGGTAAGAACATCAGTGGCACACCCCGATGTACCTTGTGTGCCTCTTTTCTGTTCTTACCACATCACTGACATCACCTGTGACCTATTAATGAACAGACACACAGCTGTTAAGCTGATTCTCAGATGTTCTAAACTGGTTCCAATTAGATGTCAAACAAAGAACATCAGAAAAGGGAAGTAGGAAGGTAAAGGAAGATGGTTCAGATCCTCTGAGAATCATTCCTGCCATGGTCAAATTAACATACAGATTCCATGTTGCCATTGATCTGCTCACAAATATGACAGATGACATTAAAATGTGATGAGAGCAAAAAAGTGGCACACAAGATGTAGCCACTGCAAGTGTTTTACCACAATTTGTTGTCTTCTATGATTAGGGAGGGGGTATGATACAGTAGTGAGAGTGCTTGCCTCCCACTGCTGCAGCCTGCTATGGCAGGGGTTTGAATCCTGGACCTGGCATCACATTACATGTGGAGAAGAATAGCCACCTGGAATGTCCACTATTAAACTCACATTAATATTATTATGATTATATGTATTATTACTACAGTAAAACTATACAGATCCATGGCAACATGGAATCTACATGTTTTGGATGATAAAAAAACAAAATGTTGTTAACAATGATGTCATCTATGTGTCTGTCTTCCAACAGACCTTAAATAAGAACCACCCAAAATGTGTGTATAATTCAGCTCATCATGTAAAGGGTAGTTTCAAACTCTAAATGTGACATGTTTCATAACAGCCTAAACCAAAGCAAGTTCCAAGAACTATTGACAACACTCGCGTTGCTGATGAGACCATTGTAGAGCCACAGGATGAGGAGGTAAGATACTTGCCAAATTAAATTTTAATTGTAGGTAACAAATTCCTTAGCCTGTACTTGAGTTTTAGACACACCAGTATCTAGAAATTTGTAGTAATGAGCAGAATAATTTGCCATTTGTGAATTTGTATGTGCTATTATTACAGTTATGGCAAGGGCAAATTATTAAGAGAGTGTTTATAATTACACAGGTCTTAAAAGATGAAGAAATTGATGAGTTTGCGGCATACTTTAGATGCGAGGTAGTACCCAAGGTTCTTATCACATCAAGTGACAGATCAAAAGTGGTATGTTTGAATATGAATACAGAATTTTAAATGTTATGTTATTTTGCTGATTCCTTGTATTCCTTGGAGTAATCAGATGATACAGTCTCCCAACAGTTTTAATACCTTTTCAGGGTTGTTAAAACGGTTTTGAGTAAGGGGACTGTGATACAAAGTAGGCAGCACTAAACAGTTTCATTCCCATCAATGTCATGCTTCTGTGTTAAATATTGAACCATGAGCATTCAGAAGAGTCAGCTGGCTTATTTGAAAATCCTGCTCTACCCCTGAGAAAAGTTTCACAAACAGTCAGCAAAGAAGTACAACATTGTTAGCAAGGGAAATAACCTTTGGGATCTTACAAGTGAAAGGATTATTTTGAGAACTGATATGATATGGATCTTTGACATTCTAGGAACTAAATAATGGAAGAGTGGAAAACAAAACTGTTAAACATTCCCTAAAGCCCTCATTTTCAAAACGAACACAAGTTAAATACCTGTTTTGTTAAATTTAATTGTATTTTCTTCATAACAAAAAAAAATTCGTAACCATGAGTGACCAAGACAGAATTTCTCCTTACAATATCAATGCAATATCAACCAGATAAGTGATGAGAATAAAGAAAAGTATCAATTTGGGGATAATTAGTTGATTCGATACTAAATTCTCAGAATTAACATTACAAGAATTGTATGGTTGACAGTAAGGAGAATTACAAATTTGATCTGGGAGTTAAGGGGTTTAATTTTCATTGTATGAAGACAGGGGCTTGCTTAATGATAACATCAACACATAGTGAATGAGTTAGAACATTGAAGTTCCACAAATATGTTTACCTTAGTCTCTCTTAGTCTTTTATTCAGTGAATTTGTTTTACTGTTGTCTCTAGAAAACAGTACAGTTTATGAAGGAACTTCAACACATCATCCCAAATTCCGAGGTCCGTGTTCGGAAGGGTATAGATTTGAAGAAAATTATTCCTCAAGCTAAAGAAAAAGGATTTACAGCTCTTGTTGTTGTCAATGAAGACAAAAAAATGCCAAGTATCCTTTTTCATCAGTGTGGGATATGATGTTTGAATCTGTTGGCTGCATTTGCATAGAGGAGGATGGCTAAGGCCTTAAGCCTGAAATTATCATATTACCTGTAAAATTTATTCAGAAAGGTTCAGAAAAGAAGATTTGAAGTCTTCCCTTTTAAGCTTGTGATGCATGCAATACTGTTTAACATACATGTGATGCATGAATATTTCTTAAAATTTTGGTGTGAAATGGGAGTAAGACTCCCTTTGCTGGTCCACATGGAGGTTGGTGTCTCTAGACTCTGTAAGGGATAGGGGAGGGGGGAGGGTCAGCTTCATGGCCAGTATGATCATCTTAATTCTTAGGGGTTAAAGCTGCAGATTGCTGTATTGCTTTACCTCCCACAGATGTTATAGAAAGTATTAAGCACTCAAAGTTAAAATGATATCTTGTAAACCCTTTCTGGAAAATGATAAATATCAAAGTACTTCTGCTTCTGGAAATAGGTGGTTTGAAGTGGAGAACACCTCATGTAAAAACCTTTTCACTTTTAATATTTTTTTCAAGGAACAAAAATTTGGGGTTGTCTTAGTTTGAAGAATTTTAAAGGTCATCTGTAATATCTTTGCTTAGGAGCTCTCTCCAACATCTGTACATGAGTGGTTTTGTCCGTGTTTTCCCCTAACAAAATGTTTTTAGATGGAATAGTGATAAGTCATTTACCAGATGGACCAACTGCACACTTTAAATTGACCAGCGTGAAACTTGGCAGGACAATCAAGGTGAGGCATGTTACAAAAACTGATATTCTTCCCTCAGATGGTTTAATCCTTTACACCCTAACATCGGTTTGCATATTCTCCATACTGTTCTCTATACATTTCCTTTGATACTTATAAGGAGAGTTTGTCATACTATCAGGCGCTTTTTCGAGTTTGCTATCATTTCATTTATTCCCTTAATGTTAATGTTTGATTCAGGGGTGATACTGTTGGGGGGAACTAGATGCTTATCCAACCCTAGGGGTTAAAAGGTTAAATGAGGAAGTCATTCCATGTTTCCATTTTTGCAAAAAGCCTCGTAGAGTATTGTTACTGCTCCTGCTACTGAGAAAATGGTTTAACAAAAGGGAAAAGGAAAATCAGTTAAGGTTTTTCTGATGTTGTTTTCAGGACATCTAGAAAAAAAAACAATTAGAGAGGTAGAGATCAAATTATAAACTAATTTACAAATATTACAACTGCATTTCTCTGAAGCATAACATTATTTAATTATACATGACTAAATGTGGAAGACATGGTGGTGTAATATTTAGTGTGTTGGATTCTGGGTGGAGAGGTCTGGGTTCAAGACCCGGCTAATCCTTGTGTTGTGTTCTTGGGCAGATCACTCCACTCTCACCATGCCTCTCTCCACCCAGATGTACCCGGGACTGGGTACTGGTGAATTGTCAGGGAAGCCTGATGAAATGCAAGGGGGAAACCCTGTGATGGACCAGCATCCTATCCAAGGGGGAGTGGTGATACTGCTAGTTGCTTTACGCTAAGGAAACTGGGATAAGCCGGGCTGGCTGAGCCACCTGGTACAAGTACAGAATTAACTGTAACCACTTTATGCAGAGGTAGAGGAGCTGCATAAGACTAGGTTTAATTTTGACATGAAATGAAATAAAGCTTGTTGTTGTGCTTCACAAAGGTTTATGTATTTTCTTTCAGAACCATGGTCGTAAGACAAGCCACAGACCAGAGGTTATACTCAATAACTTCAGCACACGTCTTGGCCATTCTGTGGCTCGTCTTCTAGCTGCCCTCTTCCCTTATGATCCCCAGTTTCAAGGCAGACAGTGTGTTACTTTTCATAACCAGCGAGACTTCATTTTCTTCAGACATCACAGGTAATCACTTCAAGTTTGATGAACCATCACAAAAAAATTTATCCTCCTTACCCTGCTTTACAATGACCTGCAAGTTTTTACATCTCCCTTTGGCCATATATAATTGTTTTTGAATTTTGAAATTGCATGTTTCACCTGTAATCCATTTAGCAAATAGATTTTATGTTGCCATGTGTCTGTACAGTAATCGATCACACATGATGTTGAAATGTGGAAAGAAAAAGTTTATGTTATCTTCTGATGAATGTTTTTGTTTGAAATTTAAAAAAAGCCAAAAATTGTTAATGATGACATCATCTTTGCATCTGTCCTGCAATAGATCATTAGTAAGAACTAATTAAATTGTGAAGGTGATTCAGCTTATTATGTAGTTGAGTTTTCTCCATCCTTAACCTTCCCTGATCCTTAGAGGAGGCAGCATGGCTGAGTAGTTAGGATGCTGGACTTGTAATCGGGTGGTCCCAGGTTCAAGTCCTCCCCCACCCTGCTCTTCTCAGGATTTGTTCTCAGTCAACCCAAGTTCAATTCCTCTGCTGTGCTGTGTAAATAGCCAACTGGTCTGCCTCCCACCGGTTGAAATTTTCAAGCACTCTATGTTTATTTCAGTTATTGTAAAGCACTATTGGATGGTGATAGAAATAGCATCATATAAATAAAGTATTTATTGATATGTTATTTATTATTTAATATGTATTGTATGGTGGTTACATGGTTAGTGAACTTGACTGGACTGAGGGTCTGAGCACTATCTGACTCACTGTGTTGTGTTCTTTTACTAGTCCCTTCCCTCACACAATACCTCTGTCCACTTAACCCTTTAACTCCCAGACCAAATTTGTAATTCTCCTTACTGTCAACCATACAATTATTATAATGTTAGTTCAGAGAATTTAGTATTGAATCAACTTATTATCTCCAAATTAACATTTTTCTTTGTTCTCATTACTTATCTGGTTGATATTGTATTAACACTGTAAGGAGAAATTCTGTCTTGGTCATTTATGGGAGTTAAAGGGTTAAGGGTAAAAATAGGTACTGGCACACTGTCACTAAAACTTGACAAAGCACTGGAAGGTAGCCTTGTGACAGATTCCTATCCTGCCTGGGGAAAGAGAGGGGTGTTGAAATATTTGTAGTTGCCTCATGCTACTGAAACTGGTGTCTTTTCCAACAGATTATGCCTTTTGACTTTATAAGGCAACTGAACCCTTTCACTCCTAAGATCAAAATTATCAGGTTTATCTACAGTGCCTTTCTCATTGTTTTCTATCTGAGAATTTGTATTTAGGTATATAAAACTATATCCCTTAACCCTTTACACACTAACTTCAGTATATATTTTCCCCATACTGTTCTCTATACATTTTCTATGGTACTGACAAGGAGAATTTGTTTAACAATCAAGAGCTTCTTTAGTTGGTGATCATTTCCTCTATTCTCATGACCTCAAGGTTTGTTTTGACTGTGATATTGATGGGAGAAATTAGTTGCTAATCACTCTTGAGGTTTAAAGGGTTAACTGATATTTTTCTTTTCTCTCTTCACCTCTCTGCTAAAAAAAAAAATGTATTGGTACAGTTAGGAGAAATTCCCTATTGATCACTCTTTAGAGTGAAAGGGTTACCCCTTTAACTCCCATGAGTGACCAAGACAACATTTCTCCTTACAATATCAATACAATATCAACCAGATGAGTGATGAGAATAAAGAAAAAGATCAATTTGAGGATAATAAGTTGATCCAATACTTAATTCTCTGAACTAACATTATAAGAATTGTATGGTTGACAGTAAGGAGAATTACAAATTTGGTCCAGAAGTTGAAGGGTTAACCTTATTATCTTTTTGAAGACAATGAATTTTTTTTTTTTTTCCAGATATATTTTTAAGAACCAAAAGAAGGCAGGGCTGCAAGAATTGGGCCCCAGATTTACACTTAAGCTCCGCTCTTTACAACGAGGAACTTTTGATTCCAAGTTTGGAGAATATGAATGGATTCATAAGGTTTGTACAATTGAATTTCAGGAGGAACATAAGCTTACTGTAACAACAACAATAATTTTTGGCACGTGGCTTTTGAAAAGTGATTACTTTGAATGGCTTCAATAGAACTTTTTTTTTTTTTTTTATGGAGGCAATCTTAAGATGAAAATGATTTGTTCTAAAATGATACAACATTCAACCCAAAAAGAGAATTTATTTACTAGAATAGTATTTTTTTCCTATCACTCAAGAGCTTCTCAATTTTTGTTATCTTTCTGTTTTGCAGAGAAAAGAGATGGATACAAGCCGCAAAAAGTTCTTCCTTTGATCTTACAAGATTGCCTGGAGTAATTTAATCATCTTTTTTAATTTAGATACTTAATCTCTCTTAGGGATTTCACCTCTCTTTGAGGCAGAGGACTTTCTTTTCTTAACCCTTCACATCCTAGAATCAGTTTGCATATTCTCCATACTGTTCTCTATACAATTCCTAAGGTGCTGGTAAGGAGAATTTGTTCAACAATTTTGGGATTCTTTAGTTGGTGATCATTTCCTTTATTCTTGTGACCTTAATGTGTGATTCAGGGGTGATATTGTAAGGAGAAATTAAATTCTAGTCTCTCTTAGGGTCAAAGGTTTGAAGGAACCTATTAGAAAAGGGAGACTGTATTTAAACTTTTAGTAATCTGTGAGACGGCCAGATATATTGCTCAATCCCTCAAGAGTTAATAAAAATTAGCAATTTGAATTGACTTAAATGTGAAAAATCTGCTCAGAGAACCATCAACAACTCGATCATCATCATCATCTTTGTATCAACTATGATTATTTCCATTGTGTCAAATTCTCATAGAGTGAAAATCTATGAAAAAAAATGCTCTTATCTGCTTCTGTATCCTCTCCAAAGTAAGGCTCTTACTTCATAGGTAGGGATATAAAAAAGTGAAAATTGCTATTTGCCAGAAATACAAAAAAGTATATTTCTTCAAAGTGAAATGTTATGCCTTCAGTTACTTGTAAAATATTTTACAGATCATTATTTATGTTTTATAATTAATGAAATGAATGTATTTGGTCTCTTTTGGTCTGAAGGTTTTCCATGTGACTGCATATTTCTATTATAATTACAACAACAGTTTTTTAACTTAATAAATTTCTGCTATCAGTAAATTCAGTTTGATTGTTTCTGTGGCTTTATGGCTGCTCATCTCACATGGGAAATGATCTATGTCATATACATTCTCTGTTTTTGCCTGTTTCCACTACCAGGAGTGTAAGGCTTAGATATTGCGGACAAACAAAAAATACTTTTTAATCAAAGGACCCCCACCTCCACTAGCTATGCCCTTGAACCTGTTAAAATAAAGATGGTGCTCCAATAGTGATGAAAACCCCATAAAGGGTAGGTTTAGCTAAAGGTTTCCTTGTAACTGATTAATCTCAAAGAATATGTGATCATTTTCAAAATAATTTTCATTTCTTGGCTCCTTATGGACATTTTTTGGATCACTCTGTCTGCGATAACTCCGTCCATTTAGTTGAGCGTTCCGCCCGTCCTGGTTGGGGTTTCCTATACCAACCATTACCCATTCCTATTTTACCCTTAGCTCCCACAGATATGATTAAAAAGTAATTAACCTCTTGAAGTTTTATTTTATCAACTTCCTTGATTGTAAAACTAAGCCTTAGCTTTTAGGGGGATAGACAATCTTTCTTTGGCGTTTCTGTTGAAATTTCCCCACATCACCCTTAGTATCCCTGCTGGATCAACGTGTTCCTTTTTATCTTCTACATCGGTCATTCGATTGGTATTTTCGCTATCAACCACTCCCCTCTTAAATTTCTGCATCCAGAGGTAGGTAATAAATTATTTTTCAAGAAGATATTTTGCTAGATGTTTACAGTTTAAATTTGGTGTACCAGAGAAAATGCTAGTCGTCAGTGTCTTTCCGAGGAATCAAAGAAGGCGGGAAAAAGGCGGAAGTAATCCAAGACAAGTCCCATCATGCATAGCAATTGTTTGACATGGCGGCCATGTCAAGTGGTCGTGTGGCTCAGTAAGATTACTCATTTCAATCGACATAATTTTTCTAAAAGGTTTGTTTCGTATTCTAGTACTTAAAATAGTCTTATTACTTCATTTTCAACATTTGTAGACTGAATTTACTCCGTTTTCAGACTGGTGATGGGAATTTTTTTAAGACATCAGGTTCCCGGCGATGACAATGATTTGTTCGCATTTAACACGGTAAGATTTGCGCGTTTATTTTACTTTACTTTATTTTTTAGTTTAATGCTACCATAAGACTTAGAGAGATTTCTCATATACTCTCTTAGACTACTTCAAGGGACAATACCTGGTAAAACTCATCGCCATTTTGTAACCAGGGCACTTCAAGGCTTGTTTATGTAAATTTATAATGTTAACTCTTTATTGATTTTTTTTAACAAAAAGCAGTCTTATTTTCTTTTGAAATCCACAATTTATTATAATAAATCAGTTACATTGAGACCATTAGCCATAACCTTTCAACTCACCCACTTAATATATTATGGCTGCATGCTTGCTTTTTAAGTTGTATTTATATCAAAAGTTACATTGATCATTGACATTTTATCAAACAGGAATATGGGAACTGGAACATGAAGTGGATCAGCTTCAGCAATCAGGACATGATCATCATCTTCAAAGAGTCATTGTTTTACTTAATTGCAATCCAGCCTTTGGGTGAACCAGGTAAACAAAATTCTTGTTTAAGCCAAGTTCAGTGCTATATTCACCTGAGACATGCACTCTATCTAAAGATCCATGCTTGATTCTCACTGTGTATTAGAGATGAATTACTCCCCTACATTTTGTATTGGAACATGGGGAGGGGGGGAGGGGGAAGTGTTCACTGTAAGCCTGAGCATCTCTGTCTCAATCTTAGGCTACTTCAGTGTCCTTCCACAATCTCCTTACCCCCTCCACCCATGTCTCCCCTTACCCCCTCCACCCATGTCCTTTGCTCTGAATGTGACCAATGGTAAGGACTAATTTACTGTGGAAACAAATTCAGTGCTGTAGCCCCTGAGAGAATTTATATTGATTGGTTTGCTATTTTTCTTGTAAACAAAATTGTAGGACAACACCAGAACAAACATAGGCATTCAACACAGAGTAGTGACAATATCTTCAGTATAATTATAAAATGATCAATTTGTGCAATTGGAAAAGAATGCCTTAGAATTTGCAAACTTTATGATAACAATGTGATTCTCTACCAACTAAACTGTGAATCTTTGAGTGGAAAGGGGCTTCATCCTGTTATAGCGTCAAGAGGTCTTAGTTGAGATGGTATAGTCTGAGACTTTACTTGAACTTTGTACACTACTTGCAATAGGCAAATTGTGATACAACATCAGTTACCTAAAAGTCAATTGAAGAACATGAATGAAATTTCCAATTAGGTTAAGAACTGAAAAAAAGGAATGTAGGTATAGTTTTTAAAAAGGTACAGTAACCATGTGACAACCAAAAGAAAGGGAGAGAATAAACAAAGGCACCCTGGATAGTAGCTCCTATTCCCCCAGTTTGCTTTGTTCCTCTTTCTTACTGGCTTTTCTCTGGGTTGCTTTTTGTCCAAAAATTGGGAAGGAGAAGTTGATTAAGCAGAGAAGAAAATACATTAATAAATAATAGCAGGGGTACTATTGGGAAAATTTTCTCAAGTTATTTCCTTTGAAATTTTGTGGCTTTGTTGTTATCTTAGCCCTCCATACAATCAGTAGAATCTAATGCATGTTTCTTTAGTAAATTGCATGTCCAGGTTATTTTATATACAGTCAAACCTTTACTAAGGGGCAACCTTTTATAAAATGAAGGATAATGTCTCACTTAAATTTTTCTATAAAGGCAATTTCTATTTATTAAGTTTCAAATAAAAAAGAACTGTTTAAAAGTAATTGGCCAAAAAAACACTACCAAAATGGTTACATGGTTAAATTGACTTGCAATTGGAAATCCTCTTTATTAATACAACTCTTCACCTTAGTTGCTGCAAGATGAAAACAATGCTTTTTTCCTAAAGAAATGCTTGAGTTTGTTGCGGAGACTTGCTGTTGACATGCTGTTGACTAGAAACACTGTATCACAAATTTGCATCTTGGGTAGTACTTTGGATTAATGACATCTCTGCAAGTCGGAGGATAAGGCTAACAAATCATTGCTTTCAGTGAACTGAGCTGTTAGGAAGAAAACTTATGCTTACAGTGCAAACACACAGGTTTTTAAAGAGGCACAACTTGCACAAGACTAAGAAAATTTTGGTATCCTAACTTCAACACTCATCTACAGATAACAGGATGTTTGGAAGTTTTGCTTTTTGTTTCTTAGTTATTCAGAAATCAAATTGTTTCATTCTTTAATTACAGGTATGCCTTGTAAAGCAAGAAACTGTTTCATGACAACATTTATTGTTCAGAATAGTGTCTCATGCTGTACAATTGCCTCCAAATTACTTTAATTTATTAAGATACATATTGAAAGCATTTATTTTGGTCAATCTAAGGTTGTTATCAATGGATGGTTTGACTGTATAATGCAATTTATTTACTGTGAACTTAATGCGTTTATTTTCTTAAAATCTCTCTAGCTTTTCCTCAGTGAACTGAGTTTCAATCATTTTCAAATTACAAAATATCAGCTTTGTTCAAATTTATTTTTGTATTTCAGAAAACAAACATGTTTACTATTGCGTGACTGATTGTACCATGTGTTACCAAAACAATGTCACATGTTTGTTATCAAAACGGGAAGAAAAATTTTACGCAATGTAAACGCAAATCAAAAACTCAAACATCGCTTTTAAAGGAAATTTTTAAGTCACACATAGACTGATTAATCTTTTTTCCAATATTAGGTCAAATTTTAGGAAACAAAACTCTTGAAAAATGATTTTTTTCCTCAATTTTAATTATGATTGGTCAGAGTTGCTTTCTTAGGTTGTCGATCGACCGAATAATTTTCCGAAGTAACAGGAATTTTTATAAGACTTCCTCCCGCTCACAAGTAATTAAGATTAACTGAGGAAAATGGAGGGGTTTTCAGAAGATATACCTGAACTCTTCAGCCCTAAAACAGATTTAATTCCTCTCTATGATTGCGATCTTGAAATCGGGAAAAGGGAAGTTGATTTTGCGCAAAATTCTTAACACTAACATAGGAAGATAAATCGATCGGAACGCGCTGGGGGAAGTTAGAGATCGAACATTATAAAAGGACTGAGTTTGTATTCACAGTAAGTAATTTGTGAGGTTTCAATAATACTCTGTGGTACTGTGGATTCTGAAAAAAAAGGTTGTTTCTGTTTCAATGTACGCCGTAAACATATCCGAAATTTAATTATCAATTCAAGTAATTGTTCCCTATTGTCACGCAACAAAAGTGTACATTATGTCACGAATTCGGATTACGTGACAAAGAAATTCTAAGTCAAGTTTCGGCCGAAGTTTGTGTCTGCGGTGTACTTGGGTAATAGAAATGAACTGTTTGCTTGAAACCAAACATAACTCGACACCACAAAGTTTTGTTGAAACTTCCATTGAACTTGGTTTTATTTGAGAGGTTTATTTAGTTCACTCAAACAACTGGATTGCAAAGTAAAACAACATGCCATTTTATTGAGGAATAAAACATTGTCTCTGTTGTCCATGACTTTACTAAATAAAAAAATGGTTACCAAAAAAAAAGCAATAATGTATTCCAACTTTCAAATCCTGTACAGTTCTATCTGATCCCTTAGTCCAAGCCGGGGACAGTTGAACACTTGGAAGAGTTGACCACTTGCTCCCAAGTAGGGGGCACAGGGTAAAGGAAAGTGAGAGTTTGCTCCCAATGCCTCCAGGGTCTTTCTCCTAATTTGTCACAATACCGCAGCTGATCAATTTGGAATTAATGAGTCGGGAAAAAAATTAAATTGCGAAATGGAATTTGACTGAAGGTGCTGATCTGCAAATCAATGTATCAAAAGCTAAAGTGATTTGCCTCGGTGG